TTAATGACATCATCATTAACAATCTTGATATCCATGCCACCCTCCTCCGGGCCGGGCAGGTACTTGATGAGCTCTCTCAGCTTGGGTCCGCCAACACCGTTCGCGCAGTCCACGGTCAAGGAGCCCTTGACCTTGACACCACGCATAACTCTCTTGAAAGCTTCGGCAAGCTTCTCATAGTAGCCCTGCTCTGTGGGCTCTCCATACTCATACTGGGTGCCCAGGGTGTTCTTGCAGCGCACAACATAGTGGAGCTGAGGGGTGGTCATGTACTTCAGATCGAGGAATTCGACCTCCGAAGCGGTAAGGGCGGCGTTGATGACAGAGACCAGACGCGAGCCAGAGGCACGAGTGTCGCGAGCGAAGACGACACGAGCTGGGTTCTCCATGCTGACATCAATCTCCTTGATGAGTTCGTCAAAGACATCGCCAACCTTGTCAAGCGGGGCGTTGGCAAGTCTGGTGGCATATGTTTCCCACTCAGCCTACACCGATGTGAGAAAGTGGTCGCATTTCAGTATCTTGCAGCTCTGGGAGCTTACCTCCAGCATTTCACCCTATGAAAGTTTAGTCACCTATCGTATCATTGCCAATACTTCATACTGGCGAGGTTCGACTCACCATGGGATCAATCAACTTGACGCCATTATCTTCCGCGGGGTTGTGACTGGCAGTGACCATGACACCAACCCATTGTCCACTCAGCTTTCTGGAGCGAAGCCCGGCAAGCAAGCCCACGGTGAAGACTACGGTGTTGAGGAGATCACTGGCAATGCGTTGGTCAAAGTGTAAACAAAAGGGCGGTCGCGGGGTATTGTGGAGGCGGGGTCGATCCTTCGAGGTGTTTATCGGCAGGGAGCAACTTACGCCTTCATACGGAACTATAAGCAAGGGAGGTGATTAGTACATATTGCTTCAGATGATGTCCAGAGACTCGGTTTTCAAAAGTAGCGGACTTACCCCCGCGGTACCATATTGGAAGACCTTCCCTTCGGGCTTGGAGTACTGCGACGCCGCTTCAGCGATCGCCTTTCTGATAGCCGGGGACGCCATTGTGGCGCAAACTAAACCAAGGATATGTTGACTAGCACCAAAAGAGCTTGAATAACTGAGACCTCAGGGGGCCAAGGGACATATAATATGAAGCGAAAGGGGGGTAGAACCACAATAAAAAAAAAACGAGAGAGGGGAGGGTCAAATAAAAGATTGGGTGAGACACGCTCCGTCCAGCTCAGGTTAGTTTCCTGCCCCTGTTCCCCTGTACTGCCACCCAGGGTCCCGAGCGGTGGGCGGTGAGGCACCCGCAACATTCATGGCATGGCGTGGTGCAATGCAGAAGCGGGAGGAAAGGAGTCGAAGAATGGCATGGCATGGCATGGCATCTCGTGTCTTTTGCTAGACCTGGTGTTCAGTGCAAAATAAACTAAAAAGAATCGTCCATTATAAATGCTAGGAAAACCCTATTCATTGGCTGATTACCTGGCGCGGTTGGTTGAAAACTACTCTATCATATAATACAAGCTACTACTATCCGATCATCTGCACTGGTGATACGAAGCTGGACCAATAGACCGTATGATGATGGTCATGCGTGTCCAGATACGTAGGATACTTAATCCATCGAGCTGAATCAGGCTTTCAGCCTATCGCCCGCCACATCGTTTTGGACATCCTTGATGAGAAACCTATCGCAATTGTCAGCCACGTAGTAAACCTATGGTCAGATTCCACCATAAACTCACATGTACCACCAAGCAGTTGGGATTACGGTTCCAAGATGCCAAAGGCTATGCGCATCAATCAGCTCGTGCCAAGGGGGAAAGTCCAGCAATTCGAGGCTCATAGCCAAAATAATCCAGACCACGATCATTCCGGGCCAGGCCATCCATTCCTTGCCGTACTTGCGGTAACGGTGAATACTGAAAGCCACCCACAGGATGTTCTGGGCCATTCCTATCACGATATTTGCGATCATGTTGTAGGTGTAGTCCCACGACCAGAAGCTGAGGTAGCACACATGCAATGTGTAGAGCAAAGCACAGACCGTGGTCAACAGACGGCGTAAAGTTGGTTTATGTCTAGGCTTCTCTTGGTCCAGACGGAAGATCCGGAGGAGTGCAAGATAGAAACCATACATCACATTAGCCCCCGCTCCAAAGTAGTCCAACTTTTCAGTCAAGGACAAGTCCCTCATGTGGAAAATGGCGCTGAAGGTCCAGCATGCCAAACCGCAGTATCCGAAGGCAATATAATAGGGTCGCAGGGAGTGCCAAGCTGGTACCGTCTCACGAATGCGTCCTATTCCGTGCCAGTGGGCAAGAAAGTTGAACAAAGAGAAGAGAACGGAAAATGGTTCCTGCATCCCCAGGATTCTGCGGAATGGCCATTTACCATGGAATTGTAATACTGGGTTCAACATGGGAGGATCACGAGCGACACGGCGGTCCGTCACGACATGTTGACAGGTATAATCGCATTCGGAAGGGCATGTCCACAGCATGAGGCGAAGATGGAGAGCTGGTAGCAGATTGGTTAGTAGCTAAGCTGCTAGAAAGTACTGCTGACGTAACTCACGAATTACTTCATTGCCATCCTGGCAATTCTCAGCCTGGCAAACCTGTTCGTTGCTTAGCCATTGGCTCCCGGGTTGTGGATGCTATGAGGTTCCGGTTGATGTACCTTGACGCATTCTTTGAAGTCGGGAAGGTGGTCACCAAGAGAGGCTGTCGATTTACCAACAAGAGCAGCAATAAGAAGGAAAAGAAAGCAATAGTAAGTACTCCTCCTTATCTTTCCTATAAACATGGTGCTTTTCGTGTTCGTTGTATGGCAATCCAGTTGAGAAGGGAAGCTTCAGGAGTGAAACTAACAGCTCAAACGCTAGACGGGCGGCATGTAGCTCCGGCGGGGGCGGAGCGGCATCACCCACGGCAACAATGGAACAACAGCTTGGCAACCGATCGATTAGTTCAACACCTTTAAAGGCATCCATTCTCACCGTTGCACTATAGATAGTCAGAAATAGAAGCAAGACCATCTCAAGCTCATTTGTGAATCTTACTCAAATCTACAAAGTAATTGATCCAGCCCCACTTTTCCGGTGTGCATCTGTTTCAGCACTAGGCTTGGGATGCTTGTTTCCGTTCGTTCATGTTAGGGAATCTTACGCGGTACTATGCACTACCAGTAGCATGCGAAATACGGAAAAGCAGTTGTGCGACCATACGAGGCTATATATAGCATTCATTGAAAAGTCCCGGAAATACCAACCGCTTAGACATTGTGCCAGCGGCCAAACTTCGATCATTCTAGGGACAGCATCGAGGCCGGCACCAAATTCCATATAACCGCCAACTGGCAAGAGCTATGCTCTGCTGGCTGGTATAGCCCTAGTCAAGATAGAAGGGCTTGTAAGTCACATGATGTTTCTGTCTTAGGACTAGCGTATATCAAGATAGGCTAACCTTATCTAGACTAGCGGGAATTGCCATCGAGAGGAGAAATTCCTAACAAGGCAAAAGTTAAAAAAAAAAGAGGGCCGCGCTCGAAGGGATCTTTGAGGCGCTTATATCTTTTTCTCCAGAACATAGCTGTATAGCATTTCTCTTTCCACAGTTTTTTCTTTTCTTTTTTTTTTTGCTCCTTGCATATTCCTCTTCTACTGTGCTTCTGCTTCTTCTTCTTCTTCCTCTTTTTGTCACATCGACTATCACCAAATCGACCGATCCGCAAATATGGCCGGAGAAGCAGACTCTGCTGCTGCCATGACCAGCAGCAGTGCTGATCGCATGGTAGGCATGGACCACGCCGAAGTGCGTTATTTTACGAGGTATGGCCAAGATAAGAAGTCTCCTTCGCATCATTCATGCTGACCAAAATCACAGTTATGATCACCACGGTAAATACTATCAATGACCTAAGAAATCTAGTCGGATGTGGCTAATCTCGGACCCCGCTCAGGCATTCATGAGGAGATGCTTGTAAGTGCGGTCCTTCCACAACACCTCGAGTATCGCTAACCACAAACGGTTTTTTTAGAAAGACGATGTTCGTACTAGATCGTACCGTGACTCTATCTACCAGAACCGTCACATCTTCAAGGACAAGGTTGTTCTCGATGTCGGTTGCGGAACTGGTATTCTCAGCATGTATGTGTTCAAGCCGATCGACTGGTCAACAATGGGATATCTAACACATTCGGTCTGAAAGGTTCGCCGCCAAGGCAGGTGCCAAGCATGTGATTGGTGTCGATATGTCGTCGATCATTGAGAAGGCTCGTGAGATTGTTGCTGTGAATGGCTTGTCGGACAAGATCACCCTGCTCCAAGGAAAGATGGAGGAGGTTGTCCTCCCTTACCCCAAGGTTGATATCATCATCTCCGAGTGGATGGGCTACTTCCTTCTCTATGAGAGCATGTTGGACACCGTTCTTTACGCCCGCGACCGTTACCTTGTTCCTGGTGGCAAGATCTTCCCCGACAAGGCCACCATGTACTTGGCTGCCATCGAGGATGGCGAGTACAAGGATGACAAGATCGGATGTAAGCACACTTTCCTTGACGCCACTATTCTTGATTGAAGCTGAGACGCTAACGGATCTTAGTCTGGGACAATGTGTATGGATTCAACTACAGCCCGATGAAGGAGATTGCCCTTACCGAGCCCCTTGTCGATACTGTCGAGATGAAAGCGCTTGTTACAGACCCTTGCCCCATCATCACGCTTGATCTTTACACTGTTACTCCGGCCGACTTGGTCTTCAAGGTTCCATTTTCTCTTCCTGCCAAGCGCAGTGACTTCATCCACGCGGTGATCGCTTGGTTCGATATTGAATTCGGCGCATGCCACAAGCCCATCACCTTCTCCACCGGTCCCCATGCCAAATACACCCACTGGAAGCAGACCGTCTTTTATCTTCGCGATGTTTTGACCGTCGAAGAGGAGGAAGTTGTTTCCGGTGTTCTCGAGAACAAGCCGAACGACAAGAACAAGCGCGACCTTGACATCAGCATCTCCTACAAGTTTGAGACCACGGATCCGAACCGTTACTCTGAGGGCAGCTGCTTCTACAGGATGTGAGTACCCGTTTCTGACAGTATAAGATATCGTGTGCTAACCCTTGAAGGTGCTAAATTCCTGGCCGTCCCTTATTTCTTCGGTTGCTTAGCCGCTTTGCTTGGAGTCGATTTATGTTCTACCAGTAACATGAAAAGGTTCTGCCCTGTGGGCAACATAGCATTTTAAGGAAGTTCACTTGTATGGATGTCGGTCTGATGGAAGGTTATATTTTTGGACTTCCTTTGATTTCAGTCATGCCATTTCTCATCATTTTTTTTTTCGGCGTATACGGAAGGCAAGGCAACGGCATCATCAGTTGGCGCGGTACGGAGAGATGATTTCCACAAGGACGATTATGAAGCTCCTCGAATTTCCCAAGTAGATACCCCGAGTCGACGCTCAGTCTAACACCTCCGACGTTCTGTCTATGCATTACTTAGCTTCAGGTCTATTAATTTCACGAAGTTCAATTAAATGGTCCACTACCACGGATATTTCTCTCAAAGTCCATTTCTCTCGCCAATAAGATGAAAGGAAACAATTCATAATGTACATTGAGAGGCATGGCAGTATCGTCATTAACTTATAAAAGCTCGTGGAAACAAGCAGTTATCGGATGGGGAATCTTCTCGGCCTAGTCGGTTGATTCGTGATCAAGCCTCGGTTTGGCCGGAGCCCCGCAACGGCATGTACTACACTAACTGCCCCTTCTGGGGTCCTTTCTCCGCATCAATCTATCTTCGACCTCTAGATAAAGAAGCGTCCCCCGTAGGCCCTATCATTGTCCTTAATCGTTAATCGTGTTTGGTGGATTTTCTGCATTTTGATCAACCTTCGATAATGTCAACCCCAGGAGCTGGTCATGAATTTCCTCGCCAGGAGGTGTCCTGGCTCAAGCGTGACGCTCTGCTATTTGCCTACAGTATCGGCTGCAAGGCCGATGAGCTGCATTTCCTCTACGTGAGTTCCACTTTATAGCCTTATATCAATTATACACTTATCTTACTGAGGCTCTCACAGGAGCTTCACCCAAACTTCGCTGTCTTTCCCACATATCCTCTAATCCTTCGTATGTATAATTTACTCGGCCAAGCCTAAGAGGTGAAGTGGTGTTTAAGAGTCATGTTTTGGATATGAACTCTCGGGATTGATTGTTTACAGCTGGATGGAATGAATACCCCGCTAATAATATATTCCATACAGCGTTCAAGCTCACTGATCAAGAAGTAACGGACTTCTATGCCCGTTCTGGCGGATCTCCTATCCCTGGTGTTCCGAAGTTCGACTATCGCCGCGTCGTTGACGGCCAGCGCAAGCTCACCATCCTCAAGCCCTTGCCCCCAACGAGCGAGGGTAAGAAGTTCGAGCTACGCAACAAGGTCATTGGAGTCTATGACAAGGGCAAGCCTGGCACTGTCATCGAAACAGAACAGACCATTGTGGATAAGGAGACAGGTGAGATCTACTCAAGAACTGTGGGCAGCGGTTTCTTCGTTGGCCAGGGTAATTGGGGTGGACCGAAAGGTAAGGCTTCCAAAGGCACTCGTTACATCAAAGAGTCTTGTTACTGACGCGGTTATTTTTAGGCCCCAGCAATGTCAACTATGCCCCACCTGAAGGCAAGCAGCCAGATGCCGTCCATGTAGTTCAAACAACTCCGGAGACAGCCCATCTCTATCGGTGAGATACCGCCCCAGCCACATAAGAGTACTAGCGTCGTGGAAAAGGTGGATCCTCAATTGCTGACAATGATTCCGCTGATTAGACTCAACGGGGACTACAACCCTCTACATGCTACCCCCGAGCCAGGTGAGAAGATGGGCTTCGGCGGCGCCATCGTCCATGGCCTCTTCAGCTGGAATTCCGCTGCTCATGGTATCCTGCGGGAGCTCGGTGGTAGTGATCCGAAGAATCTTAAAGAGATTCAAGCGCGCTTTGCTTCGCCAGTTATACCTGGTGACAAGCTTATCACTGAGATCTGGAGAACGGGCAGTCTCCAAGACGGTTATGAAGAAATCCGATTCGTAACCAAGAATGGTAAGGGCAAGGCGGTCCTGAGCAACGGCCGCTGCCTGATGAAGGTCACCGGCCCAAGAAGCAAGCTATGATTGACACCTGTGGTCTAGTTAGTTAGTGTAGAGATCTGTCACCAGCTGTTCTTCTATTAGTTAGCCCAGCAAATTTACGGGCAGTTAATCTAATAATGGAGTCCATCGGCCATCCACTACGTGTACACTGAAATCAAAGGGAAGACAAGATCAGAATGGCGGGCCGAGGCCAAATTGACGGCTGCCACGTGACGTGGGGCCTCATATGGGATGACATTGCGGAGATCCATTGTTTCCCCTCAATAATCCTCGTTTGGCGTATAGTAAGATAAAAAATGCATAGTTTGGCCAGATTCTCCTTTATCAGGGCCCTTAGTCCCTTGAAGCACGCAAGGCATGACACCCCAGGACTTTCTCACATACAGTAATGGTTGACCGAGGTACTAGCATATCGCGTGCCGTGTCATCATTTACCCCGGGATACGTTGGAGTGGTAAGAGGCACATCACCGGATTTATCGAAGAATAGCAATACTGATTCACGGAGTTACACCCTCCGCAAAGGCTCACAAATTATCAACCATCTCAACTCGATGCCCTACGCTAGTACGCGCGAATTCATCTGTTGCAGCCAATGTCGGGGCCGCGTCCGGTAGCAGCACAAACGAGGATCCATGGCCTGTCCACTTGAAACATTCTAAGTGGGAGTCGTTGCAGCTCGGTCATGCAGGTCAAAACAGCAACTTGTAAGGAAACTCTACTATGCAATGGTTAAATCACATGCTGATATTAGACAGTGGAACATTTTGGCTCCGGTGAGCAGTCCAAAAGCTACAGGGTGGCGAATGTGCACGATCAGCAACTTACTTATATCAAGGGACAACTGCCAATGCTCTAAATGTATCCATCCAGACACAAGACAACGAACTGTTGATACGTTCGCGGTGAGTGGGTAAACTGATATCCTGATACGTGCCGATTTACTGATCATTGTCCGATACAGATCCCTGATGATGTCCGTATCAAGAACCTCAGATATGAAATTGAAGGTGTGGAAGTAGACTGTAAGCGGATGTTATCCCGTCACCTTGCAGGGGAGACTGACTTAGTAAAGGGTCGGACGGGCATTGTGCCTATTATCCATTCTCGTGGCTCAAGAGCCATTCCAACAAGCCTGTTACGAAGTTGGAATCAAACCCCGAATTGACTTTCCGGTACTTCAACCGTTGAGCTGCAGTGGCTGCCTTTGCGATATACTAACTCTGCTCAGAAAGATCAAGTCATACGTTCCAGGCAGAGACAGTACATTTCCAACATTTCCTTACTCAGATATCATGGCCGACGATGGTGCTCTGCGTGACTGGCTTGAAGGAATTGTAAGCTATGCCTCCATTACCAAGCAGAATATCTTGCTTATGTTGCGAAGTACGACTGGGGATTTGCTTTTGTACAAGGAGTTCCTACCAACCCCGAATCAACCGAAGCTCTCCTAAAGAGGATTGCTTTCATCAGAAACACTCATTACGGTAAGGCAACATCATTGGCCTTTCCTGTGTGTCGCTTACTGATCCTTTTCCGTTGGCGCAAGGTGGATTCTGGGATTTCACAGCCGACTTGACCTTCAAGGATACCGCATACACGACGGAATTTCTCGGTGCACATACGGACAACACCTATTTTACCGACCCTGCGAGGCTCCAGCTCTTCCACCTTCTATCCCATACCGATGGAGATGGCGGCGCCAGCCTGCTTGTTGACGGTTTCCGGGCTGCTTCGATTCTCCGTGAAGAGAGCCCGCAAGACTTCGAGGTATTGATGTCGACGAACCATCCTTACCACTCGAGTGGCAATGAGGACGTATGCGTGCAACCGGCGGAGCAAGCTCCCGTTCTTAAGGTTCACCCTGAACTACAACGGCTATATCAAATTCGCTGGAACAATTATGACAGAGCCGCCAAGAAGAACTGGAACTGGGAGGACCAGGTAAAATGGTATACGGCAGCACGGCACTGGGACGAGATCATCCGTCGTAAAGACATGGAGATCTGGACACAGCTTGAACCAGGGACAGCCCTCAGTAAGTGTTTGCAGGGAACGATGTTTGCGAGCAGGACTAATCTTCCCTAAGTCTTTGACAACTGGAGAATGCTTCACGGTCGCTCGGAGTTTACGGGCAAGCGCAGGATGTGCGGTGGCTATAGTCAGTACCCATTTCTTTTCTCATATTTCTTTTTCCAGTCTGTTTTGCTGGTCTTCGGTTACCAGGCTTCTGGTTATCATAACCCCACATACTAACTCTGGACAGTAAATAACGATGACTTCATTTCACGATACCGTTTACTCAAATTCGGTCGCGAGGAGGTACTAAGAAATATTGGCAATGATCAGTGGTCTCTGGAAAACCCCAACTACTACCTTTGAACCTGTTGTCCCGTGGGGGGTATGCGCAGGCTGCTGATAACGGTAAATCGACATCAGTTGGCTGTTATAATGTACATATGCTAGGACCCCTGTAGATTTTAAAGGCTTAGAGAAGCTCATTGCATTGCTGGTTGTTGCTTCACCGAAGCGGACTCGCGCAAGCTATTTGTAATGGCGTCACGTGATGTAGGCAGGACAGCTGACGTTGTTTGGCCGGAGCTCAAGCATCACGACTCCAACACAGCTCAAGTTCCCCAACCCTTTCTCCCTAGGTCCATCACCTTCGACTAAACACACCCACACCCCGATTTAGATACCCTTCCCTCTCCTATTACGATTTCTAACCCCATACGCCCGCACTCTAGTTTTCCACCATGTCGACCTTGGAAGACCTCGACGACCTTGAGCGTGAGCAGAGAGACAAGAAGAAGGACCAAGGAGATGACGGTGACGGCAGGAAGCCCGAAGGTGAAGGAGATGCTGATATGAAAGATGCCGATGCCAAGAGAGATGAGGATGATGGACTCTTGGACGAGGAGATCCTTAGCTCGAGCACAGCGGACATCGTCAAGCGACGGCGGATGCTGGAGAACGAGCTGCGTATAATGAAGAGCGAATACCAGCGCCTGACTCACGAGCAAAACACGATGCGAGAGAAAGTCAAGGATAACCAAGAAAAGATCGAGAACAACAGGTAAGCTCCGGTTGTCTTCCGTTCCGCCAGCGCCTGTTCGACGCGGTGGCAATTGCGGCGTAAGCCGGGTCTTTTACTGACTGTCCGTCTGCTAGGCAATTACCCTACCTGGTCGGAAACGTCGTCGAGCTTTTGGATTTGGATGTTGAAGCTGAGGCGGCTGAGGAGGGGGCGAACATTGACCTTGATGCTACACGGGTGGGCAAGTCGGCTGTCATCAAGACGTCGACCCGCCAGACTATCTATCTTCCTCTCATTGGTCTAGTAGATCACGAGAAGCTGAAGCCTGGTGATCTGATCGGTGTCAACAAGGACTCATACCTCGTCCTGGATACGCTACCTGCCGAGTACGATAACCGTGTCAAGGCCATGGAGGTCGATGAGAAGCCGACGGAGAAGTACACCGACATTGGTGGTTTGGATAAGCAAATCGAGGAAATTGTGGAGGCTATCGTATGGCCTATGAAGGAAGCTGACAGGTTCAAGAAGCTTGGCATTAAGGCACCGAAAGGTATGTAATCGTGGATTTCCCAGCCTAGCACGGGTCTTCTGACACACTTTCACAGGTGCTCTAATGTATGGGCCGCCCGGTACTGGTAAAACACTTCTTGCCCGAGCCTGTGCAGCAGAGACGAACGCCACTTTCCTCAAGCTTGCCGGTCCGCAGTTGGTGCAGATGTTCATCGGTGATGGTGCGAAACTCGTTCGTGACTGCTTCGCCCTTGCCAAGGAGAAGGCACCTTCCATCATCTTCATCGACGAGCTGGATGCGGTCGGTACGAAGCGGTTCGACTCCGAGAAGTCCGGTGACCGTGAAGTGCAGCGAACCATGCTTGAACTTCTCAACCAGCTCGACGGATTTGCCTCGGACGATCGCATCAAGGTTCTCGCGGCCACGAATCGTGTCGACGTTCTCGATCCCGCCCTGCTCCGTTCCGGTCGTCTGGACCGCAAGATCGAGTTCCCGCTACCCAACGAGGAGGCGAGAGCCAACATCCTGCAGATTCACTCCCGCAAAATGGCTGTGGATGACCGGGTTAACTGGGCGGAACTGGCCCGCAGTACCGACGAGTTTGGTGGTGCTCAGCTGAAGGCCGTGTGCGTGGAGGCAGGTATGATTGCTCTCCGGAAGGGCATGAGCAAGGTAGGACACGAGAACTACGTGGATGCCATTTCGGAAGTACAGGCAAAGAAGAAGGACACGAACATGGGTATCTATGTCTAATTCGGTCATCGTCACGATTATTTACATGATGCCACTGGGCCTTGGTCTCCGGGCCGTCATTATTATGCTATGTATCTACTCCCGCTGCGGCTTAGAGGATATCATTTACTAGGTCTCCCTTGGCTGAAGATGCTATTACCTTTCATTCTACTCGTATCGATGCCGCATAATTAGACCGTATTTATAGCTAAGCGGAGTAACCTCCTTAGAATTCTAGAAATCTCTTACCACGGACCTAGGCACCTTGTCTATAAAGTCCATGCTAAAGCAGGTCAGGTGATGAACCCGCCATGCATCTCAACCGCAAGTTTCCTACACGCTCCTCATTTCACCACCCGAGCCTTCATCCAAGTCTAAAGGATGCGTACTTGCACATTCTGCTACCCCACTTACAAAGCTAGCGTCTTTGGCACGTGCTAATCCTCTTCCCACATTGTCTGGGAATATGGGTGCAAGTCGTTTCATGGAGAGAGAAGGGACGGGCCTAGAAAAGCGGACGATGACAACCACTAAAGTCCGGTCGGTCTGAAAAACTTACTGACAATCTAGTTCAACCAAGAATGAAATGATCGACAAATGTGCATGCAGTTCTCTCCTCTACTGGTCGTACCATAACAGAGCCTAAGCCTAGTTTCTGAACCAGGCTGCAGAGCCCGGATCCTTGTTGATCTACTATGGAGAGGATGCGGACCCCAAAATCATAACCAACACATAGTATGCGAGGTGAGAACCTCAACTATTCTCCGATAAATAGGGCCTATGGCTGATTGAATTGTTAGGGGATCTACATGGCTGTCTAGAGCCGATGTCATGGTGCCACCGCGTCATACCCGAATGCACTGTGTATAGTGTAGTTGACGAATAACGGCGATAAAGTTGCAGCCGATGACGTGAATTACCCTATGTGATCATTGCTTATCGTAGGAAGAGGTCAATGGATGGATAGGGCGCAAGGAATGCCGTGACTTGTGGCTGTTGTCTCAGGTTGATAAAAGTATATTACAGGTCTACAATTCTCACTCCGGAATACGAAACAGCAGACAACCACCGAAAAAGATATGGCCAGTTCAGCTTGCTAGAGGTATGCTGAAGAGCAGTGGGGAAATCAGTCTTTCTATGAAGGAAGGCCATGCGATGACGACAGAGGATCACCGCACAATATCTGAAAGGCGAGGTAACCAGTAAAAAGCAGCATCACACAGACCAGGTCAGGCCTAGTGCCTGAGTACACCTTGCTCGGAGAATTTGGCCGTCGGTCACTACGTTCTGTGGCTTGAAGTCCGTGACCTGATCCGTTAGAGTCTACTGTATCTCTAATACTTGACATGAGTGAATAGGACTGAACAAGTGCAACCTCCGCAGGGAACCATGTTGCCCCTGAGGAGTGCCTACTCCTTCGACTTTGTGGGGAGGGGGTGCTTGCTCAGTCCGCTGAGGATGGGATGGTATGATTTATGCCTAGCCAGGTCAACCCTCGTAGGCTATTCAGCAAGCTATTATCCTTGTCAATTCTCTAAGTTACAAAGCTGCTTACGTGACTTATGCTGACTACGTCTGCCTCGCATCTCACACCGTTTTCAAACGGTGTGTTTTGAGCCTTCTGGACTCGTCAGCTGGCTCTATCCGCACCAATGAAGCTTCTGAGGACAAGTTATTCCGGATGATCACAGGTCCTAATATTTCTGTGGCTGAAGGCTCCCTACAGCACGGTGTTGTAAGTGGCATTCGACCAATGGGTTCAGATCATTGACGCCTCTCTTTTCCATCCAACGCCATAAAGCTTAGGAGAGATAGATCACACTGGCCAACGTTTCAGTATTTTCCACCTTCCTTCACGATAACTCGTTCCGCTGGCTATCCATGTGCTTAATAGTTCAATACATTTAGAAAGTGGCGATCTATGTCTACGGTAAGTCCGCCATGTATTTCTTTGTGGCAGTATACGTATTGCGAGGTCCTACGGCTAATGACGGAGATGGCAGGCCTATCCAAGTCATCCAAGATGCATATGGCGGCTTGAGCGGATAAAGAGAAAGTGTTAAGAGGTAGAAGAGCAGGAAGCGGTCTATACGAGAAATCTGGTAGGCTATGTCTCACATTCTGTGTTTCCAGTCTCTAGCAGCAAGCAGGTCACTTTTGGTTTGCTCGCCAATCTCTCGTTCTTTTTTTTTTCTCCGTGTCATCACGGATCGGTCAATAGCCTTAAGCTCAATATACTGGACATGGATAGCTTGTCATGGAGGCTTGGCTCCCGCATTCATCGCTTGGATCAAACCCGGCCCCCTCCTCCTTCATCGATGCATCGTCTCCATGCTCAGTATGCTCACTTCAGAGCTCTGTTCCTATTCTCCGTCGCTGACTGACATGGCTTCTCGGAGCATCGTACCCTCCCATCCAAACGATGCTGATATGAGGGTTGCATGGCTGGTAGCTGTCCAAATATGATGATGGCCTGAAGTGAAGGGCTGCATCGCCTCACTCAGTCCTGGAGCGGACATCGCTTGCCAGCCATTGAGTGTTCAACTAAGACATGGTGTAACATATGCCGTGCCTTTCCGCACCAACTGCAAAGTTCAATGACATCGGTTGACCAGCAACTCAAAATCGGACGATCTATTCCATCGGAGCGGTCTCGGCTACTGCTGCCCGGATATGCAATGAGAAACACGGCCAGTTGTGATGAAGTGTTGAACCTTCAGAGGCCAACATGTCCGCTATCGTCTCTACGATGAAGGAGCACGGTTTACAGGCCCTATTGATGCCAACGCATCACTTCTTGATCGCTGTGGATGCATACGGGCTTGAGGGACGTGGTGGACGGGGTGAGATAGGGCGGGGGCACGAAGGAGGCGTACTCTCAAATGTATCATATGTCTTCCCATCATGACTGATCATTTAATAATATGTATAGAGTAGTCCGCGGCAATGCAAAGATGCAAGACAAACCCATAGTTGTCGTTACATACAAGTCCTCTACCTCATTTGTAGCTCCCTCCAACTTAACCAGTCTAATTCATTACTTTACTTGACCTACACTGAAGTTTCTTATATCATGATGAGCCACCCCCAGCGCACCACCACCACAATCACCACTGCCGCCTCCGCCGACCCCCTACCAAATCCCTCAACAGCCTCGGCATCCGGCGATGTCCCAATGCCAAACAAACCACTACACGAGTTGTTTCGCGTAATGAGTCGCTATCAAATTCTCAAAACAGCAAAAAGCTTGATCGTCGGGGAGGCGTGCATTCGCCACCACCTCAACGAGTATAGGCCGCTAGAAGTATGAACACCTTGCTCCGTTCGCTTATTCACCTCCTTCGTCCCTAGCCATTTGAATAGCTTGCTCACTAAAGTGTATCAGAGAATCGACATTCTTGTTCTTACAGACGCTAGCCCAATGACTCTGAGGAACTTATTGAGATTCGACGGGTCCAAATACTTCTCGGAGTCGGGCGCTCTCGGTTGCGCGATCAAAATGACACTCCCAAGCTTCCTTCCCATCATTTGCACGATAGAAACTATCGCGCCGCGGCAGCTAGAGCGCACAACTGAAGACTACAGACTCCAAATTTGCTGCCAGGCGTTCAGGGGAGTTCACCAGCTGCAATATGTTCCGGAAGAGGGACTTCCTTTTCTTGGACTCCCCTCCATCATATTGATGGAGGTCTTGTTGCCTCCAGAGCCTACTGTGTCCATCAACGCCTCCCTGGTGTGGAAACTAGCCCAAAGGCTTGATCCCAATTCTGAGTGGGAGGTTTGGCAGAGGAACGCTCTGGAGAAGAAGCTGACACGGCTCGTAGATCTGGGAGGGCGCGAAGAGAGGGCTCGCGAACAGTGGTGTGAGGCTCTCCGCCTTCATAACGATGAGCTGGCAGACGGGGTGGAAGATCAGCCCGCTGATAGAGTAGAAAAGGGTCCCATTTATTTGTCTCCCAATTTGTTGTTTTCAAATCTCATGTCCTGGCCTTCTTGGTGTGTTGGCTTTTGTGTAATGACATTAGCCACTGTTCTTCTTTACTTTCTTTTCTTTCGGAAAACCCCAGCTCCTAGAAATACGCACAATACATGGACGGAATGGGCCTTTGTGATTGTCAGTGGGCTCTACCTGTAATTATATCTTTTGTCACAAGTTGGTTAGCATAACAGCTTTGATTTGCGTTCAAAACATCAGTCTTTGGGATACATATTCGTTGGCGATAAGGGAGCTTTCACCGCCGTAGATGAAAGATGTTCCATTGCGATGTAGAGAGTAGTCGATTCCTGTGATACCTCTAGCAAGGTGTAGAGGATAGACTCTATCCTCGATGTAGATTGAACCTGATCGTAGAAAGGGTGTCTTCATGCGGAAGGTCCAGCCAGTCTGTGGAATAGAGTCGAGACCAGACAGTGGGGGTCTTCGGTTGCCAGGTGGGGATGTAGTCTCCACGGGGAAAATATGCTCAAGTGTTTCACTTATATAATGGCCATGTGCCATGGCATGGCATAGTCTAGTGGTCACTTCAAGAGGGGGTTGATGGAGCAGCGGGAATTAATCCTATACCAGACACAGAAGGATGCTTATCATGTGGGCCCCTCGTGGTGTTTGCCGATCCGAACCCAGTGATGAATGCATTTGGCCTAGGTGGGTTGGCTGACGAGAAAGTAGGATTAACTAACCTAGCACCAGACATATAACAATTAATAAGCAGTATTCCGTTCTTCGCAGGGGATTGAGTAAATAGTAGTACTGAACGAGTAGTGACGATTGGTTGGCCGATCTCGGGCCTAAGCAATTCTCCGCTAAGCCTCTTTGAGAAGATTGCCTGACCAGGTATCAAGTCCGAAAGCCACAGAAAGCTGAGCGTCGTATGATGACATCTACGACTGCGTGGGCTGGAGACTATATCGCAGCCATTGTCTTCACCCATTGGAGTGGCTGACCTTGCTGTGTGCAGCTGAAAAGTATAGTCCATAATATAAGGAGTAACATCCTCCAGAGGCGTCAAAATGTAGAGCGTGCCCGTGTGGCCTGCCCACATTGTAAGATAGCAGCAACAGTCGCTGCCGTTTAGGGGGGAAGATCAGATATCTTCTGTGATAGAGTTTTTTTTGACTTGAATGTTTGGCCGGAAAAGTACAGCCGAGCCCTACCTCAGTAGTCAGACAGGGGAGAAGGGCGTTTACCCCGTACAGACGAGTTGGTGGTTCAAGGGGCCCAGTACTAGTATCTTCTAAGTAGGTATCATCGGTGGAACTGGTAGACCGTAGCGGGTACCAAGCCTCGGAACTTCCGAAGAGGGCTTCCAGCACCGAAAGACACTCACAGTAGGTACGTACACAGGCTTTCCGAATTGGGCAATCGTCCTTGTGTTGAGGCATGTCAGCATATTGACATGCCACCCTCTCCAGGTAGCGGGAGGTGAAAGACAGCTAAGGGCGTGGTGATGTCTCCATATCGAGGTAGAGGCATGAACGGAAAGAACTTATGGGAGCCTTTCAACGCCTTGGGTGCAAAGTTGTTGCTGGCCAAAGAGGCCGACAGAGCCTCCAATATGCTATCATACTTCAAAGGCGCCTTCGCATCCACAAGGGCTGAACGTTTGAAGTTCAGTGGAGAATATGCCATGACGCTAGTCTAGTTGAGCACGAGTACTGGCTTGACTAGGCTTTACTACTTTTACTCCCGTGGTACACACAGTACAAGTAGATGGATGAATAGGGATGTGGCAAAGCGGCCGACATATTGCCACCTGGCAGTGGAGTCGAGGGGAAGAGGAGAAAAAAGAAAAGAAAAAAAAAAAAAAAAAAAAAAAAAAAAAAAAAAAAAAAAAAAAAACCGGGGCTCACCAGTGATGGCTTCCATCAGTCGATTGGAAAGACTCAACCAGGGCATTGTGACTTCTAGTTCTGACATGGTGTTAGCTTTTAGTTAGTGTGTTCAAGTTGTTGGGGGTTAGTCTACTCCGTAGATAAACAGGTGGTCCCAGACTCCGAGTGCACACCGGGCATGACCGGCTCCACTCCCCACCTCGCTTAGACTCTCAAACAGTAAAGAGTAGATCTAGATCTGATGGCCTATCGACTTTACAAAGTACTAAACAGCCCCACCGTCCGAGATCTGCGTGGAAAAGTGCCTCCAGCTCTACACACTCTCCTCTCCTGTATGGGTGACTTTTGCCACCCCCCTTCGGCCCGACGTGGCCATTGGGAAGGCTCCACTCAGTCACTTGTGTATACCGCGCCCAATAACCCAAGAACAACCCTCCCTTGCTAGCCAGCCAGGTTAGCTGTAAGCGACTATGGGAGGTATTCTGTAGGACAGCCAGCTAGTTGGCTAAATGAACTGCCTGTGGTGAATAAGCACTTGGTAACTGGGGTGGCGGCTTCAATCCTTACCAGATTAAGTTCAGATGGACACAGCTAGCCTGGATGGGGCAGGGGGAACTGCCTATCCATCGGACATCTTCTCGGCCGGGGCGTTTCTTTGGTTCGTGGCGGTTCCTTTACTATCGGTTAGACTGAGTCAATTTGGCTGTTTACATCTCCATAATTCCTTCCCAAAGATCGGGGCCTGGTGCGATATCGGTTCGCGGTGGAATGCACTGTCACCTCAACGCTTATTTCCCCAACGGATTGTACTTACTGTCAAAGCGCCCTACTCCCAATTCAGTACATATACTGTTGAAATGAATGTAGGACCGGAATTACCATGAACGCTCCCAGAAGCTGCCCCGTCAGTCACGACTCGGCGCAACTCCGCGGATCTAGGAGTGAGATGGCCTTAATTCCGAGTATCGAAGACCCATACCATCCCGTCTACGGGGCCAAGTATGGTCGCTGTCAGTTTGCACCCTCAGACGAGAAGAAGTTCGCTTTTTACTGAGTTGGGAAATGTGCACGACTCCAATACAGTACACGAACCAGAATGTGGCTTGTAATCTGTCCCAATATCATCTGGTAGTCTCAACGGGGAGGGGGGAAGAAAGGGTAAAAGATTTCCGTCATGCCATTTAGTATTCTTCCAAGGTATCGAAATTACAAAATCTGCTCGACCCCCAGGCTTAACCTTGTCACTGGTGATTCCATGCTCACCCGATTGTTGTCGATAAACTAGGACCAGCTGGGTCCACGTAATCTGTTGCCGGTATTGATAGATCAAGATCACCAATGTCCCACGTGGACCAAGGCTCCAAGAGGCTAAACGTGGAGTCCGGATTTGTATCGGTCTCCCGTCCTAGCACGGGAAATGTGCTGAAATTCGGGAGCAGATCAGCTCCCGACCTCGGCTCTTCAGCAAGGGTAACCGGATGGGCTAATTCGTCGGCTTGGTGGTAATCCAGCACTTCCGAATATCTGCATGCTCTATGTTAGTATGTAGCACGCATGCAGTAAAGACACCGGAGTAACGTGCATCATAAGCTTGAGGGTCTCCTTGGAGAGTTGAGCGCCGTCAAACGACCAATCGAACGGTCTCTCAACGCTAGGTTCATCGGTGGGATCATGATATATCTGCAGATAGCGGTGCTCTAAAGCATTGCTGGCCGATATCCTGGCGTGCGGATCGAAGATCAAGAATTTCTCGAGAAGGTCCACAGCTGTACCACAAGTTTCGGTAAGTAGAGTGGTCCATTCTCCATGCCTGAACACAATTTCACATACCAGCTTCATCGACGCCAGAGAACATTGTCTTTAGACAGCGTGATTGTCTTTTCCCGAGCGACTTGACAATCTGTACCGTCTAATATTCAGGTGAGCGTGGGACTGTTATGAATGGTGATTTCTCGAGACGCACATTCTTACTGCAAATTCGATCGATGACTCCATCGGGAGGATTGCCCAAGAGATCGATGATCAAGTAGAACTGATTTATATGGTCCTTCCCAGGAAACAGGGGCTTCCCAGTGAGCATCTCGGCAAGAATGCACCCAGTACTCCAGAGGTCTACCTCCACACCGTATCTCTGCCATGTGAGCATGATTTCTGGTGCTCGATAATAGCGTGTAGACACATAGCCGGTCATCTGTTGTTCCTTCACTCGTGCAAGTCCGAAGTCGCATATTTTTAGGTCGCAATTCTCGTTGACCAGAATATTGCTAGGCTTGAGGTCCCGATGGATCACGCCGGCGGAGTGGATGTACTTCAGACCACGCTATGGAGACGAAGTTAGTCAATTCTGGGCGCTGGCACCCTGTCGGAGTTACCTCTCCGCTAACTTACCAAGATCTGGTAGGTGAAATACTGAACAAACTGGGGCTCCAGAGGCTTGGATCTCATCAGTCGATTCAAATCCGTCGCAAGGAGTTCAGTCACTAGATAGCTGACGGACAGTTGTCGGTGCTGTCTGAAAACATGAAGGGTTTGTGAGTACTTACATGTCCTCCAGTGGGGAGACGAAAATGTCGCAAAGACCGATGAGCTGTAGATAATCAGAATGAAGAAGGTATGTAAGAGGTGGATGTATGAGCTCGCCATACATTCTCGTGTCGGAAATGCTTCAAGAGTTTCACCTCTCGGAAGGTACGCTTTGCCACTGTGGCAGTCTCGAACGGCTTGATGACTTTCTTGATGGCGACTGCCTGTCCCGTAATCTGATCATGTGCCGAGCTGGATTGAATTGTCAGTCATAACCTCGTTCACTCACTCACTCACTCACAACCTCTCTCGTCCCAGCAGAAATCAAGAAAAAACAGGGCAGGGGCTACCAAACAAGACCATATACACCCAGGCCAATGGGTTGCAAGTTTCCGTATCTACCCAATAGTTACAATCAAGGTCAGACTTGTTACTTAGCGTCAAGACAGGTTACTTCTAGCTGAACTTACCGCTTTGTAGACTCGAACACCGTGCCTAGAAACTCGGAGCGAACGAAACCTTCCATGTTATCCGGATATCGTTTAGGTTCTGAGAAAAAGAGTAAATAGCAGATGGGCGTTTACAATCACGACGTGCAGTAGAACGATTATTATCCCAAATTTATAAGCCATCCGCCTATCGTGTCAGTTCGGTATAAAGCCCAAATTGACAGAACTACCGAGCTTGAAGTCGTCCCCACCCTCCATTTCCGTGATAGGAGCCAGGGACCAGCCCCATGAGGGGAGAGAGGGAAGGGGGGGGAAGGAAGCAGAGGCATGGAGCAAATCAAGGAAATTGGATCCATGGGGCGCAACGTGCCCTGTTTTAGCCGATTTTCTCCTGACCATCGTATTTACAGACGTGCTTTTGGCGCATAAGCGTCTTTGGCTACATTTGGTGCTCCATGGTTGAGAGGGTGGGTCGACGGCCGAGACGGAGTCAATCGTCCTAATTCAAGTCCTGTCTCTGTTACCGGAATCATAACCCGGCAGCCGCGCGAAGAGAAATGTCTTGTCTGTCTAGCCGCTGACTGTACACGTGGTGATGGAGCTGTTTTTGGTCACCAAATCTGCTATGGAGTGCATAAACCCTGTGTCTGGCCCGTTCGACAAGAGGAGCACTGGGCGCCGACCACCTTTAGCATCCGCCCAAACTAGTAATCACCACGGACCATCCCTCACCCAATTATTATTCTAAGCTTCATCTTTACCCAATCTCCAAGTCTATCCGGGCATACGATCTAGGGCGGTTCTATATCCGTGGTCAGTGTGTCAGTTCTCGGTCAGCGGCCCGACCTCAAGGGGGCTGCTGTATAAGCAATGCGATAGGCAGGGAGCCTCTAGTCAATCTACTTGATTTACTATATTACCTCCAACAGCATGGGATCGGAATCTGTCTTCCGCGTTTGCCACCCTGCCACGTAAACTCATGCCCGTGGCAATGGTCAGTGGAGCCTCCAAGATACTAGCAACAATTTCCTAGCGAGGATCATCAAAGAGAAGTCCAGGATGATAAGCAAACAGAACAGCTTTGTATCTCGGTAGCTTACTTAAGTTTTTGTAAGCATTATTCGATAGTGATCGGGTTGTAGGTGGGTTGCTTTTTGCTGGGGTTTGAGTGGGAACGTAGGGTGTGCTGTGATGAGACGGCATGGGACAGGAGCTGGGATTGAATGACAATAAGGGCTTGGTACTTTCCAATCACACCCTATGATGATGTCCGGCATAAGAAAGGGTTATATGAAGAGTCTCGAAGGTAGAGAGCGAAAAAGGAGCACACTTTCACCTGGCGTGCTTTTGTCAAGGGTCTTGATACGTGCAGATGACAGGAAGGACTCCGATTACATCCAAGCAGGCTCTGGGCCGTTTCATGCAGTAGCACGCGGTAACACCAGACTTAAGCCACTGCCAATTATGATATCGTCTATTCGTAGAATCAACCTCGGCTTAAGAAAATAAGGGATACGTTACCCCCTAGGTCCATAGACCCTAGTAGTAGTAGTAGTAGTAGTGTCTGCTATTCTCACCAAGCTCCAAGTGCGGATATATTTTCCGGGGCCTTCATGGGTCCTCACTCATTGTCTCATGCCAGAGTTGCTTGTCCCAATACCCCAGTGCCATGGGCTACTTTCTTTGCGTGACATGTTCCCTTCGTTATTAGCACACGTCATTAGACGTCTCTACCTGCCCGTCACTCTTTTTCTTTATGGAGCAACTTGGGGGTGGGTTTCATTACTTTTCCTCAGGGACTAGGATAAGGAAGTGTACTTCTGACTAAGGCCAAACTCGGAAGGAGAGGCAACTTAACTTCAGAGAATAAAGAATAAAATGATATATTTTCAAGCTCCACACAAGGACTATACATCTGTCTTTGAACCTAATCCTCTACTTGAACAGTTCTCGCTGAGACACTTTCTGGTGGTAAGACTGGAAAGGAGGGAGAAGAGGGAGGGTGACTGAGTGAAAACCTGACTCTGGGATCTAAACACCGTTTCGCAAAATCTCGCTAAGCTTATTGTCTGAATATGGAAAGGCCTGTTTGAACTTCTCGACATTCTGCTTGTGCCGTTCGATATCGAACGGGAAAACAGGGTTTGGCATAGAACCAGCTTTCTGCCATTCTTCCCACAACCGGGCCATCAGCAATTCCATCAGGGGGAATGATAAGGGACGCCAGTTCGTATTCAGCTTATAGAAGGTGCGAAATGGTTGTTGGATGAGGTCAACATGAAATAATTCCGGATGCAGTAGTCTTGCAAGTCGTTCATGGAAATCTTTAACAGGTCGGTGCCAAGGTTCCGACAAGTCATCAGTTAGACTTGAATCTCTGATCTCCTGGCAGAATAATGACTCTATCCATCGCGCCGGAGTGAGCAGCTTTATGGGATAAAAGGAGTTCCCGAACCCCTCCATATCCCAGTCAGGGAGACGACGGTCTGTAGAGAGCATGAAATTAGGGTCATTGGGCTCAGGAAAGTCAAGGGGAAGATCGGGCAAGAGCCAGAGCCACTGGGACTTCCGAACCAGACCAATAGGGTAGCAGACTGTATATGTTCCGGACCAGACAAGATCTTTTACCTCTTGATAATGGTGGAAGTGGTGGTCAGGCCACGGGTTTGGCATTCGGTTCTTGGGGGGGCTGGCCCAGTCACAGAATGAAACTTGACAAGGATTCTCAGGAAAACCAGCAACTCGCAATGCTCGTATAGCGGCATCCAGGCGATCATCCGGAACCACGAAGCAAAGGGCACGATTCTATTGTCGATCAGTTAGCCCTTTCCATTTTCATATTTTTTTTATTTTCTTTTCTTCAACCTATTAGGTGGTGGGTTTGCCTTACAGTCACAATGTGCATTACCATGTGCACGTTCATCAAATCTCCCCAGGCTACGTAGGGGACTTTGGCATGATCCAATAGCTTGGCTATCTTAGATCCCCATTCGAGCCGGTATGAGCTATGGTACAGCTCAGGGCTGTCCAAATATTTCCAGACCATCTTAGGTATGAGACGAGGGTGGTGTAGTAGCGTTGAAGAGTTAGAGGATACCTATCCCGATTAGTATCAGACGCCTTTGTTCGATGGTTTGTAGTTCCTTGATTTGACTGGTAGTTGTCGTGTCCCCTTGCGTCTACGAATGGGAATGGCGATGGTTTTATGGCCCAGCGTGTCTGGAGATAGTTAACCATACTCATGAGGTTTACATCAGGTGCACATGGACTTCCCGCTTTTCTTCTATTTGTTTCATTCCATTTCGGCTTGGTGAAAACATTAGCTATACTGAATAGCCATTACCTCAACATGTGCATTGAATAGCAGAAGTAGCAGTCGCATCCCAGATCTCGGGGTATCCCTGTTGATCTGCTGCTCTGCAGACGTGCATGACCATCAGCACTAACCGCCATCAGTTCAACAAAACATGAAAGCTGCGATATAAACTATACATAAGATTTCATCGTGCGTGTCAGTAGATATGCTATGGATGTTTCCAGCCATCCGTGTAGAAGTATGAGAACAAGTCACGGTCGTATCTGCACATACTTGTATAGTAGAACACGCACTCCCTCTTTGTCTCTCCTTTACTTCTCTTCTTGCGGCAGCCTGGACGGCACTATGAGAAGGGAGAACATCATAACAATCTGGGATTCCAACATGTGTTACTTTCATGATCTCACAAAACAATTTATCCGAACTGTGAGTACATGGACTAATCTCAGCTTCCGCTGTTTTGTGTGTATGTGAGAGTGAATGGTCGCATGAGCAGGGACCTACAGCAGCTCTAGAACAAGCTTATTAATTATTCATTTCGCGGATTTCCGAAATAATGTCAAGAATACTAAGACAAGCATATTGGATAGCGGATGTAGACGGTCATGTAATTAAGGGTGTCTGGATTATTTGTGCGGTAAGTAGATGGGAGACCAAGCAATGATCGAGAGGGTTTGAGGGGCTTGAAGTAAATAAAGAGGCTGGGCAAAAACAAAGCCCAGTTGAAGCGAAGAAGAAATGAAAAGAATAAAGAAAGAAAGGAGAATAAGGTCCGACCCATATAGAAGATTGCGTTGAAGTGGATGGTGGGAAGCCGATGCGTGTGTCCTAAAAGAACCAAAAAAAAAGGAATGGGGCAAGCCGGGCTTGAACCGGCCACCTTCAGATTAACAGGGACGTCCTTTCGGACGAAGCCTATGGCCGAAGTTAGAGCTTCAGTCTGACGCGCTCCCAGATGCGCCATTGCCCCGATCATGTATTAAAAGAAAGTTTTTCACTATTCTTGTAGACTCTTTTCCAGAAATAAAAGTACACATTATGAGGCCATTCCGGACGCTGTGTGTGACATTATTGCACTTTATGTTACTATTTCTTGTACTTATTATTCCACTATTACTTTAAACATACTGTAATGGTGTTATCCATGGGTAATTGCGTATTTGAGTTGGTTGGCACGGATGTATACTGAGGCATTTACTAGGATATAATTATTAGGCGCCGTCGACCGACTACTACTCTGATGGCACTTGCACCGAAATCAATACAGTAATATTGACGGGCGTATATTTAATGCCACTATAGAGCATGACATGTTCTGATCCATGTCCCTACCTTTCCAGGTTGCTGCATTGCAACTCGACGCAGGTATGTCCCCATAAGCAGGCACCCAGACTGCTCGCTCCATGTCAATGTCCCAACCGAAACCATCAGGCTTTACACCAGGACAAACTTAGATGCATGCTGCTCGTTGCTTCACTTCAATATACACCCAGTGCCTACCTTGCTTCAGAAGCAAGTATTCAACACCTTCTTAGTACTTTCTACATCTACCTCACCCTCCCTCTAGAAGTCTAAATAAACCACACCACCCGCCGGCACCTCCAAACCAGCGAAATCCGCTCTGCCATACCACAGCCCACTACCACGATACATTCAACACCAGAAGCTCATCACAGACAAACTCCAAGGTAGACTAGACCACACAATTGAACACAAAGCACGGTCTCTGATATCCAATTGAGTGATGCCGTACCCATCGCACAAAAGGACACCTCCCACCCACTGGCACACAACCAACCAACCAACTGACTAAGTAATTACATAACAAACCAGCCAAGACCTCACACTTATTGACTAACTAGGTCCGGCTAGCGCAATCTATAACAGCCCCCACAACATCGCCTTCTCCCACAATATGCAAATTAAACCCCAACGGCACCAATATCCACGCTTAAAAAATGTAGAGAGAAACGGAAAAATAAACAAAAAAAGGAATGGGGCAAGCCGGGCTTGAACCGGCCACCTCCAGATCTTCAGTCTGACGCGCTCCCAGATGCGCCATTGCCCCTTGATTAGTGATCATTGTTGAGGACTTTGAATGTATGAGGGGAAGTACTCGCTATGGGTGTTTATGGCAGCAGTCATATAGAGCAGATTGATTGATTTATGCTTCGTAGCTTGATAATACATATTCTATGTCCTGCATACAGTTTGTTTATATGCTGCTAGTAGGGGTAACGTCACTGAGCTACCTTATTTTTACGTGATCAGCTCACTCCATCTTACGAGTCATAACAGATATTCAGCATAAGTATGTTTGCGCTAAGAGAAAGACAAAGGGAGAAGTCAAACAAAGCACACAGATGAAGAACAAGTAAAACATTGTAAAATCTGTATTTCCTAATCTTCATCCTCCTGCCCCTATTATTGTTCATTGTTCTGCAAAAAGCCACATGAAGAACCCCATACTTACCCAAATAACCATCCATCAACCACATACTATCCCCACCCCTTGAAAATACCAACAACCCTCCCTACTCTATACTCCGCCCCAATTGCCTTCCCAAAGAGATAGGGTTTTCTTTACCTCCTGTCTACCTTCATGTAGAAATTTATCGTGTCCAAGATATCAACCAATGGGGCAATGGCGCATCTGGGAGCGCGTCAGACTGAAGATCTGGAGGTGGCCGGTTCAAGCCCGGCTTGCCCCATTCATTCTTTTTTATTTTCATTTTTTTACTCATCCTACCTTCATCTTTCAGTCTGTTTCACTCACTTGGGTATTGTCTATGTATCATTCTTTATTTATGGGATTACATTGGTGTGGTAGGTTGTGCGTGTACCTAATATCACTTCTTTTTTCTGTTGCAGTTTTGTGAAGACTGAACCTTAGAGAGTGAGAAGAAGGGGAGGATACTTGCGGTTCTTTAGATGAACAAACGACTTGCTGTAAAGATGACAAGTTCCCGAGAATATACTACATATTCATAATTTAATAAATGTGGAAGTATTGTTCTTGTTAGATGTCTGTAGTTATGCATTACGCACTAGGTATATGTACTGATCAGTCTGACCAACGTAAGTACTATAAGTACACAGGAACAAAAAACGTAAAAATCGACAAATGCCACCCCAGATGATAAGTTGTACAAACGAAGGCACATGGATATACAATATAAACAAAAGCTGCAGCATTATGTAAGATGCGTTGCTCGCGCCGGTGCGATTCTCTCCATGTGCGCCAAACACTATTAGACGGAGATGACCCAGATGATGGGAATCTATGCGGTAAGCGAGAATCACCAAAATGAGAGTGTGTCAGAGATGCCAATTAATGAGATAGAGATGGGAATAACCCCTGCTGCACCGGGTATGTCGAGACCAGAAACATGTCCAGAGAAATAAAGAAAAAGAATATCCACAATTGATGAGATCGTCCATCCGTCCGTCAATCCGTAAACGCCGTTTCTGCGTGTATACCAACAGACAGCATGTACCATAGCATGCCATTCCTGAGAAAAATAAAAGTACCAATGAAAAAATAAAATCCAAATGCACGTCACCGGTGATGTACATCGACCTGACTAGAATAGTCGCTTAACGTCGACTATTTCGACGTTTCCTGGGCGGTCTCGTTCCATATGGAACCACCAGTCCCTTCCACTTTTGTGGCTATAATTCCATGATCCGGTGCAGGTATCCCGGTCCCAAGGGAGTGCCGTTGTAGACGAAAGACTCATCGGCGTCGCTGGTGTTGTAGGGGTGTTCGGACTGGTGCCCAGCGCGGACCGACTGCCGATGCTGCCCCATCCAAAGCGTGAGGTTGTAGTTGATGTCGGCGATGGTGGCTCCTCGGGGGCCGGTTTGGTGTGGCCCTTGCCGCCAAAGCAATTCACTCCAACTCCAGCAGCATACGTGAGCGACTGGCTGGAGGCCAGCACATGTTTCCAATCAACTAGACCTCCATCACCATCCTGCCCTGGTATGTCTGGACGAAGGATAAACCTTGGGATTGAGATGTCCTTGTCACTTGTCCTAGATCCTATCCTCCCCATGAAGGCTGGCATCCGGAAGTCATACACTGTGACCGGACCTTCGTGATCGTCGGGCAAGACATCATTCTTAGGCTGCACACCACCTATGCCGAACTCGTCCATGTCCAGGTCGGACCCATCATCGGAAAGTTCGTCCAATGCATTGTCTGGAACGTACGAGTCCGAGTGATCAGTGATGAGCAGCCGCATTCCGGTTTCCGTGTCCTTCGCTGCCATATCGATAAAAGTCTGTGCTCGTATCCGAGCAGAGGTCAGATTGTTTCCCGCGGGAAGGGCCATTGGTCGGGTCGTAACAGAGCCGTGGGAGCTACGGGGAAGGCTGTAACGGTCCGGCTTGAGCAGTGCCTGTCCGCGTGGTATTGGCTGGCATACAGCCTGGAGGACTCCCGGAGGTTCTATATCCGAGGGTGCTCGCAGTGCCTCAAGACGAGGGAAGCCCACGGACAGAATACTCTGAGCCAGATGAGAATTCGGTGATTCTGTATGCCGCGGTGGTTTCACAAACGGAGCGTAATCGAGCCTGCCGAGTCCGGCGGCAGAGTCGGGTCCCGTAACGTCCCAATGCAGGTATCGGAGGGTCGAGGAGGCGAAAAGCGGTTGAAAGACGATCCAATCGGCGTTCAGCGTAGGGTTCTTGTTGCTCTGGACGAATTTGAATCGTTCTAATTGTCTTAGAGACGATAGGATTTTCGAAATCGTAAGCAACGAATCTATGTTCTGCTCCACAAGGGCCAGGGTCTTGAGCGAGTGAGACTCCGGACGCATGGCATATTGGCACAGCCCTGAGTCAGTCACGCCCGGCAGGTTCTCCAAGCGGAGCGATTCCAGCGACGGTAGGCACAGCAGTGCGCTGTCCGCAAAGGCATCTGCGTCGAAGTTGGAAATGCAAAGATTCCGCAGTGACGGCAGAAGGCTGACCATGCGAAGGAAGATACTCGGTTCCAGGGCGTTGTTCTCGTTCACGCCATAAAGCATCAGCGTCTCTAGATTAGTCCATGAGACATGGTAGTTAAGAAACTCGAACATTTGCGAGGGGCCCAGGCTCCAGGGGCAAGATGTGCTGCGAGGGGATTCTTCAGAAACCGCCGGGGCCTCTCCTAGAACCCATGTATGCTCCTTCAACTTTCGACGTGTAGACAACGCATGTGTCAGGCGATCGAACTCATGGTTGTACGGGATGGTCAAGCCGAGCAATCGTTCCAAGTTCGGGCACACCATGACGACCGAGGCGACTAGGTCTCGGTATTCTTGCCATTGAGTGCTCTGCTTCACGGTGGTGAATAACAGGTCCATTTGGGGGACTCGAAGCTCCAGAACGAGATTGGCCAGCAACTTCCTCTCCCGGAGGGTTCGTCTGAGCAACTTTAAGCGGCTTCCCCTCTTAAGCCGGTACTTCTTCAACTGCGACGGTGAATCATTTCCAATGATATGTATGCGGTTATACCTGGATGGAGATGATCTGATTAGCATACGTGGGAATCGCTATGACGAAGGGCGTGCCCGAAGGCATAACAATATACTCACAACTTCGCTCTGACTCCCTTCTCCCACGCCCGGCAGGTCAAAGAAAGAGCGTGCAAATCGCGCTGAAAGCATGTTAAGCATCCGGTCTGATTCGGGCCAACATGTAAAAGTTCCAGTTGATCAAGAATGACATCGTAGACTTCTTGCGGTAGTCGCTTGAATACCGACTCCAGTATCTTATCCAGAGAAGCAGCGGAGTCGAATACGCGAACTGGTGATGCGGGAGAGATAGGAGAGTAGACTGTAGGGGCAGTAGAGACACTGTAATTGCTCTTGAAGGAAGAAACTGATGACGTTCGAGAGGAGACCGGCTGCACTGTTACGGCATATGCTGCATCCTTGCAATGTATAAATTCGCTTTGAGGAATGGGGCTGAAAGGCACAGCAGCGCTCTCGGGTCTACTGGCGACGACACTCATCATGAACACCGGTGTTGCATCTGACGAGCACCGTGACAAGGCGCACAGGGGAGAGCCAGTAGAGGGGAAAAGAAAAGCGGTGGTGGTGGTGGTGGTGGCCTGTATAATAGTGCGCAAAGGACCGTTGGAGACAGGGAAAGGGGGAAAGGCGCTCGAGTGGGGAAACGACGGTCGAAAAGAACGGACGGCACAGGAATGTATGAATAGTCAATTAAGAGACACACCAGCTAGAGCGTGTATATACGAAGGAGTGTGGGTGTAAGGAACGAAAATGAAGGACACACAACAAGCAACAGTAAGAAATCACAACGAAAGTTGTAATCTGATGGCCAAAAGGAAGTACTTGAGAACGAGAGGGAAAAAAGAAAAAAAGACAGCGCGGCGCTATTTTAGGAGAACGAGGGGAACAGTAGCGTGAGAGCGGGCGCCAACAAGTATCAAGGACCACACATTTGGTCGGCTGAAGTTAGTTTGGACGCCCAAAAGAGCTTAACGCAAAACCATTGATGGCACGAGAAAGTCAAGAGGCAGGCCACCGCGAACACGCCACTTCTCCGAGAGTGTACATTCTGTAGTCAAGAGTAATCGGACTACCAGATAGGAGGACCTGGGACGGCAGTCGAGGGCCGATCGTCCCCACCGGAGGAACGAGGATCTTAGGTTCACTAGTCCGTGGTGAGACTGCAGGGCATCGGCATCACAGCGACTCGTGCTGGAAATGGAAAAGCGGAGACTTCGGCTCAAACATCACTCCATCCGATATTCATCCGTCCAATACTGATGGACCCAAGGAAGAGCAGCCATCGCCAGGGGGGAGTAAGAAGCAATGCTCGGTTATGACGGGCTGCATCAGCCGTACGGAGGATAATAATCTGAACTAAGCAGAAGGAAACTGTCGGGCGACTCCAGGATTCAACTGCCATTGCAAAAGCGGACAGAGGCCCGTGAACTAAATCGTTAGCTGGAGGGTTAGTCTTTTGGAGACAGTAGTGGCGGCCGTAGTATCACCCCAAACAAGTAACGATGCGACAATTCAGTGGGAGGATGAGCGACTCCGCAAATGTTTCGCAGATGAGCATCATCATTATCATCACCAGTAGATCAAAAGGCCTGAAAACCGTGCATTGGCTTTTTCCTCCTCATCCTTCTTGTTGATTTAATGGTGTAGACGGTAGCACACCGTAGCTCCGATCCCACCCAACAGAACCAAGAGTTTGGGATGGGTCAAGGATGACGACGGAGGGGGTGGGAAGAAGGAAGGAAAAGGAGGTGGCAGCCCCGAATCCATGGGATCCCGTGCAGGGGATTGCCTCGACACCCGCGGAACGAGGCATGAAGGCTAATCCTTGTAGAGTCTAGCGCAGTGACCGGGCTGGCGCTAGCGTCAGGAACAAACAGGCTAGTCCGAGTTGGGAGGGTTCGTTCGGCATGGATGAGGTGATGATACGCTACGAGAGCCCCTTTTCAGTACGCATTATTACTCTTTGCTCGACTTGCCCCGGACAAGGTTGATGATCCAGTAGTTGGGGTCTTTTTACTGAAGTTTATTTATACCATCCAATGGATGGATGACGTCGATGCTGTTTACGATCACCGTCCTGAGAGGATTTTACCAAAATTACGAGAAAGAAGGCAGCTGTAATTTGTCGTGTTTATGGGTGAATAATGTCAGTGGTATGTACATAGATGGAAAGATGAAAGTTATATATGTGTGAGTGAGTGAGTGTGTGCGTGCGTATATACATAGTATGCAGCGACTCGCAGGCAACAGAAAAAACGAACTAACCTGCAGCAGCACGTCTCCTGAAGACGAACCACCGTTATCACCCGTTTAGTCGTCTTAGTCTCCATGGCGATGGGTCTCTTTCCAGCCATCGGCTCGCACCGTCCATTATTCATTGGCTGATGCGTTGGACCCGTTTATGTAGCAGAGGCCTCAGTGCGTATGAGGGGGGTTTGTGGGAACACACGCTGCCTGCAGTTAGTCAGCCTTCGTTTTTGGAGCATCAATCTCAGACAACGATGGTGATGGAATCATACCGCGCTCGGAGATACCTGTCTCATGCGTTCCACCCGTTTTTGTCATGTAGATTGGTTAATAATTATGGATAGATGAAGGCAATATACTCCGAGTGCTGTACCCCAACAATTGAACATTATATGTAGATAAAAATCACTCAGTTGCTACTAGCCGATACCTACACTATAGATACAAATCCTCTTAAATCCGAGCCTCTCCCCCCTCCTTCAATTTCATCCTGGACTGATTACACCGCATAAACATGCCAATGTATAAATAACTACACAAATATCCCGAAACCAACCGATCCAAACAAATGCCGCATGACACTCCACTCCCCTCCGGCAAGTACTACAAAAGTACAACCAGGCCGATTTTTATTCCGACCGTTCCAACCCCTCCCCCTGTATGGATGTATAAATAAGCACTCCCTGTACAACCACCATCACCATCTACACATCCAGTGAAACAACAACAATGCCATAAAAAGAAAAGAAAACAAGGAAACACGATAGCCAGTTTCACATACGAACTACGCCCAAAGTAACTCAAGTTCTCACCTCGAGTCAGGGGGTCCGTGGCGCCGTCCGTCCGGTGGTGGTGGCTGCAGTACCCCCCTGCAAGTGTTGCTTCGCTCAACTTAGAACCGTCTCGCGATTGGCTTGTGTGTGTTTTACTTTATATGATACTTCGGAACTTTGCGAAGGGAAGTGTGATCTACACCCTGAGTTGCTTATTTTGGGGTTGTCGTTGGCTCCCTTTTCTGTGTGGTTGCAGGGGAACTAAATTCGGCCAAGGTTTGATGATGCGAACTGCATTGGACTGGGTTCGGGATATCCGTGGGGAATACATAACTAGTAAGTAAACATCATATACAAGGGTGTATACTTATAATATATATGTTGATATACCAAATGATCAACCCTGGACAAACCCATTTATCTCATCAAATCATTCATTCATCCACCTTCAATCCTTCAATTGCTTTGTCCACCACCACCAACAAAGACACCCACTATTCGTACTACTAACCAACAATCCTCCATAAAAACAAAGAAAAAGATCATCACCACTATACACCAAAGAAGTATGTATCTGCCACCCGCACGGCCCCCAAGGCGACCACCACCAGCCCAAGACCAAGGCATTTAGTATACTAAGTAGTAGATTTATACCCTATCTAGTAAAGTCTGCTAGTGGTGATCCCTTAACCCCAAAGCGTGAGTCAGGAAGCGCACCAGAGTACTTTCATTGGTTGTTCTGTGTTCCTGTCTCAGAACCTTCACACAAATCATCACCATCACTGCTACTTAATTTATTTTGATCCAAATCTAATTAGCTATCACACTGATCACATCATCGTCGCATTTCAGCTCGGTATTTTGGTTTGGTTTTGCTTATTTTTTATTTTCTTCACTGTAGGGTCTAATAGTGTATGACTACTATGATCTGACACATTAGTTTTCCAACACAATTGAACAAAATATATAAATAGTTACGAAGGAATCCATCTGAGCTCAGCGCGATCAGATCAATTGTTGGTAGATACTACTACCTACCAATCATGTGAATGAAATAATCTACTCTTTCCGTGTATGTCAGACAATGTCTCGTTTCAATGGAGATTCAAGTTTTTAGTCATATCTTGTCTTGTCTCGGGGACAAAAATAGGTCTGGCCAGTGCATTGGTATCCATCATCCATGAATCATGGCTTTACTTAGGTTCAATGTTGGATTGTTGGGTCGGTTTCATCCGAGTCTCCATTAAGGGTCGGGTCGGGTTGAGAAAATCTATCTAGATAATTTTAGATCGGCTTTTGTACGGGTAGACTATCTAGTGATATCTAGGGGAAGGGCGTGTTCGTCGGGCACAGCTTGTTCCGATTGATAATGGATGTGTTTCAGATGGTTATTTGTGCCGTCTTCGTGGGTTTTGGGTCTAGGGTTGACCTGGTCCTGGTCTGGGCTTCCTCTCTGCTACAGGCCGCTCGCTCACCGTTTTGTCGTCGGTATCCAGGATAGCAACTACGAATCGAATACTACGTAGATCTAGAGCAATTCAAAGCAACTCGTGTGTATTGTTGGCAAATCTAGCCAACGGTCATTCTCAAGCAAGCGTCCTTCCTGCGCCATGCTGCCGGATAATAAACGCCTCGGCATCAACTCTCCACTATGTGTGTTTGTCACTTATGCTCGTAACTCCCCGCATGCGAAAGACAAGGATTCGGGAACAGGACCAATACGAGTTCGCAAAAGCTAACCGCAAAATCAAGGCAGCACGTGGATCGACCGGCGATGGAGCCAGACGACTGCCGGATATCACAAGGTTTGACGGAAGAAGAAAGTGCAAATGTGAGGTCAAGTATTCGTGGACCAGGCTCATGTCCCTTCCGCGCAGGCCAAGCCTGATCAGTAAGTATATCCAACCATCTATCCAGATGACCAGTGAAAAAGAAATAAGACATGGAAATCGCAAATTGAGATAAAGATATGAAGAGAGCAAAATATGATCAAACCACTGCGGGGGACTAATACTGCTGTTACCATAGCAAAAAAATAAACAAAAGCTAAGGTGTAAACCACGAATAGCAAACCAGAAACGAAAGGTAACAACAGCTAAGCCCTATTCACCCACGAGGGCATGTACAAAGCAAAAAGGTTCAAAAATAGTCATAAATCACAACTCCATTATCATGCATCAGGCCATAATCACATGTCGAAATTGTCATCAACGTTGAAGATACCGGGCTCGCCGCCCTCGTGTGTCCTCTGTACCCCACTCATGCGGTGGTTAGCAGTGCTTGCCGGCTGCTGAGGTCGTTGCCAAGTCTCAGTGTCCTCTTCCATGTGGTCACCAGGCTCATTGGTAAAGTGGTGATCCATAGAGCTTTCGTTAACAAAGGTGAAGCCCTTGAAGTTGGCTTGCAGACCGGGAGACAACGGCGTCGACGCCGGCATGAACCCATTGGCGATTGCAGCTGCACGGTCGTTGAGTGAGTTGTTGGTCTCGAGCGCATTCGTGAACTCGGGATCGAAGTTGGACGTGTCAGTGTCGGACTTGAGCGTTGGCTTGAATGGAGGGATCACCTCCTTGCGGCCCAATGCCTGCCAGTCGACGTCGTCAAAGAAAGGGTGTGCCATAAGCTCCTTCGCATCGCCCTTGGCACCAAGGCGGTGCTTGGGGTTCCGGTTAAGCAATCCCTTTACGAAGTTCCTTCCCTCCGTGCTAAGAGCATCCCGGGGGAACCGAACTTTGCCGAAGGCGATATTCTTGTACATCTGCTGCGTGTCCTCGGCGTAGAATGGGCTCCAGCCACAGCACATCTCAAATACGAGAACTCCAAGAGACCAGAAATCGACCATCTTGGTATATCCCTGTTCGTCAAGCAATACTTCCGGAGCCAGGTACTCGGTCGTACCACAGAACGTATTCGTCGTGTCGTTTTGGGTCAAGTTGGCCTTGGAGAGACCGAAATCACAGAGCGCGATGTGACCATTCGCATCCAGCAGAATGTTCTCCGGCTTGAGGTCCCGGTAAACAATATCGTGATCATGAAGATGCTGCAGAGCCAGAATGAGCTCAGCAATGTAGAACTTCGCTCTGGCCTCCTGGAATCGCCCTTCCTTCTGAAGATGCCAAAATAGCTCACCACCGGACATGTAGTCTGTGACAAGATACAGATCGGTGGGTGTTTGGAAGGAGAACTTCAGGCCAACGATGAAAGGTGAAGCCGCCATGGCGGTTCGGACCAAGATATTCCGCTCTCCCAGAGTATGTGCAACCTCCTTCTTCTGGATGATAACCTTCTTCGACAGGACTTTCATTGCGTATATACGACGCGTGTCCTTCTTCTTGACCTGATAGACCTGGCCAAACGTTCCCTTACCGATGAGCTTAAGGATTTGGAAGTCGTTCGGCCCAACCTGCTTCTTTTCTGTCCTCTCGAAGCGCATCTCCATGTGGATCTCCCCAGACACCTGAGAGTCACCCGCGCCACGGGACTTCAAAGGAAACCACCCTTCTAGCCGGCTGTTGTCGTCCTTCAGGTTAATGCAGAGGCGTACATGACCCAAGAACGCTTCCTGATCCTTGCGATCATACACCGAGACATCTACCTCTGACTGATCACCAAAGACATCACTAAAATGTGATAATTAGCGACATACTCTTCGTTAACGGGTAAACGGGAGAATGAACGTACAAGACCGCCTCGTGGTTCCAATGCGGGTCGGTTACTGGGGCACGTCCCCGGGGCTCACCATCGAGTGCGCTGTTGTTGCTGCTTTGCCGACTCTTCATGGGTATCGCCATTGGGCGTCCAGCCTCACGGTCCGACTTCTCTTGCTCTTTCTGTTGGCGTTCCAAGGTAGCCGCTTCTTCGTCCTGAGCACTCTTTGAGATGACCTCATTCCACTCAAAAACGCAGACAACGTAAGGGTCGAACCCAGGTCGGAGCCCTCTAGCTTCGGATATGTTCACGTAGAGCTTGCCCTTCAGCGAGGCTACTGGGGGACCAGTTGGTGAGGGAGTATCTCTTTCCGGGGGAAACGCTTCGTTGAGCTTGCCAGCGATCTCGTCGGCTGCATTCGCCGATTCCTCAGACGGCGGCTGGGCAGGTTCCGACGGGTGAGGGGATGAGGTGGGCGGCTTCTTGTCGGTTTGCGAACCTTCGTTGGACATTGCTCGAGGAGTAAGAGGAGGTGTACTCTTTAGACGCACGAGATCCGACACAGTTCCAGTTAGCTTCGCCAGGTTCTCAGAAGACATAGACACATGTGGTTTTTCGTGTTCGAGAAGGGGAGCATCCGGCAAACAGAACGCATCTGAAGCAGGAAGAAGGGAGGGATTGGAGAAATGGGAGGCAAGGACTGGATCGTCAGAGACGCTTGAGACGGGAAGAGAGGTGTGACGGCGGGACGTTTGTTCAGGAGAAGACATGCTTCCGGAGGGGGAAAGGTAATTCTTCAAAGTATTGAATATGGAGCTCATGCCCTTGTCTGGGGCAGAGGAGCCCAGTTCAGCCTCATCCGATTCTTTCTGCAAAAGAGAACAAGCGGAGCTGTAGGGGGGAGTAGGCAAATTCGTAGGGGGCAACGTTTCCGGCTGCAATGTGTGTGTCTCAAGGCTCTGGTCCGGCGAAGCGGTAGAAGACTGGGTATCCGAAGCCTCAGGGCGCTCCATCATAACGAAAGAGCCCGAGGGTGAGGAACCTCGATCCCGTGTCCCTGTGGGGGACGTATCCGACTGGGGGTTTTGCGCGGAAATAGAAGTCTCAGAAGAAGACCGGGTGTTTGAGGAACGGGACTTATCACCAGAGGGAGAACCAACCTGGAAATAACTGGAGTTTATGGAAGGCAGACGTTTGTCCGCTAAATCGGGCTGTGGCGTCGAGATCCCGGTAGGAGTTGGACTGTTGGAGCCGATTTGATCTTGATTGTCGTCTTCTTGCGTACCATTGCTAGTGCCCGAGTCAGTCATGATTCGAACTCCGATTGATGTTAAAAAAAAGGCACGACAGCAGCGCCATGGTGGTCGCCATTGTGCTATGTATGGTGGACTAATAACGCAAGACAGAAAGCATGTGGCAAGCGCTTCACAGTATAGCAGGGGGTGGTGCTAGGTATTAAACCTGCCATCGAAAGAGCAATGAAGTGGCAGTTTTCATGCATAGCAATTTTATTTCTCCCTTCAGCCTGTGCAGCATGTAGTCATTGCTTGTCGCGGATGACTTCCGCACGCGACATGATCCATGGGCAGCGCAGCAGAAACCGAGGATGGGAAGCTTGCATGCTAACCATGACAACACACTGAGGGCTGAAGTATGGCAGTCATCCGCCGTTGAGCGAAAACTTCGCACCAAGCTCTTTCATCCTTTTTGACCACACGCTCTCTTGCCACAGCCGGCATACGATGAAATCCAGACCAAAAGCGAGAACGAGGTGAAAGTCGCAATACTGTACTTACCTCCGGGATCTGGGCTGCTTCAATGAGTCCGCATCTCCATGCGGCCCTAGTCCACTCTGAGCAGCAGCCATCTTTATGTTTCCATCCGACACCCAAAATTCACAACTAGGAATACCGAAGGTCGAGTTTGTCGGTCGCGCCGCTGCGATAGGCGTAGTGATGTCAAAATCGACGAGATGACTGAGGACAGGTTGCTGAAGATATGACGTCTTTCAACGACGAGCTGAAATGTGAGAATTTGAAAAAGGTGAGTCAGACGCTGTTGGACGTTGACAAGTCAAGGAAGTTTGCGGGAGGATGAATCCGATCGGGTGCGGATAGCGAAGAGAAGGGAGGGGTAGAAAAGCGGGATGCCCTGTTACTGTTGACAAGTTGTTAGGAGAACAGTGTTGACGGAGCCGTGGAAGGGAAAGTGGATAGAGCTGATGGGGTCAACGGCCAAGGATGCAGAGCGATGGATGAGGGAAGGGAAAAAGGCACGGAAGAGAAGCACAAACCTGGAGGGTTTTACTCACAGACAAAACCCAATGAATTCCCGGGGCGAACTTGAAGAAAGCACTTATGGCTTCCAAGAACTCAATCAGTCAGTCTCGGGCAGGCAATTAATGCCCGTCAATGTGGGCGACGGAGCCTTAGCGTCAATCAGGCGTGGACGGACAAATGGCGGGCGGACGCCGGCGGATGGCGGGTTTCGTACCAGATGGCCAGAACTGATAGGAAGAAACACGAAGGAGGATGGGTTTATTTAAAAACAAAAAAAAAAAAAAGAAGTAAACCCCGGGATATATCAGTATACGAAGAGAAAAAAGAAGAAGGTTTAGAAGATGAAATTCGGGAATCAACGTTTGACGGTTAATTCAAATTTGAGGTTTGGCGATGAGGTGGCGTTAAAACGAACCAAACCCCCCAATAGTCATAGACATAAGCTGCCGCTGAAGCCGCTGAACGGGTCAGGGACTGCGGATGGGGACCGTTGACTTGTGGTAACTTTCGCGACCGAGATTCTGGGGAACAAGAAAGGAAGTTGGAAGGCAAAAGCGTGTCAAAAAAAGGGTTTGAAGCGTGCAGGAGCTGAGTTACAGGACCTGTTGGGTCATCAAAGCACTGGTGAGGGGGGAGGATGGTTGAGGCTAAACCCAAGGAACAAGCGAGGAAGAGAAGAGATGATGGTTAGAACCAGCGATGGCTGTGTATGGAACGAAACACGACAAGAATACGACGTGACCTCCTCTTTTCTTCCCGGTACTTTCTCGTGCCAGGACACAGGTCAGAATTGGTGGTGAAGCCCTTTTTCAGGTCTGCTGGAACTTGCTTATACTATAGGATGGGTCTTATGTGATGACCGGTCAAGGTGGTTTGCTTTGATGACTCTTCGAACCGACACTAGCCTGGCACAGCTTCGGAACGCTACTGGTGAAGGAAGTAGCCTAGTCAAGGGTGCATTGTTGTCTCAAGGCGTCCCTTAGAATTGGAGGCAAATGCCACCCATTGGGAAGGGAACGAATCAAAGGGCGGCAGGAGGCGTAGTAAATGGAAAAGGGAAAAGGCCTCAGACGGAGTGGAGATGGCGATGCTGCTGGCAAATAGACGAAGCGCTGTACGGGATGGAACCACTGGTGAAGTCAACCACGAACCACATCGCTTTGGTGGCTGGAGGCACACAGTAACATTTATCTAGCGGTGATGAGGAGGAAGGAGGAGGGGAACTTCTTGGAACGGATGGAGATGCCTTGGTTGAAGAATGATAAGAGAAGAGGACAAGAAAAGAAGATTCCTGGATGATTGATTCACTACCACTACCATCATCTCTCCTTTTCCTATTTCTTTTTTTTTTTTTGATCCTGCCGGGGGGTTCAGGGTGGTTGAAATAATTGCCTTTCCTCCATCTCCTCCTTTTCCTTTTCCCCCCCTCCTTCAAGAAAAGATAGATATTATTATCCGTCCACAGCAAAAGGATGACAGTCTCCCAAGCCGCCGATGACCGCAGAGGTCCGATGATGTGCCGGTTTGCCTCCCTCTCCTTCTCTCTTGGGCCCTTCTTTGAACAAGGATGGGCTATCCGCCCGGTGGACATGGATGGATGGGTGGGTGGGCTGGGTGGGAACCGGGAATGCTCGAAAGTCAAGAAAACCCGCTGCATAATTCCAACACCAGTCACTGCCATGGAATGGGTCTGTCTGTTCTTTAGGCTTCTCTATCTTTTCCATTGCCAACTGTGCCTAAAAGTAGTAGTATCTTAGTCAATTATTCCTCTGCCTCCCTCCTTCCTTTCCTCTTCTAGCTCTTCTATACTAGTATATACCTCTTTTCGAATATGGAACGGCAAAGTCCGGCCAAATAATCTACTATCTCACTTCCGCATTATCACCCAATAATTCCACCTTAAAATGCAATAATAATGACCTGCAGATACTCTTTGCCCATGTAATACTCGGTAGAAAGCTTATGCTCCTCCACTACTACCACTACCTCAAAATTCCGGCAAGCATGCCAATAACTAATTCCTCTTTTTAGCTAAAATGGATATCGGTTTCCCTTTTTCTCCTTCTCCTCTTTCCTCTCTCCACCATCTCCTCACGCTAAACGCCCCTCCGACAAGAAGGTAAATAATCATCGAAAATGTCTCCGGAGATCATTTTCTCCGCCGCCACCTCCTCACCTCTCATTATTCTTATTCTTATCCTTTTTTTTGCGGTTCCCTCGCGGTTGGACTGGAGTGGGGTGGGGTAGTAGTAAGTTGCTGGTCACCGCAACTGTCATCAACTCATCAACAACCATTGAGATATCTCATCACAGCTCACTGACCCTCTCTTGGTTTGTTGATGTCTAAACACAGTACTGTTGTGGTAGTGATTGGTTTCTTTCCTCTTTACTTGACTAGGATAGGGGCTTTGAGGTACATGTACAGTACCTCGTTAGGACTATGATTCATACCCGCGGAGAGTCTCTGGTGTTTCCCATTAACGTTTTAACCAAGGTCATTAAAGTAATTCGTAGCCGGTTCGGATCGACTGATTGCCCGATTAGGTATTCGTTGCCTTTCCGCCCGGACCTCGTTTCCTTATGGTGTCAATGACCGTCGAACGGCGAGCTAGCTAAGCTACACTATGAGCGATAACTTGAAATCAAGTGACATCATGTAGTTTTTCAGACCCTCAGATGCCCCGCGCTTCAGATGTGTTAGCGGAACTACGGGTCTCCTCAAACGATACACAGCCCTGCTGAATGCTATGGGAGCTCTGCAGTCTCTCCATAAACACTAAATATCCATTTACATCGGAGGTAGTAGTATGACCGCAGCGGCATCCTCAACCCTTTTGGAATTCTTCTTAGTCTTAGGTCGTCGAAGCGTTGCATTTCTCCTCTTATCTGAGTCAAACTATCGGCCAGACTGTAATCTATACCTCTCACGGTCAAATCAAGGTGTTCCGGACGATGGGAGATCGCGCGCCCCGAGGTTAGCGGCAATCCCGGGCTCGTCACCCCCTTACGTTTGTGCATCACAAGCTCAGGGCAGCTGTACGGCTGGGAGGTGGTAAGTCGCCGATATGGAGTTACACCATGTCCGTGCAGCTGCCAGATCCAGTAGCATTGTAATGCAGTCGCTGCTTAGGTAGGATCGATTATGTTTCAGAATGGCCTGGTTCGACGGTAAAAACAGCCGGCCGTAGTAGACCGGAAAATGGGGATGGGAGGAGGAGGGGGAAGTCCTAAAAAATGCCAATCACTGCGATGGTGTAACCGACACTGAGCTTCGTCGTGCAGATAGCAAGTTTTGGTAGGAGTAGCCTCTCCTCAGATCGCCACTTTAGGAAATTGATGCCTACCAGAAATCGCAGGAAAAGATATCCAGGGGAACCTTTTGGTGGAGTTCTGCTTTGTCTTCGCACTCGCCCCTCCACGATCCGCCAATAATAAGCTAACTGCCCTAGTCGACTAGGGAGACCGTCGCTGCATCTGAGGCTACTTGGACACGATCAGTAGGTAGGTCACCTGCAGGCTGCTGCGAGGTTGTGTAAGCGATCTGCGGCACGCAGCATCTGGTCACCACAGACGCTCCGAAAACATCCACGGGCCCACGCTCGATTCCGATACCACGGAGGGGACCGTACCGCGATGGCCTCGCAGCACCAGGCTCCAACACGTTGAAGATTATGTGACGCGATGGGGCCTACCCTCCTTCAAGGTGCATAAGGGTGGTCAGAGTTGAGGAATGCGGAGCACAGCAGTCCTGCTCTGCCGCTATTATTGATGGTGGTGGGGGGGGGGTTTTTTTTGAGGGGTTCCAGAAGCTCCCTCTCCCACCGCCTCTTTTGCGGACATGTGAAGTTGAGGCCGAACAGGTTATCGCTGTCACATACATACGTCAGTGGTCAGGCTGGCGCATACCTTATCGCTGCAGATGATTCATCTGCTGGCTTGGGTCGTGCTGGCAATGGTTCTGTTCAGCTTCCGCCAGGATGCAAGGCTACCGTACCTGTCTAGACCACATAGCTCTTGTGTAGCGAAAGTCAACGGATGACTGACCCTCGGAGGAAATCCCGCATACTGCACTTGCTATTTGCCGTGTAGTAGTAGGGGGTTAGGGGGGTGTATCTACACGGGGAAGCCGATAACTGTTCAGCGGGAAACGGCAACACAAGATGGCTCGCGCGATCACGAATCAGTTCGAAGGAACGAACCGTCGGCGATCAGCGGAAAGGGACCATGACATCATGGTGCAGGAAGCGCCAAACGGACTCCAGCCTCGATGAGGGTCTCCGATTATCTCCATCATTGGTTCGGCACGTGGCTGGAACAACTCTATCTGCCTCAGGCATCAGGGGTATCTTGTTTAGTCACGTGATGCTAAACCGGGGACTCGGAGAAACCTAGTCCCGTCTGGCTCTAGCGCGAATGGCTGCGGAAAGGAACATCCCCAAGGGCCTCCATTCAGCTCTGTCGCTCCAGTAAATTCAGGTCGGCGTTCCTTGCCCATCTTACCCATTCACCCGTCGGTATGGCTAGGAAACTTCGTGCGGCTGCTCAAGCAGCTGCGCAATCAATGCGTACGTGACTTGCTTGGTTTCCACCTCAACCCTTTCCTTGGCCGCTGCGGCCTCGGTCGTCACGGACGCGAACAACTAATTACCCAGTAGGGAATGCCGCCCCTCCGCTCCCCGATGCCTCGGACGAGGAGATGATCGAAGCACCCCCATCGCGTGGATCATCGCCAGCGATGGAAGATCCAGGAGATGCTTCGGATAAGGATCCTGAGGCGGAAGCCCAGGCAGAACCCAGCCAGGAGGAAGAGACAGCCGCAACACCCGCCCAGGATTCAAACCCTCCATCGCGCGGCGACACTCCTTCACGCATGGGTGGCCGCATGTCAGCCATCCCGCGAAAGCGCCGCATAGGTCGTCCCCCGAAGAACCGTCCCCCAGACTGGGATGCGCCTGATGACGGCGCCCCTCAGACACCGATCCATACGTCCACGCCGGTCAAGCGCAGACGTGGTCGTCCCGCTGCTAGTGGTGGAAGGTGGGCACGTAACCGAGGCCCGTCGCATGTTACCCAGGTTCCGATCGACAAGGAGGGGAACATGATGGACGTTATCGACGACGAAGTTGCCCTCCCAGACGACCCCGAGGGCGAGACGAAGGTGGACAAGAACGGCAATCTACTGGGCGATCGAGAATATAGGGTCCGTGTGTTTACGATTTTCAACCGTGGAGATCGCAAATACATGTTGTCTACTGAGCCTGCGCGATGCATTGGTTTCAGGGACTCGTACCTTTTCTTCCAGAAGCACAAACTACTGTATAAAATCATCATCGACGACGAGGCGAAACGCGACCTCATTGAACGGGAAATTATCCCCCACTCTTACAAAGGCCGAGCTATCGGTGTCGTCACCGCTCGGTCTGTCTTCCGCGAATTCGGCGCAAAGATTATCGTTGGTGGAAAGAAGGTCACCGATGATTACCATACACAGGCCGCGAGGGAGCGTGGAGATGTCGAGGGCGAACTTGCCGTCCCTGAAGATAAGCTCCCTCCTCCAGGCGAACCTTACAACAAGAACCAGTATGTAGCCTGGCACGGTGCCAGTAGTGTCTATCACACCAGCGCCCCGTCGGTGCCTTTGCCCACCGGAAAGGCGGTGGATTCGAAGAAGCGCAAGGTCACGGTTACTGGCGATAACTGGATGCTCGAACATGCTCGAGAGGCAAGGTATGTGATGACAAGCCTGTCTGACACTATAGTGACTAACTTTACATGTAGCAACTTCAACTCGCTCATATCGCTTGCGCGCCGCGAAAACCTTGAAGGACAGTACGACATCCATACAAACGTCATGCAGTACCCCAAGATCATGCAACCGACTCATGCCCGCTGGGAGCGTCTGCCTCCTCCCGACCCTCGAGTTGCAACCAAATTAGCTCAGGGCATGTCCACGTTGAGCCTGACGAACGGCACCGGCGAAGCAGAGCCAGCTTCTGCGGACAAAGAAGCCCAGGAACCCAGCGACAGCCAAACCGAACATCAAACCACCGAGTCTACCCTCTTCTCCTCAGTTCCGGCTGCGCTTTCCCGCCGATTTGCCATTCATGACATTCAGTTCGAATCTTCGCCGTATTCCAACCTGGGCGTTCCCGGCCCAGACGGCGATGTGCACGATCTCGGCTCCAACGGCCTCATCAGTGTCGCAGACTCCGCAAATCCCGAGTTTACGAGCCCCGAAATCCTGGAGGAACTTCCTCCTGAGTGCAAGGAAGCCCTTATCGAGGCGGCTGCGCAAGAGTGGGAATGGAAATCCAAGTGGTGCCACGAAGCGAACGACGGGGCTCGCGCCAAATTACTCAAGAGTTACGCTTGGTTTCCATGATGTGCATGCTTTCTTATCCTATTTTCCCTCTTACTACCCCCTTTCAAGCCACTGGAGGGACTTTTAACCAAGGTCGTTCGCTACCTATTATACCACTTTCCTCGCAGTGGCTTTACCATTCTTCTTTGCTTCGGGGGCTCACGTATACCTAACTAACCAACTGATTATTTCCATTTCACTTCGGCAAACACACACTCAAATGGGCGGGGGTTTCATTCCGGATGGGTTGCGAGATTATTTACCAAAAAACAGGGAGTTTGAGCGTTTCAATATCTGGAGTGTCGTTATAAGTGGTTACTTCTTTATTACTTTCTTATTTCTATCCTTTACCTCATATCTTATTTTTAGCTTTTGCCGTATATTCTCTTTTATCTCCAAATCTTATCCTCATTGCTATGAGACTATAATTTCAGTTTAGTCTAAACGGATGGGAAGTAAAGGTAGTATAATATAATGAAACAAGAGAATGGTATTTCGATCACTACTAACCTCAGTAGTATCTTGATCGTGAATAATATTTAAGGTTCAATTATCCACTAGTGATTATCCTCGCAAGACCCCAGGTACCTGTGTAGTCGGGTTTTACTAGGCTCCCACTGTTCTACTTCGGGTTCAGTAGTGGTAGTGGCAGTGGCAGTGTGTATGAATATGGTGGATGCCTATATTAAGCAGGGAATGTGTCTGTCTATAAGGCTACTACTATTTCGTCTGGATTCATCATAATATGAATGGATGGGTTCTAGGCATGATTACTATGAGTAGTAGTAGACAAGGCTGCAGGAGTACATGTGGACGTAATACATTTGAACGAGGTAGAGATACAATTGATGTATTCGTGTATACTGTGTATTAAGGATCAGCTACACAATTCGAACTCTACTAGCCAATGTACTCGACAACAAGAGAGTAAGTAGACAATGATTCATTCCATCATGCAAGGATTCAAGTAATAGAAAGTAACTAACTCCAAGGCCGCAAATAACGCAATCAATCAAAACGGTTGAGGCAGCAATGTTCTTTGACACATATGATTAAAAGAGCAGGAAAAATGAAAGAAACCCGAGTCTGTAGGAATTGGAGGAAAACAAAATAGCTAGTTGGGCAGTTATCCCATGGCCATTTCCGCACGTAGCTTCTCCAGTTCTGCTTCCTCGTCTTCCTCTTCGGTCTGAGGTTTGGATTTGACTGTTGCATGTACGTTAGAAGAGTTTCATAGTAAAGAGGGAGGGACAGTGGCTTACTTTCTCCATTTGCCGCAGGAGGTAAACGGTTGAGTTGGTCTGCAACCGGCACCGTACCTGTGTTGAGCATCCGCTCGTCCATGGCCTCCTGCTCCAAGCCCTCGAGTTCCTCTTCCAAATCGGCCTCGTCTGGTTGGTCGACCAGATTGGTGCTTGTAATGGCTTGTGCGATTTCGGTGCTGAGTTGGTGCTGTTCGCGAAGTGTATCCCTAGACCATAGTCAGTTGCCGTGTTCCCATCACTCAAATGATACCGTAACGAAACAACATACATTGTCTGATCCACCGTATCAAGCGTCATGGAGCCATGGATCTTCGCCATCGCCGCACCAGCCGCCTCCATAGCCTTCAAAGTCTCCTGGTTGATATTCGCCGCCTCAATCGAGTAGATCTGCTGTTCTAGCTGAACGATCTGCGCCGTCGTCTGTTCGAGGTTCTTCTCATGAACCTTCTTCCGTCGAAGGGCGTTCTTAGCCGCTATACAGATCAATAACCCGTTAGACTTCATTTGTTGTTGCCTAGTTGCTGTTTTTCTGCTGTCACCTACCGGCCTTGTTTGACGTTACGTTCTTCCGAGCAATTGCATCCTGCTCCTCCATCAGATTCTCCAAATGCTTCTCGCGCTTTTGGAGCATATCCAGCTGCTCGCGAAGCATGAGGATCGCATTCTTGGGCGCATCTTTCCGCTTCTGAGCGGCGGATCCGCCGAACCAAGACCACATGTTGATAAGGGTGTATGGGGTTTGATTAGGCTGTGATAGAGAGCGGTTGCTATTGCGGTGATCGAGGTTATGCTAGGGACGGGTGATCCGACGTCCGATGGGGGAAGTTGTTGGTGTTGAGTCGGGAAGAAGTGTAACGACGGGTCTGGAATCGGTGGAAGGTGGGATGGGAAGAGATGATGGTCCGTGGCAACGGGGCGGGATCGGTGAGAGATCGCTGGACGGTGTTTATCCTGGTGATGGGTGCGGGAGGCGATCAGCTCCGAGTCACCTAGACCAGGTCGAGCAAGGCAGCGGTCCTTGATAAGCGCCAGGAAAACAGAGAGAGAGTGATAAGAAAGTTCGAGACGAGAGAAGAGCGAGCAGAGATGGAGGAGATCCCCGGCCGGATTCAAGTTGGTTTTCCCCTCGTTGGCCCTATGACATACGCGCTAAGCCTATCGGAGTGGTAGGGTCACGTGGCTTGGGGTCACGCCGGTCATCGTATTTCACTGGTATTATTTATTGATTGCCTTGTGATCGATCATTGCGGCCCTCGATATCATTCGTCAATATAATGGCCTCCTTATGAAGATATCTGACTTGCTGGAATGAACGCACCTCTTCCTTCTACGCGGGCGTTCCTCTCCGATCTACCTTCTCATCCAGTTAGCTCGAAGGTTCGATTTCTCGGTTGGTGCGTGGAGTTCCTTGTCTGTCTATGTGTGTATCTTACTATTTTACATGCTGCATACCGTAGACTATCTAGAAAGGCTTGCCTCTTCACTTGTTCGGGAATATAGTGGTAAAGAGACTGATTTTCTCAGTGTGAGGACATACAACATCCAAACGGGGCACCTCATCCTCGAACACAACTATCCGCGTCAGAAACCACCGCTGGAACCACCCTCTGTTGCAGTTGATATCAACGCGGTGCTGGAGACAGTCACGTCAGAAGAGCTGTCCGTTGGCGCATGGGTGAACGTGCTTGGATATGTAAGGAGGAACAGGAGGAGTGATGATGATGATTCTGCCGTCTCACAATCAAATCCAAATCCAGTGTATGTGGAAGCCGTGATGCTTTTCCCAGCAGGCGCCGTGGCGTTGGGAGAGTATGAGCGAATCCTGCAGGAAGCGTTGGGCGTGGAGAGGAGGATGCGGAGGACAGGCTGATAAAATATATTATTGATTGATGACTAGCAATTATTCAACTTCTTTTTATGTGCTATACTACTACTAATGGTCCCGAGATCTTCATTCCTTACTTCGTGACTCTCTTTGGTCATATGTATATATCCAGTTTGTATTGAACAACTGGGCCAGTTATTATTAGTATGTCGTAAGAAATATAGAAGTTAAACTAATATCTTTCAATAATTTAATATAAACTGAACAATGTGAGGTTTTCCGGACCGTCACAGTAAGAAATCGAATACGAACTATGATAAACTTACTATATAATAAAGACAAAGATCATCTATATCTAGTGAACCACAGAATACACTGATTCTTGAAGGATCGGTAATCTATTAATAATAATCCTTATTTTATATCTGTTATAAAGATCTAGAACAGCTATTAATCATTATTTCTGATTTTTATTAATCGCATACCTGTTGGCCCACCTCTGGGGGTATGTCGGTGACATCAGTCATCTGGTTAGAGGGGAGTTCTCCATAATTCTTTCTGCGTATTCCCGTGAGCCTGATAAAGTTTAGTAAAGCATACTTGCGGTGCTGGCCTGCGTCGAGGGTGAAGTTGTAATAACCATTCTCGTTACACTGCGTCGGCACTAAGGTGAGATCGTTTGCTCCTTGGTTCTTGAGACGCACTCACTAATCGAAAATTCTAGAGTCGGTCTTGTCAACGAGTCATCTTCCTTGTTGAGCCTTTCGGCCATCTCGTTCAGCAGTCCTTGCCAGTCTGCAAGGGTAATAGAAATTCGCATCCTGTACTCCGGAGCGGTATGCTTAGTACCGTGTCTGTAACTTTCTTCCAGTTTCTTGATATGCGTTGGATCTAGTAATTCGCGGTTTGGGTAGGGGCTTTCCCAGGACTCGTCGAGTTCCCGGACATCGAGTAAGACTGTGCCCAAAATGCTCTTTGTAGGTTGTTCTTCATTTCGTCATTAAGAATTTGATGCTTTGCTTTTCCTGCTTATCCTCATCCTTTAGGCAGGGACTAAATAAATAAACTCTGTTAATAAAGGGGTTTATCTGCCAACACATTCCCTTTCATAGTGACGAATGTTCTGGGCCTGTATCAAGATGACGGATGTGCGTTTAGCCGGCAATCAGCCAAATGTCTAGGAATAAGCTAATGAGAGAGCTACAAATTGAAAACAGGTGTACTGAAAGACCATTGAAATTGCTAGATATATACCCAGTTTACCCGGACAAATATTTCCTTCGAGTGAAAGTCAGGCTTCCAATCCAAACTCCTACTGTGCAAGGATGCTTTTCTGTGCAAGGACTCATGTATTCCTGCACTTATTGTCGATTATTCACTGTTACCAGGTTCAACCACACACCTTATTACACCTCCATCGTCTCCTCCTCCGTCTTCTCGAGATTTGGCACCTGCTGTGTTTGGCGTTGGCGCTTTCCCGCCAATCGCTGCTTATCCTCCTGCATCCGCCGGATGAGCACGCTCTTCTCCCGGATTTTGTACCCATACTTGTAGAAAATGAATGGGATCGGAACGATAGCCACCTCGAGCAAGCCTAACAGCGTCCCAGACCAATTGGGACCAATACCGGCATACATATACGTTCCAACAAGGGGTAAGACACCACCTAGGATACTGCGGATCACCGAATTCCCTGCCAGCGCTGACGCTGCATACACCCCGTAACTACCAGCCAGGTAGTTGGTCGCGTAGATAAAGACGCCCGTGTTGCCTGTACCGAAGAGTACACCTGCGAGAATCGGTACAATCCAGGGTATCGAGGCGGGCGAACAGGTCCAGGCGAACCACAATTCTCCAGCTGGAATCAGGAGCGCGCAGATACATACGAAAGCCACCATTGCCTCCGGGGGTGGCTTTCCCGTTTCGGGGTCCGGTTTATGGCTGTTGATCAGACGGCGGATCAGAGGTTCGCTGGAGATGGTGATCACACATCCAGTTCCGATACCCAAGAATGCGAGACCGGAGAGACCAAGTGACCAACCCCGAATATCCCGGAAAACGATAGGGTATGCTGTGAAGCACAGGTAGAGGATGCCATACACGATGGCAATGTAGATATTCCAAAATATACTATATGAACAAGTGCATTAGCTTTGGGGTGACAGCATGAGTACGGGTTCGGAAAGACTAACCAAATAGGTTCAGTGACTGCCATGACAAACGGGCGGCCGAGGTTTATCTTGAGTAGTTCACTCAGGCTAGCCTTCTGTTCGTATCGACACCACCATCGTGAATCGCCCGTTTCTTTCCGCATGCGGGCGGCTTTCTTTTGCAGGATGATGGGGCCATAGGTCTCCTTCATGATACATGAAAGGACCAACGCGACCCCAGACAATATTAGAGCGATCCAATCCATCCACCGCCAGCCCAGGTACTGGGTGACGAAGCCGCCGATAATAGGCCCGAGAACTAGGGCATAGTTAGTTACAGGTAGGTTGTGACTGGGAGACGGCTATGCTTACCTGGGCCATTCACGGGCCCAAGACTCCAGACCGACATTGCCAGCGCGCGCTGGTCATCTTCCACTATGTCCGCAACCATTCCCGGCGCAGTGGAGATCATTACACTTCCGAACAAAGCTGCGATGAAGCGCACAACCAGCAGGGTAGCAAGATTTTTGGCGAGCGCGCAAGGTATGATCAAAACCGTGAAGATGAACAAGCAGGCTATGCAGACCGGCTTCCGGCCGTACAATTCGCTCAATGGCGCCATAAACATGGATCCCACAGCCAGACCGATGAGGTACAAAGTCAATCCCAACGTAACGATGGTGGTGGAAGTCCCGAATTCAGCTGCAATCTGCGACTCTCCCGAGGTGTACGATGTTGAATATAATACGCTGGAAGGGATTAGCGTCGTTATCGCATGATGCGTATCTAGGCGATGCGCCAGACTCACATAATCAAAGTGTTGTATGATAGGATGGCGATTCCCATAGCTTTGTAGGGAAACGACCAGTTCTTCGGATTATTTGTGTCGAACTCATCGTCCCAGTCGACTTCATAGTTCGGGTCAGAGGTGCCAGTCGTCCCTATAGATGTGACTCTCTGGGCTAGAGAGGGTACCGAGGCCCGAGAGGCGCGCGTAGGGATATGCGCCAGGCCATCCACTTGATCAACTGTGTCCTCGGACGAGCCTGATACTGCGTAGGATTGCGCATATGTAGAGGTAGGCCCCTCTTTGCTATCCCTCGGGCCTGCCGGGGGATCTGATGAAGAATTCTTTGGGGAGGACATGCTTTTCGTGGCGTCTATTAGAGTCGGTCCGTGACCCAGAGGTGGAAGAGCTCTCCACAGCTGGACCGAGTACAGTCGTTTCAGCCGATATAGACCTCCTAATCTTATTATATGGCTGTGGTGGAGGAGCAATGTGAGGGAAGAAATAAGATAGAGCGCGCTGGAATGCGCTGCAGCTTCTATATAATAAACCGACAAACTGACCCTTGGACCTTGCGCTGGTGCTCTCGAACCCAGTAAGAGAAGGTATATGAACTAGTAATCAATGCGACAGGATACCAAGCAGAGAATTGCTCCCAAGATAATCAACACTGCGCGAATTCAGAATGTAGCGCAGCAGACATGGAAAGCAACGAAATGAGCACAAATGCTGGGAATGGAAGATGGCAATTTTTTGGGAGTGATTGACGTTGGGAGTTGCAAGATAAAGCTTAGCGGAAATTAGAATCTGAAACGCACGCGATAATTATGAGCAACTAAAATTAATGAGTCAGTGACATTTGGGGGGGAAAAGAGAGAGCGAGAGAGCGAGAACGAGGCAGAGGAAAGGCACTCCAAGTGGGGGCGTCGGACGAGAACAGTCGGCAGGAGTGCGACTGATAAGCCCTCGGTTTTCCTCCACCGGATCTTGTTCGACTCTTGCCAAGGAACAGAGAAGAGACAGGTGCTGATGGACATTGCACGAGAACTAAAGTTGATACGTTCACCGCTAGGCACTCAACTAACAGTCATCTGCGTCTTCCACGTTGAGTTGCCAGATCCGCTGCCTAGACGGGGGTGCTGGGGTGTTCCCTAACCGACGATCCGGATACAGTAAAATAGACAGGACATGAGCCCCTTCTAGCATTTGGATATGGGAATCCATGGTTAGGCGCGGCTGCTGATCCCTATTATTGACTAGTTGAGGGAGGTCGCATGCGCAGTCAGTGAGTCAAACCCCTTCTTAGTCCTAAGTTACTATACAATATACCTAATGGTGCTTTGGGGGAGGGGAAATGCCTCAGTGACTGACTTTTCTTCCAGCACGGACTGGCATGGCGTTACGGTGTAGCAAAGGATTTCTGAATCAAATCGCGCTACGGCATACGAGGCCCGCCTAATCGCACTTAGTTCGTACCTAGAGCTGGCTATTCGTCACCTACAGAGTGTGATCTGCATAAGACTCAGTGCGATGCGAAATTATGGACATGCATCGTCATTTACAACGAGTGTTTCTCTGCATGGATACCTGTCGTGACTATGGCAGTCACTAGCAGACCCTGCTTCGCCAGACTGATCTACCTACCCCAGGAATCCCTAATTTGCTCCAGATGGGGAGAAAACTGGAGATAAGTCCTGGACGTCACCACCGCATGAATAAGCATCCCCACCGCGGTGGATTTTTTGGCGAAAACGGCGGATGCACAATCGCAAACGAAGCCCAGTCCCCACCACCATGTCGGAAGACGATACTAACTCTGAACGCAGCCAGCTCCACACCAAAGAGGAGAAAGCATCTGCGTCTTTCTTACCCTGAGGGTGCCAGTCCACTAGCTAATGTCAAGCACAGGGCGGGGAGGTGTCGAGGCTAAAACGGGGTTGATGCTTGCCCATGGCCCAGTCACAGTCCAGGGCTCGGTTCCGAGTGCCGCCCGTGCCGGTTTGCCGATGGAACTTTGGCAACAACAAGGACGATCCTGTGGGAAACTCTGTTTTGCGATCCAGAACCTCTGCGCCCTTCTTTTTAGGTATCCATGCTGATGCTGGCGGCCACTCCACCACCCAACGGCCCGTCTTCCGAGCGGATGTTGGAGGTTCAGATATGATAGGTAACCATGCCGTCATCTACACTCATCTACTGAGACAAATGATTTGTCTCTTCATTGCTGGCAATTCTGCAGTTCGTGCGCGAGCCTGAAGAGGTGAGTCAATGAGTGCCAAGACCTGACCCATACCACACTTTTGAGGAATGTGAGCATCCGTCAGAAGCATGCTACCGAGAAAGTCATGGATGGTGTCCTGTGTACTCTGTATGTCTTGGTGGAGCTTAGGACCCAGACTATTTTGGGATTCAATTTGCAAGTATTTGAATCCTGGCCCAAGACGAAAAACGGAGTCGTTGCACAGGCCATGCAAGCGATGGTATGCTAGGGTGGCCATAGCTCAAAGGCACGAGGACTACTACCAACGACGATTGATCTTATATGGATGTCAATGCCATCGAAGGCTGGAGTGGCGACTAAAGAGCTACTTAACAAGGACAACTTAGCTACTCCTGTGTAGGATATGCTTTCACCCTTAATCCCTTAGTTGACTGACTAGCTTCATCGGTAGGACACTCGCGTGAAGAGAAATCCAGTATATGTTTGCTAGCTGATAGTCCCCTGCAGGCGATAAGAGTAACAGCAATATAGCTCTTATCGTAATCCCTTTGTACGCGACTCCCAAATCATCTCTATCTCGGCCATATCATAGAGGAAGAGAGGCAAACCCTCGGAATTGCGGAGATAAGCCCGACCCACTCCTCGGAAAGAAAACCGAAATGGCTGGTGAATCTTCTGTCAGGGAATAACCACAATCGCGAAGTAGTGAACGCTGCGATAGGTTTTTCTTATATGATTAGTCAAGTGTAGTCCATGATACAAAGAAAGTACTATATCTCGGTTCTGGTTGAAATGTGCCCAGCATCGGCACACCAGTAGTTATGAATTGGGTGCTTACGGATACCTGCAGCACGCATCGTCCAATAGAAGAAGGTGTACGGAGAACTCCTGGCTGTCTACTAGGAGTATATGGCAGTTGAGATTGGTATATACACCCTGCCTTCTGAATCTCAATAATTAAACCATTCGGCCATCAATAAAATCCCGGTCACGTTGTCCTGTGGAATAAGGCTCCTGAAACCCCTGACCGCGCCATCCAAATTTCCGAAGGTGTCACAATGAAACGGAGTCGGACCATTTTGCTTGCTTTTGCCCCGACGCCCGCACGTGGAGGGCACCTTCTGCTAATGCAACTCGGAATCAAGGGATGCATCAAATTCGAACGAACCGTTTTATGCTTTAGTGGCTGGTTGACATAAAGAAACTCTCTTCTTGATAGGTTCCGTACCCCTTAACGAACTTGGTACATCTGGCCAGTGACCGAATGATATGTGGGCCTCACTCGTCTAACCGAACGGTCCAATCCGAACTATTAATCTCCGTTCGCTTGGATTTCTGGAACCCATGGATGGTGGCTTTTAAGGCTTAGCCACGCGAGATTGTAAGTTAGCGATGAGATTTATGGTTAAGCAATACTTTTGTCCTGGAAATACTAGATTGATTCTCAATCATCTTCTCTCTTGCGATAGGATTGCTCCCTTGTACATTGGCAAAGGGATTGATTGATTTACAGAGTGAAAGCGCCAAATTCGCTTCAACGAGCAAGATCTGACTGTCCTTTATCCTGCTGTCTGCATCGTGTACCCCTTTTACTACACGTTTCAGCCTAGGACTGCCATTCCGACATGTTTTCAGAGATCGCCGTTGCCTCCGGACTAGCCGTCCTCTATCTCTACCACGTTAATCGTGGTATGACTGGCACTCCGGAGGAAGTAAGCCGGCTGTCTCCTCATCGTTGGACTGTTGATGAAATCAAAGCAGCATACGAGGATGCCATTCAAAACCCAGTCGACGTGCAGAAGAGTCTTCCACCAAAGCAAAACCGGCGTTATATCGTGGTCGGCGGGTCAGGTGCGTTCTAGCTATAAACAGCATTCGCGTGACGTGGCTCAATGAGCCTATCTTATGCGATTCTCCATATCTTACAGTTTCCAAGCTAACAACAATCCAGGATTCGTGGGAAGTTGGATGGTAAACCATCTGCTCGCTCGCGGGGAAGACCCGTCGGCTATCCGCATTTTGGACCTTGCAGCGCCTCGTCGCGAGATCCTCGACCAGGGTGTCGGATTCTTCAAGACGAATATTGCCGACGAGAAAGCTGTGGCCACTGCCTTTGCCCAACGTTGGCCTGAAGCTGTCGCTGACCAGCCCCTGACCGTCTTCCATAATGCCGCCGTGATCAGGCCCGGAGAGCGCCTCAAGACTTTCCTTCCCCGTTGCACCAACGTCAACTTGGGCGGCACAGTGAACGTGCTGACTGCCGCAAAGAAAGCCGGCGCAAGCTGCTTTATCTCGACATCCTCAGGATCGGTCAGTCTCCGCAGTCAATCCTTCTGGATCGCACCCTGGAACAAGGCCCCCAAAGGTCATTTTCAGGTAGTCGATGACTCGACCCCAGTCCCTGAAGAACACTACGACTTCTTCAGCAACTATGCTGCCTCCAAATCCAAGGCCGAGAAGATCGTCCGCGCCGCCGACGATCTTGAAGGAAACTTCCGCACAGGCTGCATCCGGCCAGCGAATGGTATCTACGGGATCGGCGACACGGAAGGTTCTCTCACCACTTCATATCTAAGAACCGGCGGTTCCCCTTCGTAAGACAACCCTTGACAAACCTTACAGATAGATTGAAAACTAACGCCAACTCCTCTAGCTGGCTCTCCGACACCATGCAGAACTTCGTCAACGCCGAGAACGTCTCCATCGCCCACCTTCTGTATGAACAACGCCTCATCGAGCACACTAACAGCCCATCCACACTTCCCAATATTGGTGGCCAATCCTTCCTAGTCACAGATCCCAACCCTGCCCCGACCTACGGCGACGTCTATCTTCTCCTTCACACCCTCTCCAAAACTCCCGCCAACTTCCCTCGCGTACCACCGGTTCCTTTCCTCATCCTGTCCTACCTCCTCGAGTGGTACTCCTTCCTGCAGTTCATTTACTTCCCCTGGCTCCCTAGGATCACCGGAGAAATCTCCAAGATGCAGCCTGCCCTCTTCTGCATCACCAATGTGCATTACATCGCGGATGATTCGCGCGCGCGCAAGTCGCCGGAACAGGGCGGCCTGGGATACGCTCCTCCGATCACGACGATGTATGGCATGTGCAAGCACCTTCAAGTTTGGAATCGCGAGGCGGACCAGAAGAAGATTGCGGAGGTCGCAGCCAAGGGCGTTGTTAATGTGAATGAGGATGGTGTGGATGTGAATTTGGTGGTTCCTCCTAAGAAGTTGTAGTTGATGTCAAATTGACTTGATGCCAGTTTTGTGGGTATTTCGGCAAATTGTATTATTATTAAGGGAAATGACTATTACTTTAGTTCCTTACTGTTGAGCAATCATACTGAAATGTAACGACTCATATCATATTCATCCTAATCAACCAACTAAAGAAAAATGAGTATAACTAAACAAAACCCACCCCCACCATCCCCACAAATAATACTCCTCAACTCACAACCTCGACAAGAACGTCACCTCCCCAGGAGCATGATACTCCGGAACCTTCATATCCAACGCCTTACCAGAGTATCCCAGATCCTCGGCCGTCAAGACGGCACATTTCTCTCCGATAAGCAGGGCGGTCTACACACCCATACATATTAGCATCCATCCATGCACCAATACCACAAACCACAATACCGAATATCACAAGGGATTGAATGTAGAAAGGAAAGGGGATAAACATACACTATAAGTATTACACCCCACATTATCAGGACAGATAGACAGATCAGCCACCTTCAGCCCTTGCACACCGTGCACATTGAGCCGCTCATCGACGACTCCGCCGTGCGGCGTAAGGTTGTTTCCCTCGCGGGGGGCCATGCTGCATGTTCCCAGGGAGTGCCAGGTTGTTTCGACGTGGCGTTGGACTGTATTTTTTGTTCATTCATTCGTTAGTCAGTTGTTGTTTTGAGGCAATTTGGAAGGGTTAGGTGGGAAGGGGGAGGGGGGATACGCACCCCACTTTTCGATATGTTCAATATCTTTCTTACTATACTTGATCTCCTCCCTTGTATCCTGCTTATTGGAGTTGAGCATTGTAGGCGATGCGGGTGAAATACCGGGTTCGAGGGGCTGGGACCAGGAGCCTTTATTCCAGACAGACACATGTGTCAGTAAGTGGACTAGCCCACCTCTATAGATCCAGGGAAGAAAAAGAAGGGGGACGTACCATGTTGGATACCAGCCGAGATGTGGTTCGGCCCCGCATACGCCTTCGTAGTCTCTAGATCTAAATCGAATGCTCGCGCGGGCGAGTCATACGAAAAGTGAGGGTGCATGCCTGTCACTTCGCCTGCGTAGGCGCCCATGCGCCGGGCGGTCTCGCGCGATTTGATGTATCCCCAAACCATGGGTGCCATGTCGCGCTTGTCGTTCATAAAGCCGGCGTCGAAGTCGGGGCTTTCGTAGGGGTCGGCGGATTGGATGTGTGTGGAGCCGCGGGAGAAGGGGTATTCCTGTCGATCAATGAGTGAGTTTATGATCGCTGGTGGGGATATGGAAGGAGGGAGTGAGGGTGGGGAGATACTCACGAGGAAGTGGAACATGGTGAAGAACTTGCCCGGGGGCATGAGCATGTGGTCGCCGAACCAGCTGTAGGACATTGATTAGTATTTACCATCTAAGAGCATTGAGGGACTGGTACCTACCCAGCAATAACAGAGTAATGCATCACCGGCTTATCCGGCTTATTCTTGAAGTAACTCTCCCAGCCCCTATAAAAGTCATTCGTGGGCCAGCTCTTCATCTCCTCTAGTTCCTTTGCATTCGGCCGGATCTTCACGCCGGCTTCGATGCCGTTCGTCGCTAGAGGTCCCGTGCCCTTGATATTCCATTCCTCAAAGACCTTCTTCTGCACTTCGGGGTCTCCGCGGACGAAGTCATCAAAGGACTCGACTTCTGGCTTCGCCCGGAAGACGGAGAACGTCAGGTAGTGGTCCTGGAAATTCCGTCCCACGCCGGGGAGGTTCACGAGGGGCTGCACGCCTGCGCGACGGAGCTTCTCGGGGTCACCGACGCCTGATCGCTGGAGGATGAGAGGGGAGCTGAGGGTGCCGCCGCTGACGATGATCTGCTTGCGGGCTCTGAAGATGGTCCGCGGAGGATCGCGGCCTGCGAGGGGCTTGGTGGGAACGGTGGCCACGCCAACGACGCGGCCGTTCTCGATGATCACTTTGTCTACTTTGGTGTTGCACTTGAGGTGCAGGTTGGAGTATTTGGCTCGGGTGCTGTGGACGTAGGCGTGGGCGGAGTCGCTGCGGCGGCCTGAACATGTCTTGTCAGTCTTAATATATCTATGAGGTGTGAAGCATGCTTGCATACCGGTGTCGCGGTTGATCCATTTCAACCAGTGTTCGGCTCCGTGGCTGCACATATTGTCAGCAGGAAGTGAAAGACATGTACATTGGAAGTACTGTGACTTACCCAGTCTTCAGATCCTGAAGATCATCTGTGACAGGAATGTCCTGCGACTCTGCAGCACGCAAAAAGTCTTGCATGATAGGGTACGTGTAGTTTCCGAACGAGACCTTGATGGGTCCATCGAAGCCATGAATGTCCCGGTTGTTGCAGGCCCGCTGGTATGTCTCGTGCTTCTTCATCAAGGGAAGCAGCTCGTCTGTTGTCCAACCCTTGGCCTGGAAGTCGTCGTAGTCGGAGGCAGAGGCTCGGGTGTACATCTACTTCAGTGTTAGGATGTGTCTCACTGTTGCTAGATATGGGTTGATCAAGCACAGCTCACCATGAAGTTGATGGAACTGCCCCCTCCGAGGACATGGGCACATGGTACAATAGCCCGACGACCATCAAGCCATTCCGAGGGCCTGGAGTAGTAGAAGGAAGCTGTCTTTGAGTCAAGCTTCATGTTGCGGGGATAGATGCCGGGGCGGTAGACCCTACGGCATGGTTAGGGTAGCTCTGGGGAGTAAGTGTGATAGTGTCCAGCCTACCATGGGTTGTTCAGGTTGTCCTCGCCTGCTTCAATCAGCAGAACCTGGAGGTTATGGTCTAAGTTGGCAAGTCGACCGGCGATTACGCAGCCGGTGCTGCCACCACCGCAGACAATGATGTCCACTTCATCTGGGATGGTCATGATGGGTATGATTGACTACGCGTGGATCGTAGAAACTGTGATTGGGAATGTGTGTGATTTACTGAAAACAACAGGAAATAACCGGGAATTGGGATTCCAGAGGTCGGTTTATATGCTCCCAACACTGCAAGACCATGATGCAGCACCTCCTCATCATGGCAGGCAGTACGATGGACGAAGAGGAACATCCCCGCACCATATGTAGAACCCCTCTTGCATACGAGTCCTGACAAGGATGTCGACCAGCTTTGGACCGTCCAGGTCATACAAGGAACAAAGAGAGCCGCGAAGAGACTATGGTACACGGTATACAGCCTTCATTCTCTGATGTTGGAGTACAAAAGTACAATTTGTTTCCCGCAGATTCCCCGCACGGCGAGAGGGGGTCGTGCATAGTGCATGCAGTGAGTTGTCTGAGATATATCGATATAAAAGGTGGATTAATCTAATTACAGGATTGATATACGGGAGCCTGTGCCAATGGTGCAGCTTGGCTCCTGTCAGTAATGGACGACTGGATTGAGTTTGCGACGGCAAAGAGCAGATCTTGACAGCGAGAAAGCCAAGCAGAATACCAATCGGGCAGGAGATGGTCTCGCCAGCCAGCGACAAGTTCAGACTTGAAGCTCAGCGACAGCCCAAGCGTACCTTGTACAGGTCAGCTGGGAGCTTGCAGGCCATCCTCCAATGGTTATACTTGCGGCGGACTGGGATAGAGAGACGAATCCGGCGCCAGGCCAAACGCATCACCAATCACCAAGGCGGATTGACCGGATAGCCACGGACGGAAAAATTGTTCCTTATCATCCTCATTCCCAGGCAATAATTGCTTGTATTAAGCGGAGTCGCTTTTGTTGGCAACAGAGCTGAGGCAGTGGTGACGGCGTGTGAATGGCCTCGATCTTGCCGTGGTGCGGGGAATGGCAAATGCTGAGCTTTCCCCGCCTGCGGGCATCGCCACCAACTTTGGTCCTCACGCCAATGATTATCCCTGTTAATATTAACCATGGTCTTATATGGGTCGAATGCAGCTTCGTCTTTGTCGTGTTCAACTTTGGTCAGGCCCAATAACAACCGCGGAAGCTGCATTTTAAGGCCCCAAGGAGCTGGGTAACTCGCCGATTACCAAAGCGGCTTCTCTACCAAGCAATGCCCTCCTTTCACCCGGCCAACAGTGCGACTCCATACACCTTGGCCGAGCGAGTGCCCGTCCTAAGAATTGTGGGTTGACGGAGAAATCCCGTTACTGCTGCGCATGCTGCTGCGCCAGTTGACGCCTCTGCTCCAAGATCTGCATGCGCAGGCCCTCTGCAGCCAATTCCACGTCGAGAATCGCACCAACACCACGCTTCCAGGTCTCCTCCAGCCCCACAATCTCTCCCTTGTTGGCTTCCTGGGCGAGCTTTCTCTCCTTGTTCACAGATTCGGCAGCCTCCTTCATCTCGGCCAATTCCTTCTCAAGCCCCCGTAGGATGTCTTCAAGCTGTGAATTGCCAATCAGCCAAGCATTCTTTCCATTCTCTTCTAGCAGCGCCAGATTCTCGTGCCGCATCGATAAATGGGAGCTGGCCGTGTAAGCCTTCTGCAGTGTCCGTCGCCATTCCTCCAGATCAGGGGTTCCGTCAGCGGCTTTAGCAGGCGCCTCAGGCGCTTCATAGCGGGAGAGGTCGATTCCGCCAGTCAAGGGCAGTCCGGCAGCCTTGCGGTCCACCTCCTGCTGGATGAGTGGAGAAAACCGTGACTCAGGAAAAGCAGGAATGGACGGGTGGATGGTTGTTTTGGCATCCAAAGAAAGCTCCGCGGCAATTAGCTTTTCTGCAGCTGCTCGTGCCTGGGTGGAAGGGGCCGGTTCGATGTCTAAGAAGGTCCACGCGTTAGAAGGGAAATTCATAGCAGAGGTAAGGCAGCTTACAAGGAAGTGAATCGTGGGATTCGTTGATGAGAGGCATGTTGACTTAAACCTGCGTATGAGAACCGGATAACAAGAAACTAGAAGCGGCAGGGGTCAATGCGAAGTGATATCTTGTATAAAATCAAGCAGTGCCAGCAACAGCTCGCCATGAGCGTCTCAGCTTTTGCGCCGAGCACGAGAGGGCGGTGAGCATTGGTGGGTGACTCAGCAGTTTCTGCCGGAGATGATCTGGGGTGTTCGGGCTATACCGTTTTGGGCAATCCAAGTATAGATGATCTCGTCGAACTGCTGAACAGGACGTCTCCTTACCTCGCTCATTCTCCACACGATCATTACTTTCCCGGATTTTTAGGCAAGACGGGCCTCTTCTCCACTTGACTGAAGGCTTAGCCTAGGCTTCTCTATCAGACGAGGTTCATGCGATCTACAGGGTCCCTTGTGACAGGGCAGGACTGGTCTCTGACTGGCCAGTTCCCCGCCTATGACCTTGACAGAGTCGCAACGATGATGACTCAACCAGCCAACCGCATGTCATTCATCTTCAGAGCAGAGTTCAAACTTATACTCTTGCACCTAAATCGACGCGGGGCTGGATAGAACATTCCTGATCAAGCTTAGCCACGGATGACGACGGGAACGGACCAGACCCTTTCTCCTACATTCCAATAGCCTTTTCACCAATCGCGCCTCTTCCGCATCCTCCCCGCAAGGTTGCAGAGACCCTGCAGTGTCATCCCCGGAGCCGTCTATTCAAATTAGCCGGGCATGCCTTGTGATAGCTCCTGCCTCGGTCGGTCCCTGCTTGCAATAAGAAGGGCGCATCCCCGTGGACAGGCTGAAGGCTCTTTGGTACTGCAACGCTCCTAGAGCTTATGCCTTACCTCGGTGGAATGGCTAACTTTAGGCTGGGTGTGGCTTTGGCCAGCAGCGTGGCAACGGCACTTGTGCTGCTGCAACTGTTCTCACTGTTCCAGCACCAGAAACAGCCACTCAGTGTCATTGCACAGACTAAGTGGGCGCACAGAGCTGCTGTATCCGAGGCGAATAACGATGATCTTTTCTTACTAGGGGCAGGAAAGGCGGATATAACGGGGTAAATAACCTTCATCCTAGTAGCGCTGCATAGATGCTGATACGTTATCTGCCAGACCTGTTGTTGAGTTAGGGCTGAATGGCTATGCTAGCTTGGACCAGATTGGGACTGGTCTTCGGCAGAGAATCTATTCTCGGGCTTTCATTGTCGCCAATACTAATAATCCAGATGACACTTTCATCTACCTGATCCTGGATGCATTGACGGGGGACACTGCTGTCCGACATGGAGTACTTGAGGGCCTTGCTAGCCTGGGCAGCGAGTATGCTCGATATAATGAGCAGAACATCGCCCTTACAGGGACACATTCTCATTCAGGCCCAGGTGCCTGGATGAATTATCTCCTTCCTCAAATTCCCACCAAAGGTTTTGATAAACAGAGTTACCAGGCGATTGTCGACGGTGTCCTCCTCTCAATCAAGCGAGCCCATGAAGGTTTAGCGCCCGGGCGTCTCAGCTTTGGGTCCATAGACCTAGAAGATGCCAATATAAATAGAAGCCCCTATGCTTATGACGCCAATCCTGCAGAAGAGAAAGCTCGGTACTCGGCAAATGTGGACAAGACGCTGACCCTGTTGAGGTTTGATCGAGAATCCGACAACAAGACCACTGCTGTACTGACCTTCTTCCCCGTACATGGCACATCTATGTACAATAATAATACTCTAACCACTGGAGATAACAAAGGTGTGGCCGCTTGGCTCTTTGAGCGGAGTGTTAAGGATGACCAAAAATTCTCGGATGACTTTGTCGCAGGCTTTTCTCAGTCAAATGTTGGCGATACTAGCCCAAATGTACTGGGAGCTTGGTGTGAGGATGGCTCTGGACAAGAATGCCGATACGCAGATAGCACATGCGGCGGGAAGACGGAGGACTGCCACGGCCGTGGACCTTATTTTCGCGAGAAGGATAACGGCGCCAAGAGCTGCTTCGAGATCGGACGGCGACAATACGCGGCTGCGAAAGAACTGTATGCCAACCTGGACTCCAATCCTGTTCGGATTCTTTCAAGCGCCGATGTCCGCTCATTCCACACTTACCAGGACCTGTCCAACTACACATTCACGTCGCCGTTCAATGGGAGTACCCTAAAAACCTGTCCTGCCGCATTGGGATTCTCGTTTGCAGCGGGTACCACGGACGGGCCAGGACTTTTCGACTTTACCCAGAATGGCACGGGACCAGCTGATTCCAATCCTCTGTGGTATGTCGCTCGCGCTTTCTTGCACCAGCCGTCAAAAGAGCAGCAGGCGTGTCAAGCGCCAAAGCAGGTCCTTCTCGATGTGGGACCAATCACACAGCCGTATGCCTGGACACCTAATATCGTGGACATTCAGGTCCTGAGAGTGGGTCAACTCTTCATTGTCATCTCGACAAGCGAAGCCACTACCATGTCTGGACGACGCTGGAAAGAAGCGATTGGCAGCTCTGCCAAAGAGGTTCTTGGAGTGGCAGAGCCTCTTGTGGTCCTAGGTGCGCCGTCTAATAGCTATGCTCATTACGTAGCCACCGAGGAGGAATACGGAGTGCAGCGCTACGAGGGAGCTTCGACTCTATACGGCCCCAACACACTTGCAGCATACATCAACCTGACCCTTACGTATCTGCCGTATCTGGGAAAGTCAGCTCAGACAGGCAGCTTACCGTCGCTATCCTCCGGAAAGATTCCTCCCATCAACACCAACAAGTCCCTGACTTTTATCCCCTCGGTTATATATGACGGGTCGCCAATCAGCAAAGCATTTGGGGATGTTGTATCCTCGTCGGCAAATGTCACTTACGGGCCTGGAGACATGGTGAATGTCACGTTTGTGGGAGCGAATCCCCGGAATAACCTACGGCAGGAATCGACGTTTGCAGCCGTGGAGAGGTACAACTTAGCTACCGAATCATGGGATGTTGTGCGTACTGACAGCGACTGGAATCTTCTGTATAACTGGGAGAGGACGAGTACGATTTTGGGGTATAGCGAGGTCACTCTCCAATGGCAGATCGAGGACGAATATTATAACACGGGAAACCCCGATCCCGTCCAAAGTGGAACGTACCGGTTCCACTATTACGGCGATTCCAGGAGTGTGCAAGGCAAGATATCATCCTTCGAGGGGATCAGTGAAGCGTTTACGGTTGCAGTCAGCTGAGGGCTGGCCTATACTATCCTGATGGTGGAGGCTGTAACCAAGCGGGAGGGAGTAGGATGATGAGACTGAACTGAACGTATGTGAAAGTAAGAAGTACCTATCAATAGCAAGGAGCTATATTTGGATCAATATGTTTAATTGCAACCGGGTATCTTGATCTTGCTGCTTGGTGTTTGGCTGCATCTTATCGAATCTGGCCCATGTCTGGCTGACCAAGGATGGTGGCTCAGCTTGTGAGGCGTACTCTTCGATATGGCAAGAGTCCATTCAAGAGCTCAGTAGAAAGACTGCTATGATCCACTGTTCTGCAAGACTTGTCACGGTTGCCAATCAATGGGAAATGTTGCCCAACCGGGGCGGGTGCTGCAACATCCTGGCCGGCACTTCTTTGTCGCGCGCCAACTCGCCTCTCGCCAGCCAACCGATCCCAGCTTCGAGTCCCACAATAGCAAGCTGGACTGTCGGAATGTTTCATGTCAAGCTGCACTTGTTGGCGGTCCAGGCCGTGACATCAGCTAAATAAAGGGATGGCGATGGTCGCGTTCATCGCTTGGCTTTCTTAAAGACGGTCTTTCTCTCTCTTGCCTCACCCTCATTCGCTCGGCATCATTCAGATCTCGATTGTCCTTCTTTACTGTTCCTTTCGCTCATTATTTTTCGTTGTCTCTGCATATTAATTCGAGTCAAAGATGAATAACTCTCTCTCCTGAACTTTCCAATCAGTATTAGTGCAGCGTGTTCAGCTATTAATCTTTGCATCCTTTCTTTGACTGCTCGTTTATCTGTTCTGCAATACATCTCTTTTGCATACATAATATAGCATCTCATTGCATAATTTCACCAGCAGTTGCGATAATGTCTCTCTTACCAGTGATCCTCGTGACCTTCTTCCTGGTCTTTTGCTGTGCGGCTGGTCCGATTGCTCCTTTTGCTTCCAAGAGAGACCTGGAGTCGCTCTCCCCATCTCCTTCGCTCACTACACCTTATGTGCACGTTGCCAGTTCTTCGGTCGATGACGATGACGACAATGAGATCAACGCTTTGACTGTAGTTCCGGTTACACCCTCCAGTCTGCCTCAGACTGCATCCAGCTCTAGCACCACCATCGAGCCAGCGCTATCCAGCTCAGCTGCGTTCATTCAAGAGTCTTCGATAGTTGCTGCTACTACCTCGTCCCTGTCCGAGTCTTCCTCTGCAGTTACGCACTCGTTCGCTCCAAGCACCTCGTCAGATAGCACTGTGAATACCTTGTCGCAGACTCTAACGTCTACGACTACAACTACAACTACAACTTCCTCACCTACAACACTTGGCGAGCCATCCTCAGCACCCTTCTCGCCTCTCTCAAGTGCAGTACGAAGCTCTCATACGACAAGTTCTTCATCGCATATTATGCATATCACAACACCCTCTACTACACTTTCAGAGAGCTCCCAGATTGTAACCCCCTCAATCATCATACCAGGAGGGCCAATGGAAGCCTCGTCGTCTCACGCACCCGGGACAGCAACTTCTTCTCACATCACCCATGAGACGTCATCTTCTGCTGTCAGAGTATCACATTCATCAAGCGCAGCAGCAGAGATGTCAAAATCATCTCCGTCACACCAGGGGACGCTCAATTCATCTAGTAGACTACTACATTCCTCGACAGCCGCACTCCTGCCATCAAGCACCGCTCCAGAGAGCGCTCCAGAAACTTCATCCACACGCACTTCGGAGACTACAACGTCCACCAGCCTCACGATTGGAGTCATCGTGCCTCTCCCAGAAGCCAGTACTAGCCCTTCCACCATGCTTGAAATGTCATCCTCCACCTCACAGTCCAGCGAGAGCATAACAACTACAGCCGATGACACCTCATCCGCATCCAGCACAAAAGTCCTCTCAACACCCACTGAAAGCGAAACTACCACACCGACCTCCCACACAGCCAGCCCATTCATCGGCGTAACTATACCCACGACAACCAAGACCACACAGCCAGCAGACCCAGCGGACATAACAACAACCACCACCACCCCCACATCAGAAGCAGAGGACGCCACCACAACCTCAGCCCCAACTCCAGTCGTCGTCCTAGTCACGCCCGAAGGGTCAACAACCGTCATCGGAACCTCCTCCTTCATAGCGCCTAACCCAGACATCACCAGCACATCCACATCCACATCTTCCCTCACCACTACCATTGAACCAACCCCAACTACATCCACAACCGAACCCCCAACCACCCTCCACGCCACATCAACAACAATCCAGACCGTCTACGTAGTCATAACGGATACACCCACCCCCGAACCAACATGGGATTCCACGACCATTGCTACTGCCATTATTACTGTTTATGATAAGTCAACCTCGGAAACCGTCCCCACCACAACCACCACATCACGAGCTGGAGAAGAGATGGAGTCAACGACAACTACTCCGTTAGATACAGAACAAACATCAACTCAATCTACCGAAGACGAAATCCCCACGTCCACACCTATAGCGGATACAGAAACAGCAACAGCAATAATCACATCCTATCCCTCTACATCCACTTTGTCTGGTGAAACGGGAGATGTTATTAGGATTGTGCCTGTGACGCCTACGGGTCCGATTACTGTCACTGTCACGGTGACTGAGAAGGAGAGGGAGACGGTGACCAAGACGGAGACGGTGACGGAGAGGGTTACTGAGACGGAGAGTGTGACTACGTGATTATTATGTTCTATGTGTGTGTTAGGAGGGAATGGATGTAAGTAATAATACATAGTTCAGGTTTTGAGTTGATGGGTTGGCAGTTATGCCATTGGATATACGTTGTATACTAATATGATATCATACCTTGTGCTACTTCTCCATGTTGGGATCTGGAAACCTATATACCTGGTTCCATAGTGCTAATACTATATACACACACTGGTAACTAGTAAAAATGTAACGATTCGTTGTCATCCATCTCATTCGAGATACTATGAAACACATCAAATCATATCATCCACCCATCAAAAATGAGCTAGATACAGGTATCATCCATCCAGGATACAAACAGTCAAAAAGTAATCCACACTCTATAAATAATACACACATATATAGACACCAAGGCCGTTCAATCATACTCCCACCCTCCAAATAATACACACGGAACTCCGTCGCCACCCTCTGCTTGCTAATCGAGTAACTTCATTAACAATCGGTACCCCGCCTCCCAAACGAGTAAAGCAATCGATACCCCATCCTAGAAACTCCAGCTACAAGGATGCAAAATAAGTCAGCTTTGAAAATGCTTTCGTGTCCATTACAGTTCGGATAACATGCCCCCTGCTTCGGCAAACTTGGCCTGGTATTCTTTCAGACTGGCCCATTGGCGCAGCTCTTCTTCATCGCGATCATGGTCGCTCAAGTAGCTGATTGATTGTCGGTGCACCTCGGGACTGGAGCCGCTGGAGCCCTGGCTAGAACCGGACTTGAACCCCTCTAGGCGTACAAGAGTATCAATGAATGCGCGGAGGTAAGCTTCGGCTTCTGCGGAAGTCAAAGGGTGAGGACCAGTCATGGAGGGCGTGATCATGTTCTGATGCGGAAAGTTGAGTAATGTGGATGCAATTTGGCGGATTTTAGCGGTCTATGAAGAGGTCAGTGCTCTCAATTCATGTGCAAGGAGATTAGTGTACATACGAAGCTGCCGCCATTGGGTTCCATACTACTCTCGTTGACCGATTGCAACAAGATAAATAGGTCACGGATCACCAGCCGACGCTCTTCCGCCATCATCCTTCCAATATAATCTGATTGGGCATCCGCATCGGATGTGTCCAGACTCTGCGGCTGCTCACCTTCAACCTTAATCGTAGTTCGGGGGCTGACAGGTATTTGCTGGTCGGACTGTTTCCGCTGCAATTTCCATGCCCCGTACAAGGTCCAATATTTCTCTACCAAGTATGACCGGGTGCCCAGCTGGCTTGCGTAGATGTTCGCCTTTTGAATCTGAAGTTGCATATGGCGTTTATGTGCCCGCAGGTCCTCCACAGGAGGTGGAGGGTCGAATTGGCCTTGCCCATTGTCCATTTCGGGATCTTGGGATAGCTGGATCGCCAATTCCCGTGGAACATTAGAAAGGGCAGATTTAGCCTTTTGCAGACACTCCCACATAAGAGAGCGTTGCCGTTCCCAATCAAAGACCTGGCCGCTCCCAAACGCAGTCTCCCAGGCGGAGAGAGTATTATACGAACTCAGCACCCGGACGTTGGCGTTGAAGCCCACCAGAAGAGAAATCCGATTGGATGGTTGTGGATCAACATGTGTTGAAAAGATATACTCATCATCCACTTCGAGGGGCAAGGGAGGATAGCGTGAAGTCGGGGTTTCAGGAGGCACATGGATAGTCACGTCACCGGAGCCAAGCTGCTGCAGCGTCCGGTAGCCGGCGAGGGTGGTGTAGAATAAGCGTCGTCCAAGCTCCTGCTCGATGATGTCGACGTGAAGATCGGCGGTCGCGCCGCCAAAAGGGTCTTGCGAATAACGCGACGAGGAAGAGGGGCTTGGCGGAGTCATTGCTGTAAGGCAATTCGATTGCCGACAAAGGTCATACACGTGTAGCATGGTAAGGCATTCCGCAAAATATGCACGACATCGGCGCATGTGCCAAACATATCCGGAGCAAAGCCCGAGAAAATAGCTAGTTGCCGCATCGTACACTGTCGCGCTTCGGTCAAGATAGCCACAGCCTCTAGCTTGGACTGCAACATCATGGCATCGCCGGACCAATGCCATCGAGTGTGGAAATGCTGCCTTCTCCGCCTCCGTCTTTAAATGCCGCTTGGGCCTCCGCGGAAAGGACGCCACTAATGTCCCGACCATGGCGGCCGTGAGGGCCAAAAAGGTAGTGTTAGAGAGGTCATCTCGCCGTTCCAAAGCGGCGCGGAACGTGGGCTCATGGGGGACAGGGACCAAGGGATGGATGTAGGTGAAAAAATCGTCTATTAACAGCCGCAGGGTCGGCATAGAACAAATGGACTCCGCCGATAGCGGCGCTGGGGTTGACGAGGGGATGGTGGTGCTCCCCACTGACCCGGGAGGACCTGGTGTGGCATGGTCTGATGGACTTGGGGAGCCTGCAGGGGACTCTGCTAACTTCTGCTTTTTGAATGCTTCTGCATGGCGATTAGGGGGGCCGCGACGTCGACTCGGTCGTTCGTAAGTGCAAGGGATGTCTAAGCTTGCGCACGACCGACAGGGTGGTCCGCTGGTGTCGCACTAAGCAGAGTTAGCCAATACTGCACTTGCTTTGGGGACTGTGACAGCTGCATGTAGTGTACCTTCACTTTTCGGATACTACAGGCGTCACAAGCCTTGCGCAGTCTGGTTCGTTGGTCCATGAGCATCTAAAGGACACAGCGGGTGTTCCCATGCTTTTGCGAGTCGCATTCAGAAGCCTAGAACATGGGGTGATTGTCGCGGACCAGGACCAGGACGTCCGCGCATACTACACCACAGAAGCCGGACGCAGCAGCGCTGTCGATTGCGGGTCGGAGACGGAAAGTGGGAATGATAACAAGAGAAATCTGGAGAAGATGCAGCAGGGATGACTAGTCGTAGTTAAGGTAAGCCGATAAGTCCGGGCACTAGCGAACAACAGCACCTCGGGGGGGCACCAGGGGGGTGAAGTAGAGTTAGAGAGTGTTAGTCCACGGACGAACGGTCCAGTTGTTGTGGGGGAAATTGGAAGGATGATCGCCCGAACGAGGCTCGAAGAATTATTAAGGGACGGAGGTTTAGTCTAGAAGGGTTGGTTTGGAAGATGGAAAGACTAGATTCGCAGGTTTCGCAGGACCGTTCAACTTTTTGAGTTTTGAGATTATGGGCAGTGAGCCCAAAGAAGCGACCCCGGAGTGACCTAATGCAATATCGACCACCGGTCAGAATATCCCCGCCCGGTGGAGGTCTGGACGCAGGCGTAGGTTGGCTGGGACGAAGTAGTGGACGAAGTAGTCTGGTACCTTAAGTTGGGCCAAACTCCGCCGTCGATCGAGAAGAGGGGCTCCAATGACGGGTGGAATCGGAGCCCTGCACTTCACCGGTGATGACCGTTTTATGGAGCTTCGGAATGTGTTTTTCTTTTCTTTTCTTTCTTTACACTTCTCTGTTTTCCTTCTCCTATCGTTTGTCTTCTCTCAATGCTAATTTCCTCATCACTTCCTTTTTCTTGGTGCCATGTCTGATGGTGATTTGAAATGCAGTGTCGATCAGAGAGAGAGGAGAAAGCGAGTCTGAAAGCCGAGACTCTGAATCAAGCGGGGAGGAAATCACGTGGCTGCGCGTTATGCATTGTTTGCTGTCTTACAAATGAAAGTTACGATGCTGGAACTTTGAGGCTCAAGGGCCGAGGCAACTAGAGAATTGAAATGGGTCGCATTGAAGGAGGCTTATTTAGTTAGTTAGATGGCTAATAAGTTAGTTAGTAGTACTCCGTAGTAAGAGGAATAATAAGCAACAATTATGCCGGGCGCCAACGATGACGACGGAGGGAACCGACTGAGACTCCCATCGTCGCAAGTGCCGTCAGGGACTCGGTGCCTGATTTGCTCACAAATTGGGAGTAGAAGCGGGTAACAAGTCCGGAACCCTATATACTGTAGTTACTGTTGCAGTGCGCAGTAGGATCGGAGCACTGTCGGGCGCCGGCAAGGTTTGCTAACTGGGCTGCTAGTCTCGCCCCGTCAGGGGTTACTTCCCAATCGGTCCGTCTCCGCCGCACACTAATCTTAACTTCCCCCCCGATACTAATTACTTTTACTTATCCTCAACCAGCGAAAGGCTCGCTGTCTAGCAAAGTACTTAGGGAAAAAGCCCGCCGGTGGAGTCGGCAGTCTGTTTGCATCCTGTCGCAGGGACCAACCATGGCAACAATGGGACGATCGAACCACCGACCCTCTCTACTCATGATTCAGGACGCCAAAAAGTGTTCGGAAATCCCGGTCATCGGTGTGACCACATTAAAATCAGTATTTTGTACGTTGAAATCACAACAATTGTCCAGGCAAATCGAAATTCCCTTATAGAGGCAAAAGGGCTGTAAAGAAGCGAGGAAGATGGATGACGCTAAAAAGAAGCGGGATATAGGCTAAAGAAGTATCAAGAAAAGAAAAAAACACAAACTAAATCATCGCATCATCATCATTGTAATCATCGTGGTAGAGACCCTCGGGATCTCGCCCGGGCCTCCTGCCCAAAAGATCGCGCTTGTTTTCGAGATCCACCGTCCAAAGAGCAGATCCAACCGCGGTTGACATCAGGAAAAACATGGACAAAATGGGGACCAACTGAAGTATCAGAGCCACCGTCCCAAATCTAGGTTCCCTCGTGGTTGATTGTTAGTATGAACCTCGGTAGACCTTCAAAGGGGGTTGTGTCAGGGGAAAGAAGGTTGAAACCCACGTGGTATATTGCAATTGTCTGCGGCGGATCCTTTCTTTGCGCTGTTGTTTCGAAAGATCCAACAACTGAAAGTATCGCCAATGGTGGAAGGGGCCCGCCCGGTAGCCGGTCAGCACGAGGAACATGGGTGTTCCGGCCACCGGGATAAAGTTCAGCGGTAGAAGCACAATGAATTCCACGATTTGCCGCAGTGAGAACGGTGCATAAACGGCGCTCTTGGTGGGCTTGCCGAGCCGTTTGACGACATCATCGCCCTGGGGGTACAAAACCCTCGACATGGTGACGAGTTCGCCATGGCCCTCACTCACGAGCACCGAGTCGAAAATGTCCACGAGGGTCTCATCGACAAAGAAGGCTTCAAAAAGAGCAGCAACAATCGCCGCCCCCTCCCCTAGTACCAGGAACGCGCCATTGATCCAGGCCCCGACACCCTGGAAGATGGACAGGAAGGCCACTTGGGGCAAATATGCAAATAGGAAGAGCAGGACGTAGATGAAAGCGGACAGGAGGACGATCGGAATCAGACGAGTCTTGAAAAGAGGCCAAAGGTAGCGGTGCGACGCAAAATAATAGATGCCCTGTAGAATCACCAAACAATCAGTTTCACCGCACGAAAGTGAACAGGCAGCAACGAGGCCAAACATACCCGCAGGGGATATAGCCACGCTGCTTTAGTAGTATCGATATGTCTGTGTGGCATGATCAAACAAACAAAAGAAGATGATAACGCCAGAAGGAGACTGATAGAAAAGGGGTACGAATCAAAGAAGAGAAAGAGCGAAAGTGTGAGTTGGAGAGCGATGCGGACCAGGCACAAACACACCCGAGCACGGCCTCAACATCGTCATGTCCGCCAAGACCTTATCGATAAGCGGGCGGTGAAGCATGGTGTATAAAGCTGAAATTTTCGCCCGCCTCAACCTTTCCTTTTCTTTTCTTCCATACATAAACTGAAACACCTTCTTATTCACTCTGAGCTCCTTGACCGTGGAACCTTGGAGGGGAAATAGAAGGTCAGAGTAACTCGCTGACTTACCCCGAATTCTTCTCCTTTAAGCGTGGAGCGTTTGGAAATATTTACAGTGGTACATCGCTTTTAAAATTTTCGGCATGTTGCCTATTTCTCAACCCATGTAAAAAAGACCTTTATAAAGCTGCTAGCAGTAGGAGGGCTATAGTGACAATTGTTGCTTGATCACCTCTACAATCCCTCCCAAATGGTGAACAATCGCTGTCGGCTTGACATCAGGCAGCGCCTTGTCGGCCCAGCTTGTCTCAGCCCGGTCTACCCAAATGGCATTCATGCCCACATTACGGGCGCCCGCAATGTCAAATGGATTGCCACTGACTAGCCAGATATCCTTCATCTCTGACTGACTTCGGCCGACGCACTTTGCCAGATAATTGTAGACTGCCGGAGCGGGCTTGTACTGCTTCACTTCGTCAACGCTGACAACATCTCGGAAGAGTGCTTTGTGCTGCGACAGAACCGTCGAGCTCTCCACGCAATTGGAGATCATGCCCCGGGTGCCATTTGAGAAGATGACGGATGTGACTTGTGGAAAAGCTGAAAGCTGATTCAAAGCGTCCTCCACATCGGGGAAGGGAGTTAACCTATTGTAGGTCGCCATAAGATGCTCGATCTCCTCGTCCCGCAGCGAGGTACCCGTATCATCCAGGGCATGCAGAAGGGAATTCCTGGTGACTTCCAGGAAGGTATGATAGCGGCCTGGGGCATGAGACGATATTAGCCGATGTAGAAGCAATCCTTGCAAGACTCCAGCCAACATACCCATGCTGTTCAGTCTGAAGGTGTATTCAAGCTGGTAGCGTCTCCATGTCTGTGCCACAGTCCGGGCCCGGGTCTCGTCGTTCAAGAAGCGCTCCAGCTCATGAGTGACAGCCTCAAACGAGAGCAGTGTGCCATAGATGTCGAACGCAAGAACAATATCCCCCATGATGTAGACTGAGTGTCCCAATGCAACCGAATCCCGGATAGATGGTGGTCGTACGGAGTAGAATAAGAAGAAACACGGCACCCGAAACTCAACTATTTAATCCGCCGATTGACGATGATGTCAAGGCCTCATCAACCCAACCGCCTCACCACCACAAAACAAACCCAACAACCTCCCCAATGAACCCACAATGACAGCGCCAGACAGCGAGAACTACCAGATATTCCGCGACTGCGTATCGAGCGCAATCGTCGCGAAATTCTCTCCCACGCCTCGAACCAAGAAAGCGCGACGTCCGCGCACCACTCCGCGCCAGAAGTCCAGCAGTCGAGCAGAACCAAAACCAAAACCAGAACCAGAACAACCGCAACACAATGAATTCACCAAAACAGATCCAGAAGACCTCGCTGACTTTATCGACGTGCGTAGCCTACAAATTAGCCCAACATCACCCACGAATAACTAACAACACTGAGAGAGGGCGAGAGCGAGAGAGCGGGGTATCCCCTTCCTCCCCTCCCCTCCCCTCTCTTCACCAACAAAACAGTTCATAGCAACAGAAACCTTCCCCTCCCTCCAACCACCAACTCTCCAAACCCTCAGCTACGACCCCAACACCGACTTCACAAGCAGCAAAGAATACAGTCCACAACACCTCGCCGAAAAAACCTCGCACACCCTACCCGCCTCCATCACAGATACGCTAACGGCGTACGCGCTCATCGAATCAGCTTCTGACATTCCCTATTTCCTCGCGCCGATACTAGGCGAATACGTTGCGTCCGTGACGAAGCCACCGCCCGTGTGGGCGACTACGCGCACGGATGCGTGCGAGATCTGCGAGCGGGATTGGATTCCGCTATCGTATCATCATTTGATTCCGAGGAGTGTGCATGCCAAGGTGGTGAAGAAGGGGTGGCATGAGGAGTGGAGGTTGAATAGTGTAGCGTGGTTGTGTCGCGCGTGTCATAGTTTCGTGCACCGCATGGCGAGTAATGAGGAGTTGGCGAGGGAGTGGTTTACTGTTGAAAGGATTTGCGAGAGGGAGGATGTGAGGGATTGGGCGAAGTGGGTGGGGAGGGTGAGGTGGAAGGCTAGGTAGATAGATGTATCACATGTAGTTTTGGTTATGAGTAGGGTGAAAAAGGCATAGTTGTAGATGGGTATAGAATTTGGATTTGTAGACTCCTTTCTATTCGGGTTGTCATCCCGGAAATTCATATCGTACAAAATGATTGCTCCGCCACACGCTTTTGGAACATGCAGATGCGAAACATGGTAACAGCCAGAAGGGGTATGTATGTAAAGGTGGACAACAGTTGTCCGCTAAAAATACAGATGCCAGAAGTTATGAGTGGAAAGGGGGATGAATATGAAGCCGAAGTGTCGATTACAGGTATCTCTTCTCGAAGACTTCCTCATAGCATTGGATGTGGTCGCCAACGGCAAAGTCGGTCCAGCCATCGAAGCCGATACCACATTCCGTGTCTTTGCGCATCTCCGTTACGTCCTTCTTGACGTTCTTTAGAGACGTGATCGAGCCTGCAGCCAGTTAGTCATTGCCATAGAAGCAACTTGCCATTGAGGGATTCAACTTACCATCGTAGATTGTCTCCTGACCTCGGATTACGCGAACCTTCCTGGCCCGATTGATCGTTCCATTACGCACCTTGCATCCTGCAATGGCTGTCTTGTTACGTCCCTTGACCGTGATCTCGAAGATTTGTCCGATCTCTGCTTCTCCTGTCACACGCTGGCTGACGTTTGGTGCCAGCTGCTCACTCAGAATGCTCTTGACGTCGTCAATGAGTTTGTAGATGATGTTGTGATTCATGATATTGACGCCGCGCTTCTCTGCCATCCGCGAGATCGCAGGCTCGATGGGCATGTTGAATGAGATAATGTGGCCATTGGCCGTGGCCGCATGCTCAATGTCAAACTCACTAATCGGGCCTACTTCAGAGCGAAGTACATTGGCATACACTTCGTTGTTACCGACAGCGGTGACTGAGTTGAGAACGGCCTCTGCCGAGCCACCAACGTCGGCCTTGATGATGAACTGCACCGGCTTGGGGCCAGATTGTACGGTCTCCTCGGCCTGGTCCGCGCCAGCCTCTTCTTGGCGGCGTTTCTCTAGCTTTTCACGACGCGCTTCGTTGATGGCGGTCATGTCTTCACTCAGTTTCTGTGTCTCAGCCCGTTCCAACCGGTAGTCCACGACACTCTTAGCGTGCTGCTCATCGTCAGCCTGCAAAAGCTCAGTGCCCGCCGAGGGCTGCTCTCGCCAGCCATCAACCTCCACGGGCATGCCGGGAGTGGCTTCGAGAACTGTCTGGCCAGCTTCGTTCCGAAGTGTGCGCACACGCGCCCAGGTGGTGCCAGCAACAATGATATCTCCGGTCCGTAGCGTACCCCGCCGGACAAGTACGGTAGCTACACGGCCATAGCTCTTGGTAGTGGCCTCGATAACCCATCCTTCGACGTGGCCCTGGGGGTCAGCCCGGTGGTCGAGCACTTCTGACAAGGTGATAATTGCTTCTTCAAGCTCCAGCATTCCCTGGCCGGTCTTTCCACTCACACCGATTGCTTGTACGTCACCACCAAAATCTTCGACGTGTACACCGTGGATCGAGAGATCCTGTTTGACCCTGTCAGGATTGACGCCTTCCTTGTCCATCTTGCTCATGGCAACAATGATAGGGACATTGGCAGAAGTGGCATGCTTAATCGCCTCAATCGTTTGAGGTTTGACGCTGTCATCCCCCGCAACCACAAGGACCACAATGTCAGTCACGTCCGCACCACGACGGCGCATATCCAAGAAAGCAGCGTGACCAGGGGTATCCAAGAAGGTGATGGTCTTCCCGGAAGGCATAGCCACCGAGAATGCACCAATGTGCTGAGTGATACCTCCGTGCTCTGTTGCGACAATCGAGGACTTGCGAAGCCAGTCTAGGATGGTGGTTTTACCGTGGTCAACGTGCCCCATGATCGTCACGACCGGGGGCCTGACAGGTAGATTTGACTTATCTTCCGGCTCTGGCGCTGCGGTCAAGTCACCCTCGCCAGTATCGAAAATGGGTTCATAGTTGTATTCAGAGGCAATCAGGCCGGCAGTTTCTGCATCAAGGACATGATCATACGTAACGTCGTCGAAGCCCATCTCCTCCATGCGTCTAACAAACTGTGCGGGACGGACGCCAATGACGTCTGCAAGAGTGCTGACGCTAATGAACTCGGGGAGATAGAGAGGGCTGGTAGTAGCTTGCATCTCCTTCTTGCGCGCTTTCTCCTTCTTCAAGCGCTTTTTCTCTTCGCGACGCTTCCGGCGTTGAGACTCCTCGTCCTCGTCAAATAGGTCCTCCTCATCCCTACCGGACTCGCGTTGCTTGCGACTGACTTTCCGTTTTGGCTTCGATTCTGGGATTTCATCTTCACGTACTTTGATGTTCTTCAAAGATGACGCATCCCAGGTCCAAGGGTCAGCAGGCTTCTTTTCCTGCTTGTCTTCCTCAGACTGCTGCTGCGCTTTCCTTTCTTCTTTCTTTGCCTCCCTCTCTTCTTTTCTTGCCTCTATTTCCTTTTTCCTTGCTTCCCTGGCTTCTTGGGCGGATATTTCTTTATCGACATTAGAGTCGAACACAGGCCGTGGGCCGGCAAATTGTCCTTGGCTTGCCATGTAACCCCTGAAGGCTGCTTCCCTTGGACGGAGACCTTCAGCATTCCCGCCATCCTTCTCAGACAAGACAGACTGGCCCAATTTCCGAATCTTTGTGGCTTCCTCGTCTGCGTGGCGATGGCGGGGTGAGGCTCGGTGCCGTTGCGGCCCCTCGTGCAGGTTTGGTCTGGCTGCTTTGCAGTGCGGGCAGACGGTATGCTGCCCGTAACACCTCGTCTGACAGTCCGGGCATGTCCAACTTGTCGACCGCTTGTGCTTGGGCACCTTGTTGACGTTGACCTCGAGCGATCTGTCGGGTTGGAGGGACAGGCTTTCCTTATCCTCATTGTTATGACCCGAACGCCGCCTGGGGAAGGCATCGGATTGCCTGGGCTTGAAGCCGGAATCACGCCATCTCGTGCTCGGCCATTGTTCTTCCATGCGGCCCTGGGACCGCCCTTCCTTCCATCGTTGTTGCGATTGCTGCTGCCTTTCTTTACGTTGCTGCTCTTGCTGTTGTCTCTGTACTTGTTTCCGCTGTTGTTGTTCTTCTTGTTGCTTCTTTGCGACTAATGAGTCTCGGATGGCTTGCTCCGCCGGACTCAGCCCAAGCGGTCTCTGCGTTTTGCTTCCCCAACGATTACCGAATTTCGGCCCTGAAGGTGCAGGGCTGGAGCTTGTACCTGCAACCGGGTCACCGGGACTGTTCGATGGCGAAGATTCAGAAGAATCGAGGCGAAGAGGAGAGATTCGAAAATGCCGTCGAGGAACCAAGCCTACTACCGGAACGAAGGCAGCATTTCTGCGGGCGGTTGCGCACGACCATTCGACACCGTGACGGCGGGATAGCTGAAAATGAAGATAGAGTGTTAGATACAGAGCTAGCAGATAAGAAGACATTTAAACTTACTTCCAAAGCAGCCCGCCTGTGCATGATGTGTTGTCGTTGCTTACAGCGAAACCCTCGGCGCCAAAACTGTGGAGAAGAACATCGGCGCCGTAAGTAATCAAAGTAACGCTGGTGTATCCGCCCGTACGCCGCCTGCTGACTCAGCCCGCGGGTCCGCCAGTTTTCCGCCTCACGTGCGCTCGGCGCCATCGCCGAATCGGAGGCGAGCGCCCTTTTGCGACATCAATTGCGCTCTTCTTTCTCGTCTTTTGATAAGCTCCGTCTCTTCCTCCTTCTCTCTGTCCATACAAGGTCTCCTGGGTTCTCGGGATTAAGAGATCAGCTGCGTCGTTTGGTGCGATTCCGTCCTTGCCTCTGCGACTCGATCTCCTTTCAACTTTCAGTTTCCCGAACCTGTAATACTTCCCCGCAATGGAGTCCGAGGCATTCGAGGACATGCAGAAGGGGGGCGGAACCCTTCGCACCCTCAAGGATTTGGGTGCTGGTGCTGCTGGTGGAATTGCTCAGGTGCTTCTTGGTATGTCATAATCATTGCTTCATATTCCTTCAACATATACCATCCCCGATGCCATTGCGCGCGCATGTTCTCCGTTATATGGATTGCTCAAGTGCGGTGAGAATGTGCTGGCGCATTGCGTTCCCATGCCTTATCTGGATTGTCCCTCGTCCTTACCACAAATCTCTACTTAAAGCTCCATACTAACGATACACAGGACAACCTTTCGGTGGGTAGCCTCTCTCTCAAACCCGAGAGTTCTTTTAACAATGAACAGACATTGTCAAGGTCCGCCTGCAAACCACCACTCAGTACTCCAGTGCTCTGGACTGCGCCACCAAGATCCTGAAGAATGAGGGCCCCTTCGCCTTCTACAAGGGTACCCTGACTCCGTTGATCGGAATTGGTGCCTGCGTAAGCACCCCATCAGAACCAAGCATTAGTCCCTTACTCATACTGACCGCCCACAGGTCAGCGTTCAATTCGGTGCTTTCCACGAGGCCCGCAGACGTCTTGAGAAGCTCAACAAGAAGAAGTACGCCGACAGCACTCTCTCCTACACCCAGTACTACATGGCCGGTAGTTTTGCCGGTCTCACCAACTCTTTCCTGTCTGGCCCCATCGAGCACGTCCGTATCCGTCTGCAAACCCAGCCTCACGGAGCTGACCGTCTGTACAACGGTCCCATCGACTGTATCCGCAAGCTCTGCAACCAGGGCGGTGTCCTCAAGGGTCTCTTCCGCGGCCAGAACGTCACTTACTTCCGTGAAGCCCAGGCCTACGGAACCTGGTTCCTGGCTTTTGAGTACCTCATGAACCAGGACGCCAAGCGCAACAACGTCAAGCGCGAGGACATCTCCAGCTTGAAGGTCGCTACCTACGGTGGTCTGGCCGGTGAGGCGCTCTGGCTGTCCAGCTACCCCTTTGACGTGGTCAAGAGTAAGATGCAGTGCGACGGCTTCGGCGCCCAGCAGCAGTTCAAGAGCATGACCGACTGCTTCAAGAAGACGTATGCTGTTGAGGGTCTGGCCGGCTTCTGGAAGGGTATTGGTCCTACCCTGCTTAGGGCTATGCCAGTGTCGGCGGGTACTTTTGCTGTGTACGTTTATCACTCACCTCTACTTACTCTCCGCCTTTTATCTTTGGGTTACTAATATGCGTTACAGTGTCGAGCTCACCATGAGAGCCCTGGGCTAGACTACTTCGCCATCGACTTAGCACAGAACCTAAATAAAATAATACCCAGCACGTCGTCAATGTGTGTCCAAGTTCGGTGGTCTTTAGGGTTTCGATATCCCCGTTTTAGTTTTCTTTCATTCAACAGGCACTGGAGGAAAAGTTCCGCTTAGACGTCATCTTTTTCAAAACAATGTTAAATTGCATGGTTTATAGAAAGTTCTTCCTTCTGGCAAGCATTCAGAATTTCAACACTTGGCCAGCTCAATATGATATGATATGATGATTTCTTTTTTCACCATCTACCAGATCTGCGCAGACTTTCACATTATCCAATCTCACAACCAACCAAACTACCACAGATATTCGAATTAGACCGCCAACGAAAAATCCCCAAAGAAATCCTGCCACGCAGTCGGAAAATAAAACAGATCCAGGCCCGGAAAATCCCACTCCCTAACAAACTGCTCCGGCACAAAACTCTGCAGATCGGCCTGCGCATCAAATAATTCCCAAAATGGCGTCATCGCATTAGTGCCCGGTTGATTAGTATCTCCTCCCACATTTCCGCCGCCTACTCCTGTTTCCCCAATCGGGACATCATTCACCTCCCTTTCCTGCAACACACGACTATATTTTTCAATACTCAATCGTAATATCTGCATGTAGATATTATTGTTATTTCCTATCCCTGTTGTTGTTGTCGTCGCTGCTGCTGCTGCTGTTGTGGCCGATTCCCCGTTAGTCCTGGTTAGCTCATCCAGGAGTCTATTTCCATGATCTAGAAGTTCCGTGTGTTCTTCTTTCCGTTCTGGAAGGAGACGTGATAGTTTCAGGAGTAAGAGGAAGCAAAAAGCGCATTTGGCCCAGACGAAGTCCATGGCGTATTTGAGTTTGGCGAGGTAGAAGTCGGGTTCGAGGCTGATTAGGCGGAGGTGTTTTCGGGCGCTGGATTTGGCGGTTAGGAGGATGGTTTGTTCGATTGGGGACATTTCTCTGGATGCATATGCTACGTGTTAGTACTAGGTAGACGTGGATGTGGGTTAGGGCTTGGGAGGCAAGGATAGTATGTACGCGACGTTTCCTACGCCCATGGAACGGAGCGCTTTGCAGTGCAGGATTAACTCGGCCCAGCATTTTTGGACTCGTAGCGCCGCCAGGAGAAAGGGGCGTTCTTGGGTGGCTGCGGGGGAGTTTTCTGTTTCTGTTAGTAAAGGTTATCATCTGATTTGAGCATGGTGCTATATGGTGGAGGTGGTACCGATTATGCGTAGCCAGTCGCTGGTTGAAATTAGTAGGTGTGTAATGTGCCATGGAGGCGATGTTAACTTACTCAAACCAGAGATCGAGATCTACCTTGGCTTCGTGTACAAACTCTGTGATATCCGATCTTTGGAGCGTTTCTTTGGCGTCTAGAGTATCGTTGACTCTTGCTATAATCTCGTCAACCAATTAATCAGACACTCTGGGATGAGGGGAGGTTTACCACGTATGATGTTCAACTGTTCAATACTAGTTACTAAGGGGCAATAACTTTGAGGCAGGCAAACTCACCTCCACCTGAGAAAACAGCCGCAAATCCAAGACAGTAGACGTACGATGACGAAGCAAAATGCGACATCGATGTGCATTCCCTGTCACTCGGATACCAGGAGGCTTCCCACCGTCGACGTGGAATCTGTTTATTCCTTCTTAGCAGGCGCATGTACCTGGCCTACATCGTGGACTCACATATGATCAAGCACCAAAAGACCAAACCACGTCCTAGATTTACGCATCAAAGCGCGCTCTTCGTCATCTACCACCACACGAGACATATCATGAATCCCTTCGGTCTCCTTCATCGTCAGTCTCTGTATCAGTTCCTCGAATGCTTCATCCAGGCCCAGGTCCAAGGCCATTCTAGTTGCAAACGATAGGATCAAGGACCGTTCGGCGGAGTAGCAGGCTACAATGAGCAATGCTTGCACCGATTCCAAACAATTGAGGTTTTTGTTTTGAATGACCACATTTATCGATCTTTTGAGTTCAGCATGTAATAGATCAGGGATCTGAGATCCGGACCCTGGAATTGTCAGTGTTTTGTCACTTGTCCAGGTTATCTGGCGGTAAGCATACTGATCTCAACCCGACTGCCAATCGTGCAAATAGCATTCAGCAAAATGCTACTCCGTGTGCGCACAGAGTTGAAGGTGTCAATATCTGGATCGAAGACCGGGATATACCTATCCTAAATACCCCTACTTATGAGCCTCATATTATGACTGAATGGAAAGAATCACATACACAGCCCTGGAAGAACCTATACTGCGGATTAGCAAATGGCGTCCCAGACACCAACACCAAATATGCACAGCAACATACGTCCTAAAGCACGACATAGCCTGATCAGCCGTCATCATCCCCCTACTGATGAAATCCAATATTGGCTCTTCCCTGATATCGAACCCTGAACGTCGCGACCGGGTAGGCCGAGCAGCCTCCATTCCAGGAGTCGGAAACTGAAACACGCCAGCATCATGATCCCTATGGGTCACAGGATACCTTACCCCTCGCCAATGGTGATGATGATGATGATACCCACCCATACCATCTGTAGCGAGAAACGTCGGCATTGTCCCAGGATCAGACATGACATGAGCTGAAGCCGGAGACGTGACAGCAATTTGCTGTTGCTGCTGTGCAGATTGACGGAGTAGTAGCTCATTCACATTGCTCAATTGCTCCCGTAGACGCTGTACTTCTGCTTCAACGTTCTCCAGGCGTCTGGACATGATATTATAGTCAACACACGACAGCTTCACCAAGGTTGATTAGGAAAGAATTGGAAGGAAAGTACATACAAAACAGCAGGATCCTTCGGAATCTCAAAGAATACACACTGTTTCCTTGCCCGTTTACATCTATCCATCTTCGTTAGCATACTAACTCATCTTACTATTTTCTTAGTACATCATACCTTGTACACGGTCGTTTACCATCACATTTCAGCTATACAACACTACATATAAGTAAATGCAATACGACTCCAAAATGCAGTCTCAAACTTAGTGGTACGAAAGATGACTTACTTTCGACTGTCGACAAGAGGTACACGCTTTCTATACCGTAAATTGATATGTTAGCTATATTCGGTACTTCCAAATAGTAGCTCCGCCGCCAGCGTATTGCTCGCAGCTTGAGCAGGCAAATTAATCTAGCAGGAGACCTAGGGGTCAAGCCAAGCATACATACCGGAATACGCTTCTTCCCAACCGGAGCGGATACCGCGCAGGAAGATTCCTCATCTGAGTCCATAATTTACTCTCCGAATAGGTATAGATGCCCGTGCTAAACTATAGATAAGAATGGATCAATTCATGCAGGGTGTGCGCACTGATCGTCGCAGAAGGAGGCGGTTTGGGATGGGGTAAATAGAAACGGGATGGCATGAGATGGAAAGGCGGGGCCCCACGCCGTCGCCGGGGTATTGCCGAGTCGGCTATTGGGAGTGACTACTGGAGTGCGGGTTGGGATTAATTCGTTGACTGTCTAATTCTTTACCACTGAGGTGGCTTATTGGAACTACAGTAGTATGTTGTTAATGTTGCCAGAATCAGATACCATTCATAGACTGAAAACATGAACACAAGTGAACGCTATAAACATAACCCGCATATTCCATAAAATATTCCGCCATTCCTGACTTCATTGGCGCGGAGAGCCCGCTCTTAGTATACATAGACAAAATCCTCGTTCTCCCAGTCCGTCAGGTCCTTGAACGCATTGTCTTCGCTAAGCATCGGCTGAGGTACTTCGGTCTTGTCGATGGGGACTGCTCCTACAGCTTGCATGGAGTGGTCGATGATCTTTGCGCTCTTTCCCATGCTCACTCGCGTCTTCTCGTGTTTCTTGTTGAGAAGAAAGAGGTATCCCATGTTCAATCTAGGAGTAGATGAGTAGGTGAAGCTAATGTAGGGTGTGGAGGGCTTACACGCAAAGCAGGATGAGAACACAGAACATGGCGAGGCTGTTTGTATGCACGATCAGTACCAAGTTAATTAGTCATTAACTCGTTTGAGTAGCTTACTTGGAGAGGAGACCACGTCTATATAGCGGTGCTTCGGTTGTAGTGTACAGATTCGAACCTAAAACCTGTTTCATGTAAGTATCTGACGCTGCTCTTTGGGTTGACCATGTTTCGACATACGTTACCAGCACATTGTCCAACGAGTAGAACTCCGTTCACGAGCTTCATTTTCGTTTCACCTCCTGTGTTACCCGCAGACCACGAGTAGATCAGGGGTGCTATAGTCTGTTAGCTTGGGTCGTTTGCGCGGTTCATTGTAACATACTAATTCCAGGGTAGACAGAGATCTAGAAAACATTAGCGAGTACATGCAGACAACATCATAGAAACTTACAATGTAATATCCCGCAAGCAGTGCCCCATTGTGATGATTGTCGTGGGGAATCTGCAACAACATCACACATCCCGCAATGGCAGGCAAGCAAAGCAAAGCTATGACAGGACCCTTCATCTGGAGCTTCGTTGCCATCCACGCTCCTCCCATAGTTGCGATGAGCTGGACAGCCCCGAAAGGAATATTGAAGAGAATTGTATCGAATTGGTTGAAGCCGAATGCTTCGATAATTAATGGCCCGAAGGTCGAGATACCGCCGCTGGGGATTCTGTGATACCGTCAGTATGTTCCGCTTGGATGCCGGGAGGAATCTATCTTACGAGATCGAAAACATCAAAGCAAACCAGAAGAATGACTTGATGTCGAGACATGTCTCTTTCACTTGCTGCCATTTCCACTCGTGCGTTTCGATACCTTGCTGGTTCATACGAAGTCTAACCACACTTGTAAGCATTTGGCGCGTTAGTCAGCAGCTGCATAGTAGATACCTTTCAATAGCCAAAACTTTATCTTCTTCATGAAGAAATTTGGACTTCATCGGTGAGTCCGGCATAAAGATACTAGATATCAAATGTCAGGAGTGTGCAACGTTCATAGTTGAAACGGCATGTCTCACAATACAACGGCAGAGAAAACAATCGTGATGAGCCCGAAAAACAAGAAGATGATCTGTGGTACAGTTAACATCTGGCGTTGATGGTGGTGAAGATGACCCACCTGGTAGGACTCGAAGACCGAAGAACCAATGTGGCCAAGACCGTAGGTTATGAGGCTTCCAAACTAGCATCATAGTTCGCATTAGTAGTTATAATTGACGTTTGGGTACGTTGAAGACCTAGCTCACCATGTTCACCACACCATTCATAGCATACCATGAACCAAGGCGGACTGGTTGCTCCCGTCGTCGATACCACATTTGCGTGATTGCAATGAACGCCGGCGCTTATAATTCAACCTCAGCCCTAGTACAGGAGAATTTATTGTGAGTAAAGGGATACTCACGTATACCAGCTTCAAAGAGGCCCAGGAAAATCCGACACACCAACAACTTCGCAAAAGTATTCGCTGGGGTCATGCATGTCAGGGCAATGCCCCAGAAAAAGGTCGTGCACGCCAGGAACTTCCCCAGAGGTACCTTGACCAGGATATAGGCAACAAACGGCTGGGCAACGAGTTGCACCAGGTAGACGACCGCCCCCAGCCACGAGTATTCCTGTCCATGTAGATGAGCCTTCTCAACCAGACCAAAGACCGACGCGTATGAGAGAGTCGACTTGTCAACTTGCTGCAGAAAATAGATTCCCAGCAGAATAGGCAGAAATCTGAGATCGATCTTCCGAAGGACTTTGGCGTTGTTCTCGGGTGTTAGGATGGTCGAGTGACCTGCATCTCTCATAAGGACAAGGGCTGTGTCCTGAGTAGATTCGTTTGCATGCTGCAGCTCCCGGCGAGACGCTGTCTCGACAGACTCAATATGCTCATCTTGTGTCTTGTCTGCGGGTGTAATCCCTTGTTGGTGGGACATGGTTTCTCGTCTGTTCTTCTGTGCTCCAGCTATACTTGAAATAGCCCTAACAAGACAGATGCCTCTCAAGAAGGGAAAAGAAGCGCTTCAACCTTCAGCAAGAGTAATCCAAAATGAAGAGAAATTCCCTAAAGACAAGATAAAACCAGGTGAAGGCCACAGCAGAACTGGGTAATAGCATATCCCCCTTCACCGTACTCATACACTTCAAAGGGAAACCCCGTGGGGAAAGCCCTCATCCTCAGCCCCGGACGGAAGCAGCCCAAACCCGACGCGGGAGCGAATCAACTCGGCCATGGCTCGTCACGACGACCATGACAAGCTTAGCGTCGAGGTAGTCGTTCCATCCCGGCAGCAGACCACGGGATAACATGACGTGGAAGTGGTCGGACATTATCCGATGCGAGGTCCAATGAATTCCAGTCGTGCCATCACCGTGCAGGCGAATTCATGGGAGTGGGGAGATACTCGACGTTGAATAGCGTCTAGCTTCGGATTTCGGGCACGAAAAGCGATGGTCAAAGTACAAAATATCTCCAGCTTTGCTTGGGTGTGGGTCACGGGGACGCGGGGGAACACAAAGTGTGGGGGAAAGTTCACTAACCAAGTAGGACAAAGCAGTGCCTTGTGCCAGGCGTGTCGGAGATTCTCCCCGAAAGCCGACTATACAGCTCCACGTTGGTGGGCCTCAACGGCACTACTCCTCACGCAATGCCGGTGCAACAGGGGCATGTAGAATCACTCAAATAGAGCGGTATTCTGGCTTGAATTCAGTTCCTGTAGTTGTATTCTCAACGTATGTTGTATTCGCAATCACACAATTGATCCTAACCAAGGGAGTGCACACAACAATGCCTCAAAAAGAATTCGTCCCCAAGACTTATCAGGAGTCTTCAACTGGGGCTCAAAGCTCCTCCTCTGTACATCTTCGCTCAAGTCCCGAAGAGCGATCCTTCGACTTCTCCTTTGAACCAATTCGTGAGAACCTATTCAGAGTTACCTTCTCTTCTCAAGATCACCCTCTCCCTCCATACCCCAGTGTGACCAAGCCGGCAACAAGTCTCGATGGCGTCCATGTCTCCGCAACAGGCGGCTCGAACCAAAAGACAATCGAAGTTGGCGATGTAACAGCGTCCGTTGAGTGGAGTAACACGCCGGTCGTCTCACTATCGTGGAAGGGCACAGAGAAGCCCTTATATCGCGATCTGCCTCTTCGCTCCTATGTCGCAGACTCTACTGGTATTGCACACTACACCGAGCATGACCGGGATTGTCTTCACGTTGGACTTGGCGAGAAGAGAGCTCCCATGGACCTCACGGGACGCCATTTCCAGCTCTCAGCCACAGACAGCTTCGGTTACGATGTTTACAACACCGACCCTCTATACAAGCACATTCCTCTGCTGATTAAGGCATCGCCTGATGGTTGCGTGGCCATCTTCTCCACGACACATGGCAGAGGAACCTGGTCCGTCGGCTCGGAGGTCGATGGTCTCTGGGGCCACTTCAAAGTCTACCGTCAAGACTATGGTGGACTGGAGCAATACCTCATCGTCGGCAAGACGCTCAAGGATGTTGTGCGCTCCTATGCAGAGCTTGTCGGTCTTCCGATCCTCGTCCCCAGATGGGCATATGGATACATCTCAGGCGGATACAAGTACACCATGCTTGACGACCCGCCTGCTCACGAGGCATTGATGGAGTTCGCAGACAAGCTGGAAGAGCACGGCATTCCCTGCTCCGCACACCAAATGAGCTCGGGATACTCAATCGCGGAGACCGAGCCTAAAGTCCGCAACGTCTTCACATGGAACAAATACCGATTCCCCAACCCCGAAGAGTGGATTGCCAAGTACCATGGTCGGGGAATCCGCCTCCTCTCCAACATTAAGCCGTTCCTGCTCGCCTCACACCCTGACTTCCAGAAGCTCATCGATGGGAACGGATTCTTCAAGGATCCTGAGAGCAGCAAGCCCGGCTACATGCGACTGTGGAGTGCTGGAGGCGCAACAGGAGGCGATGGATGCCACATCGACTTTTCATCCGCTGTTGCGTTCAAGTGGTGGTATGATGGCGTGCAGAGCCTGAAGCGCGCCGGAATTGACGCCATGTGGAACGACAACAACGAATACACACTCCCCGATGATGACTGGAAGTTGGCATTGGACGAGCCAACCGTCTCCGACGCCGTCAAGAAGGGCGTCGAGAACTCTGTCGGACAATGGGGTCGCGCCATGCACACCGAACTCATGGGCAAAGCCTCCCATGACGCTCTTCTCAACATCGAGCCCAACCACAGACCATTCGTCTTGACTCGCAGTGCCACTGCAGGTACAATGCGCTACGCTGCCAGCACCTGGAGCGGAGACAACGTTACTAGCTGGGAGGGCATGAAGGGAGCGAATGCTCTGTCCCTCAGCGCAGGTATCTCTCTTCTACAGTGCTGCGGTCACGATATCGGAGGATTCGAGGGACCTCAGCCCTCTCCTGAGCTGCTGCTCAGATGGATTCAACTGGGTATTCACTCGCCTCGTTTTGCCATCAACTGCTTCAAGACGTCTCCTGGGAACAGCTCCGTCGGAGACGTTATCGAGCCGTGGATGTACCCCGAGATCACCCCTCTCGTTCGGGATACAATCAAGCGTCGTTACGAGATCCTCCCCTATATCTACTCTCTCGGTCTGGAAAGCCATCTGACCGCATCCCCGCCCCAGCGCTGGGTAGGATGGGGCTACGAATCTGACCCGGAGGTATGGACCAAGGCCCTGAAGTCCGGCGATGAGCAGTTCTGGTTCGGTGACACCATCATGGTCGGCGGTGTCTACGAGCCAGGTGTGAGCGTTGCCAAGTTATACCTTCCCCGTAAGGCGAATGACCAGTTCGACTTCGGGTACGTGAACATGAACGAGCCTTATAACTACCTCGCCTCCGGACAATGGGTGGAAGTGCCCTCCGAATGGAGGAAGAGCATTCCCCTTCTGGCCAGAATCGGCGGTGCTATCCCCGTCGGAAAACCCGTTCATACCAGGGTACCTGGCGATGATACCCCGGCTTCTGTGGCTGTGAAAGAAGTCGATGATTACCGTGGAGTCGAAATCTTCCCGCCTCTTGGCAGTTCTCATGGCCAGGTTTTCAGTACTACTTGGTTTGAAGACGATGGTATTTCGCTTGAGGCTCGCATCTCGGAGTACACTGTCACCTATAGCTCCACGGAGGAGAAGGTCATTGTTGGATTTTCTCGTGATGAGAAGTCTGGATTCGTCCCTGCTTGGACAGACCTTGATATAATCCTTCATAATGGTGATGAGAGACGCGTTGTGTCGGATATTGGAAAGACTGTGGAGTATAAGGGTAAGGGCTCCCGGGGACGGGTGGTTTATACCTTGAAGAACTAGATAGAATGTGGTGGTTGCTTTGGAAAGTCTATTGAATCTTTTAGCAATACGTGGTGGAAATTGTTTACCCAGGATGCATGATGATAGATGTCGGCGGCGTTAAATAGCATAGAAGAGATAATGTTTTGAATCAATTGTTTTCTGTAACACAGACAACTTCCATACAATACCAATTAGTAAGTATTTTCAAAGGCGCTATGCTGGCTGTTATGCAGTCAATTGAGGCGTAAGGCGTGGTCGGCCATGAACCACGCAGACAACCAAGGGGAGCAAATGGACAAGACTCTCATGAACCATGCGACTAGACCTGAAGATCAATTCAAATAGCATTGTTGATACATGATATAACACCAGAGAAAATGAAAATTTACAATGTCCTATACAATACAATCCCAAGCCGAAAGTTCAGATGTAGGCAGACAGATATCAATAAGAGCAATAGGCAACACTTCGACTCTATTCGTCATCCTTGGAAGCCTCTTCCTTAGGCTTCTCGAGCGGGCTTCCCTCAGAGACAACTTCCTGGGAGGAGGCTTCTGACTTCTGTCCTTCCGCGGTCTCTAGAGTCTGCTCCTCTACTTGGACACGGAGTGGCTCCATATGTTCATACGTCAAGTGACCCTTGCGCGCTCTCGCCAATCTTCTCCGCTGACCCACTTCTCCTGCCCGTCCCAGCACACCAGCAATCAGAGTCACGGAACGCAAACTGTCGTCGTTCGCAGGGATCGGGTATGTGACACGGGTAGGGTCGGCGTCGGTGTCGATGATACCGATAGTCGGGACGTTGTTGAGACCACACTCGTGCAACAGGACAACGTTCTCGACGGGGTTCAAGCAAACAACAAGGTCGGGCTTAAGTGCACGGTAAGATTCCAATTCCTCTTTCCAGAGATCATCCAACGTCTCATCCAAGCCGTTCACAATCTTCTTTTCGCAATGGCCCAAGATCTGCTGGCCATTGGTCAAGCTACCAGGGATCCAACGCTCGAAAATGTGATATCCCTGAGCCAATTCCGCAGCTCTGACCACGGCACGCTTCTGTCCCTTTCGCGTGCCCGCAAAGAGAATCAATCCACCCCGGTAGGCAACCTCCTCCACGACCTTGGCCGCACGGCGGAGGTAAGCCGCCGTCACATCAAGGGAGATGATGTGAGTTCCCTCCCTGATACCGAAGATATAGCGCGAGTTCTGGGGGTTCCAGCGGGAAGTCGAGTGTCCAAGGTGTGTCTGGTTGGCGAGGAGCATTTCGAGGGTAACGTCGGTGGCTTGAGGAGGGTTTTTGAGGAGGCTCTCTGGCCGGTAGACGCCGGTCACATCGCTACCGAGACTGTGGAATTTGACTCCTGAACCAGAGGATGTATATTAGCTTTCCCTTCGGGCAGCGACAGGCGTAACAGCTAGAATATTGCGGTACTTACGGCGGAGCGTGTTCGGATCCAATCTCTCTTGTGCACCAGACGTACCAGGCTCCCGCACTGCAACAGTCGGTGCGGGCGTCTCTAATTGAGGTGCTTGCTCCGCAACGATAGTCTGTACTGGGGTCTGGCCAGTCGTCTCCGTGGAAGAGAATCGGGACAAGATGCGCGACTGACGGGGAAGAGCCCGAAGCTGGCGGCCTAGATGGGGACGGGGGAATCAGCATCAATATTTCCTATCAATAAACCCAATCCATGGAGTAACTCACTTTGCCGCACAAGTTGCCGAACAATCATACTGTCTTGTGTTGGCCGGAGTCCTGTTCTATCGCAGCTGGTTCAAGGGAATCTTCCGCTCGAACTTTTGATGTCGGGCTTGGCAACAACAGGTGCCTGAGGCGGGAAACTGATACGCTAAGCCATTTACGGAACAAGTTCTAGAGGTCGGGGAAATCAACTCGATCCCAGCAATTCCGATACATCTCAGACAACTCGCGTACTTTGTATTGGCAGCAGACCACCTGAACGGTGGGTGTTGCTCCAGAGAATTCACTAATACGGACAATGATTGCCTACCAGTTCCCAGCAACGAGATACAGCATCAAACTAATCAACAGCACCACTCGCATATCGCCCAGACCGCCAAACCATCACTCGACAATAAGACACCAAACAAAACCATCCAATAACAAAGCCTGTACGACGTCCTCCGACATCTCCCGGAAAGAGTAGGCAAGATGTCACCGATTCCACCAATCGACCATTACATCCCCTAGACCATCATGCAGAACTCAACATGGTAGCCAATCGCCCAAATGCCAATCTGCAAGTAAGTACAAAGTAGGTTGGTAAGCACATAGCCACCAGCATGTCGACACACACACAAAATATCGACGATCATATACATGAAACCGAACTTTCTCGACCCCTAAACAAGGCAAACAATTGCCTTTGAAGCGACACGCGTACTCACCAATTCCTGTCCATGCTATTTGTCAGATCATATGTTGGAAGTCAACTTGCAGTGTGTGGGTGATCCATCCGACCCTTAACCGCTCAGTCTCAGCCACCATAGCAGTCCATCTATCTGCTTAAGGTGATCGAGATGTCAAGGTGGGGATTTTGGTTTGGGGGAATAAGTAAGCCGGGACATTAGACGGAGCCCGTTGGGCCGCTGAATTTTTACACTATTCGCTTTGGGTGTGTGTGCTTTACGTATCTTGAGATATTTTACCATCGTATTATAGACAAGACGAGGAGCTTACATCGATCTATTTCTTTGTTCCTCTAGATCGTGTGACGTGGGGTTGACTGGAGAAATGGAATGGAAAGAGGCATTTTTCCCTGGAATGTGCCGGGTTCTTGTTTCTGTCGGATACTAAACCGGCAATACTATCTTTGTATCTTTGTGCGGGGGGCCGAAAACTCCTGCTGCTAGTAGTACCAGAAGTTACAGCACACATTACTGGTTGATGGGTGAGCTGGCCTCGCTGATCACCTTCAGAATGATTCATATTATTTTCCGGCAGGAGACAGACAGAAAAGCGAGGGTGGGGTCGGGGTCGTTGAGAGACTTTCACCCCGCCACCACCTGAAGCCCCTCATCCTGTTAACATCATGGGGCGAACTCAAATGCATGAAGATCGGTCAAAGTGGTGGGCGGTTGGAGGATGGTCAGATCGCGATTTACTCTCTAGGGATAGAGCTACGTGTAAAATTATGATTTTACGGAATTGTTCAGGAGCAAAGGGAATGAAGCCAAAGTCTGTATGAATTCTTCGTAACGTAACCACTGAAGAGCTATGTAGACTGGAATACAGCGTTGGTATCAGGTTAAGAATTTCATCCGCGCCGGGTATGTGTAACAAGCAAAGCGATCTCGATAATAGCAATGAGAAGAAAATGTAGGAAAAGCGAGTCAATAATTCTTCATCCAAAACCCGGCCGGCCGAACGAAGCAGAAGTCGAAATTTCAGTCATTCACGGTAGTCGCAAGGGAATTCGTAAAGATAAAACAGAAAGAAAGCAGTCGGTTTATAGAGAAGGAGAACCGTCTATCGCTTGAAGAAGCCGCCGAGCTGGTCCATCATGCCACCACCGCTGTGGTGGGACTGAGAGCCACCCTGAGGGGGGTAACCGCCATAGCCGCTCTGGTAGTCCTGCTGCTGCTCGTCCTTGTGCTTGTGCTTCTTGATGGCATCCTCGGCGATGCTTCCCATGATAGCTCCACCGATGGTTCCGAGGATTCCGTGATCGGCCTTGTGACCGGCAAATCCGCCCGCCAGACCACCGGCAATGGCACCACCGAGACCACGCTCACCCTCCTGGGCTCCGCCGGGGGCACCCTGGTTGTATCTAGAGACAAGATGTTAGCTAGAGATCATAATAAGTATCAGTATTAGTGAATAACATACTCGCCGTGCTGGTCCTGGCCGTACTGCTGACCACCCTGGTGCTGCTGGCCGTACTGGCTCTCACCATACTGGGACTGTCCACCACCGCCGTAGTAGTCGCTAGAGGCACCACCACCCTGGCCGCCGTGCTGCTGGTGCTGGTTGTATTGGTCGTAGCCACCCTGCTGGCCGTATCCTTGCTGCTGGGGGTATCCGCCCTGACCGTATCCACCTTGGCCGTAGCCACCCTGGTTGTAACCACCCTGCTGCTGGTGGCCGTAGTAGCCTTGGTTGTTGTATCCGTCGTAGCCAGACATGGTTATGATGTGTATTGGAGTTGTAGAGGTAGTTGATTGGTAAGATTGATGTATGAAGGAAGAGGAGTGGATTTGGTAAGATGATAGAAGGTAAGACAGAACGAGGGGTTCCCAAGCCTTTTATAGTGGGATATTTGGCCACTTGATAAGGTGATCAGGCACTGCAGGGCTGAGCAGGCGCAGTGCTGACTCGCCCAGAAGGTGAGCCCCACCAAGATTCAATGATGCCCCCGCTACGCCAAGAGCCCAGCGCCAGCTGAGAAACACGGGACAAGAATTACGCTGTTCAGTCACAGCCCGGTCAGGAATTAACCAAGTTTGAGTGAGATTACGACTAACATTGTGGCTGTTCATGAGGCTGATGCCGTACGGAATCACTAGATCCCCCGCCACCATGCAGCGCGGGGTGGCTGTGCCATGTGTTCATCATGGGCGCAGGGCGGGTGTTGATCTGGTCTTCCCTTTCGGAATTGCTCCCCGCCAACCTGGGGATCAGGTACTTTTTTTTTCCTTTTGCTTTGCCTGACAGTGGCAAATTCAACGGGTTTCTACTAAATGATAGCCTAATTAATTATGCCTGTCATTATGCAATAACTTCGATACGCAGCGCAGTACACATCCGGCCCCTTACTTTCCATTCACCCCCATAGTAAGCGCCAGAGCTAGCCGCGACTGGAATTTCGGCTTCGGAGTTAGCACGGGTACTTCGGTGACGTTACCATGGTATAATATAACACCTCATACCGAGCTCACATGTGGCTCTTCCACACAGCCGTCCAGTGGCTTAGCAAACTACAGGTGCATATTGCATAAAATCAGTCAAACTGCGTGCGCACATTTACTAAAGTATGGCTGTGCGAGTCCATAAATAGTACCACAGATGGCGCGATGCCCATACCGTATAGTACCAATACAATCCAGTCGCTACCCTATTGGACACATTCAACATCGCAGCCGTCTGCTGGCGTTTTTACCGAAATAAGCCCCCATAACTCCTTTCTGGAATTGCCGGATCATCGGAATAGCACATCTCCGTGTTTGCCGGACACTCTACGTACTACTTACCAAAGTAAGTATGTTTGTTCCTAATTGGGGTCCAAAAAGCGACCGGCATTAGCAGGCAGACACATTATTACCCTACTAGTGCAGAAATACGTCCGCCCTAGTGTTGCGAACACGTACGAGTAGTGGAGGGATCCGGAGTGAATCTGGTCGCTGACTGGATCACTCGTCTTTGGTTCCAGCCAGTTTTACTGGGTTTCGCTTCTCTTGGACCCTTGGCGGGTTGAAACTTGCAACGATCCGGGCCTCGGGCTATGGGGCACCACTGGGCACTTGATCAGATCAGATAGAGATGATGTGCCCGGTTTAGGTGATCTAGATATCTCGTAGATCACAGTTGGCCGAGTTAGCCTTGTCGAATGTCATTCTAGAATCCTCGGGTGCTGCGCCGAGATTAGTTCAGGGCGCACACACAACCTCTTGTATGGGGCGGCTGTTCGTTCTCTGCCTAGCATCGGGCGGGATGTCAGAGCTGAGGGCATAGCCTGTCTTTCCACCTTTGGGCATGATGTCAACTGCAGGCAGCAAATAAGTTCTAAAATGCGGCAGAGGGCTGAACATTTACCTGGGCAGTCAACAAGTATACTTGGTCATTCCTCGTAGAATTACGATCACGATGAGATGATCCACGGACCCAAGTGGCTTTATGTATATAGACGCGGGGCCATCAACCACTACAGTGCTTACACACCAACTGTATCCAGCAATAAGCAACTAACTTAACCCATCAATATCAAACCTTATCATACTAAGATTCCCAAACCCCTTACAACCGACGCAGTACAACCACCTCCCCAGCATACGCAAAATGCAAGGTTAACCGCACTACCATGTTGCACATATCAAGCTTCCTACAGCGAACGAAACGTCCCTAGCCCACGCGGCACCACACAAATTGTTTCGATCTTCGATAAACATCCCATGTACTGACTGGCAAGGTGCTCTCAAAAACCTGCCCCTCAAACCCAAGAACTAGTCTAGATAGATCATCATCTGACTCCAGCGACCAGCTGGTGGGAGCAAACAGATTGGTCGCCTTTAAGGTTATACTTTACGCGGTGCCTCTCGTGGTGGATAGCCCGCCTGACCGACAACTGCGGCATCAGTAAGTATACTATGGAGGGGGAGCATGTTTCAACTGTACCCAGCACCCACTCGCGACCGTCACCGAAATTTTCTTCCTACGAAGAACACATGGATCGTCCTGGAAATTCGCTCATAGTTGGGTTTGCAATCATGGTGTGCGACAATTGTAGATCCACGCGTGTAGGTGGCAGGGGTGCCACTGCGTAATTGCTACTGTTATATAGTGGGTAGGCTTCCTTTCTGGTGTAGAGCAAAATGAGGGGAGCTTTTCAAGAGTTCTTCGACTTCCGGGTCATTCATCAGAGGACTTTTGACCTATACTACTAGTTGTCGATGCGTTGACCTTGCGCCTTGAAAACCCAACGGCCCCTCTTCGATGAATATATATAGTGCATCAACTGGGCCTCACACAACATGAAATCCATACTCATTCTACTATCCCCTCTATGCTTCTTCAGTACCTTACACGCACACGCACACGCAACATCTACACCTAGTCCTCCGACAGTATATCTCATCCGCCATGGCGAGAAACCCCCGGATCCCGAAGATAGCGGACTAAATGCAGACGGATTCAAACGCGCCGAGTGTCTCCGGGAAGTATTCGGTGTGGGGTCACCTTATGATATTGGCCATGTGATGGCACCCAAGATCAACAAGCGTAAGACATGGCGCATCTCAAGCAGTTATTCCTCTCACGTCAAAAACTAACGTATATGTTGGTGGCTACTCAGGAGGCCAGCATAGGCGTTCTTATGAGACCGTCCTGCCCGTCGCAAAGGATCTTGACCTCCCTGTCGATACATCTTGTAAGCGCAATCGCGTTAAATGTGTGGCGAAACGGATCAGGGAGTTTAAGGGAACAGGGAATATCCTGATCTCCTGGCGCCACGGTAAGATGAGGGAGATTGTGCAGGAGCTGGGTTACGAGGACCCTCCTGAATATCCTGAAGATCGGTAAGTTATTGCAGGGTTTGGTTTCGGGCTAGACGCGTTACTAATGGGTTTTCTGTCTAGTTTCGATTTGATCTGGACAATTCCATTTCCTTATAATAATATCACTGATATTAAAAGCGAAGAATGTCCGGGATTAGATGTGCCAGCACTAATGAAAGTGCAAGAGTAAATCATCATGGGCTGGTACCTGATGAGGAAGTCCACTGTCTATCTGGTAGTTATAGGGCTTTGAATGGAATCGATGGCTTTCTGTGTGTGGTATGGACGAAGTTATGTTTTTTCTGCATCGACTTACTGTAGTTGTATAATGAGGAGTGGGTTGTTAGAGGGATTCGCTACTACTGTATTTATCTACTACTAGTAGTAGTAGTAGGTGTAGAAGCAAGCACAGCCAATCTCATTGACCAGTTGCTGCTGCACAGGGTCAAACATTAATCCGAAGACAGTCTTGTGTGCGCGGGCGGTGAACAGCCGAGCGGAGACAGAGCGCCAAGATTTCAACCTGCCCACCCAATTTTTTCGAGGTATCGCGGCCTTCACTACGTTCGACCGAGCGTTGCCCAAATATCTCATCAACCTCCAGTATATTACTGGCTCAACGGCTTGGATCCCTCGGAAGGTCTGCGGTCACTCTGTTTCTTGAAGGATGGATGATATCGAGGTGTGTTGTTCCGTGCATTGTACTATGCCCGATCACGAGGTTGACCTCCTCTATTTTTTCTTCTTCAGGAACGCCTCCGAAGCCATGCTCAGGCCTTCGATGGTTTGCTGTCGCTGATCCCGGCGAAATTTTATTACGGCGAAGATGGCAGTGTATGTGACTTGTCCAATCCTTCTTGCTGCAAAATTTCCTCCTGCCCTTCTCTTTCTCTCCCTTCGTCTCATTTGGCGTCGCGCTTAAGGCATAGCTGACCCGCGGTTCCTGAAACAGGATCAATGGCAGCGCAAGAAGCAGACTAAGGAACAGGCCCGTGAAGCTAAGCGGGCCAAGTTGGACCCCGATTCCGCCAAGTCAGCAAAGGATGTGATAGACGAGAACGCACGCAAGCGTAAACGTGACGAGGAAGGGAACGGGGAAGGTGACGATTCTTCTGATAACGGTGAACTCGGATCCGAGAAGCCCAAGGAAGGATTGAAGAGAGGAGATGTCAACTCAAAGAAGCAAAAGCAGGCCGAAGACTCGGCCAATGCAGAGCGCTCATCCGCCAAGTCGGCTGAAGAGGCAGAAGCGCGCAAGAAGTTGAAGGAGGAAAAGAAGGCCCAGAAGAAAGCCGCTCAGAAGGAGAAGAAGAAGGCCAAGGAAGCCGCTAGGAAGGTCAAGGTAGCCGAGCAGTCAGAAGAGACCGAAACACCTGCTGTGCAAAAATCCGAGTCGACCCCCGCCAACAAGACCAAGGAACAAAAACAAAAACAAGAGGACAGCGATAGTGATGACAACGAAAGTGTGGACGGCGTCCCCGCCGAAGAACTCTCGCTCGATTTCAGCGCTGAACAAGAAGAACAACCATCGTCTTCTGCGTCCACCCCGAACTCCCCTGGGTTCGATGCTTCCAATCCCCAATCGGGCAGCTCTTCCATATCCTCCATTGTTCCCCCCACCGAAGCCTCCAAATCCTCCACCTCCGAACCCAAGCCTCTCAAGCCTACCCCCGATGAGCTAAAGCAACGGTTACAGAAGCGGCTCGATGAACTTCGCGCAGCCCGCCATGCCGACGGGCTTAACGGAAAGCCCGCCAGGAACCGTCAAGAACTAATTGAGGCTCGACGCCAAAAAGCCGAGCAACGCAAAGCGCACAAGAAGGAGCTGCGCCAGAAGGCTAGAGAAGAAGAGCAACGGCTGAAGGATGAAGCCATGGCCCGACGCTTCTCTCCTGGCGGCTCGGGATCCCTTCTCGCATCCCCGCGCTCCCCTGCTGACTCTGTCGGCTCGAACAACAACTTCGCTTTTGGCCGCGTTGTCTTCGCAGATGGCCAACTTGCTGACCCCAGTCTTTCCGGAGTCCGGGAGCAACCTAAGAGCCACGGTCCCAAAGACCCCGCCGCAGCCCTGAAGGCGGTTGAAGCGAAAAAGGCCAAGCTTGCCGCCATGGACGAGGAGAAGCGGGCCGATATTGAGGAGAAGGACCTGTGGCTTAATGCGAAGAAGCGGGCACATGGCGAACGCGTCCGTGACGACACATCATTGCTGAAGAAGGCGCTCAAGCGCAAGGAGTCGGCGAAGAAGAAGTCTGAGCGCGAATGGAAGGAGCGTCTGGAAGCCGTGAAGAAGGGCAAGGACATGAGACAGCAGAAGCGTGAAGAGAACCTCCGGAAGCGCCGAGAGGATAAGGGCAACAAGGGTGGCGGCAAGAAGCAGGCCGGAGGTAAGAAGAAGTCCAGACCGGGCTTTGAGGGCAGCTTCAAGGCCAAGTCTGGAGGCAAGAAATAAGCAAAACATTGTACTGCGTTGGGGAGAAGTGGAGACCCGTCCAAAGTGTAATACCAAGCTGCAGCCTCTGACCATGTGTACATACACGCACAGAAAAATGGGCCGAGATCAGAAAAGAAGAAAAGGAAGAACAAAAGGGAAACTCAGAGAGGAGCAGGCATGCTACAGATTGAGCAAGAATAGCTCGAGACCAAAAAGTTGAGGGAGTGCGGGCATTGGAGAAACGGTGTTTGGGGAGTTTAAACTCTGGAGGTTCTCTGTTCATTTTGTGCATATATACCGAATCTCACGAAGCATTTTTTGTCTTTGTTTGTGTTTCTATGCCAGCTGAGCTTGCACACACTACTACATTCATGTACGAATTGTTTGAGTAATTGAACTTGATGCAGAACGGTAGTGACCCAACAGCATGCCAATTGTCATAATCTTCGTTCAAACTGTCTGCCAGCAAACTTTTGTCTATGTCGTAACTCAATCGAAGCCATAACTCGTAAGTCATGGAGCCCTCTCGACACCATCCCATCTAGCCCCATCATCTATCATCTATCACCCCATCTAATAATCTTATCATAATCATTATCATCATCATCATCATCTCAAAAGATCAAGACTTTTACCCCCTCTCCAACCCCTTAAAAGGTCAAAAAATCAAATCAAGCAAACCTCTCATCCCTCGCCTCCAAACACGCATCCACCATCCCATCCACAGCAACGCCCCTCTGCATCTCCGTACAGCACCCAATCTTCACCAACTCAGTCAGCGCCTCCCCGACCCAATTCTGACAATTCCACCCGGGGACATCATTCCGCACTTTCACCCTTGCGCACGCATCCCTGATCATCTCCCTAGAGATAGAAGCACTTACATTCGCGACAGGGATATTCCTCTCTAGCTTTGCGCTCTGCGTGGGATTCGCCCCAGTTACTTCGACGAACTTGAACTCCCCGGGCGGTCCGATGATGTGGAACATGCTTTGCTGGTTGTCCGGGTAGGTCAGGAGGAGCACGGCGTGGCGGTATTTGATGAAGTCGAGGGGGGAGCCGTGGAAGACGAGGAGGGAGAGGAGGGAGGTGGACATGATGGGTGGGTAGTGGTGATGCTGGTGAGGGAGGGATGGGGATGAGGATGGGATGGATCTGTTCTTCATTGTGAAAGGGCCGAGGGGGTTATATAGTGGTCAGAAAGATTGAAGTTCATGAGTTCGTTAGTTGTTTGGGGATGTGCCGTGAGTGATATCTTTCGTATGCAGGAGGGGATGGAGATATATAGAAGTCTAGAAGGGTCCACAGTCATGCTTAACAGCTGAGAAGGGGACCAAAAGTACGAAATAAGGAGCATCTTTGGCATTCTCCTACACTCATCTAGCAGCACTAGGACGTGTCAACCTGCTACTGCACAAAGAACTCCAACACTAACCTTAATCATGCTCTGTTGCTTTGTTACAGACTACGGGACGGCACGTCTCGTCGCTACCAGAGTTCGAGGGGAGAGAAAGATGGAATTTCCCTTTTGTTTGTGAGAGAGATGTGTGGTATCTCCGTGTTGGTGATGCAGGGACATCTGCCTCGTTGTACCACCTATTCCCGTCCTCGTATGTATACGCTCCATGCATGGTCTAGACTCTTGTTGGATATGGAGACGGAGATGCGGTGTATGTGCTTTGCATACTGTGAAAGTATCATGTCAGGCGAGATGGGTATATCCACTATAGCTTACCGTACATACTAGGTGCAGCTATGTCTATGATGCTGGCTATGGGTGGTTCTGCATGGGAGGATAGAGATATATCCGGTAATTCCGATTAATAGAGGTATGTAATAGCAAAATGATGGGCGATTGGGCTGAAGAGAATGCAAGCTGAATGCCGCAGTGTTGAAGACATTATGTGCTTGGTTGGGCTGTGAGCGAGTGGCGGCAGATAATGGCAGACCAGTGTATTGCTCTGTGTTCCAATAGCTTATAGTTGAGCATGGTTGCTGCACTGATGAAAGGTCGTTGTTTAAGCACTATTCCCGCACATCACAAAGGAAAAATTCTTTGATTGGATCCCTAGACAAACAAGAGTAAAAAGAACAACACAACATGCAGGATTTCCTTCAACATCAAAGACAAAACCAGACCCGGAATCGAGTGGCCGATCTGATCAATTCCGGTAGACCCGACTAGTACAGGAGGTAATCAGGGAGGCGAAGGGGGTTGGGCGTGAGATATGTACAGCGTGGGAATAAATGGGGGTGGCTACAAGCCAAGCTTTCTAGGTCGGAAAGGCTTTCTTTCTAATATCATGTTTTTCTCGCATCTCTTCCAAGGGGAGTGTCACATGGACACCGTGTCCGGTGTCATATTGGCAAATACAGATGCCGCTTAGCGGTAAGGAGCATCGGCTCTGATAGCAGCAGCAATTTCGGGCTCCCACTTGTCACCGTTGGCAAGGAGCTTCTCCTTGTTGTACAGCAGCTCCTCACGGGTCTCGGTGGCATATTCGGCGTTGGAAGCTACGTAATATCGTTAGTAGGAGTCTCATGACCTACACATGAATTTACTGGTTACTCACTCTCAACAATAGCGTCGACAGGGCAACTCTCCTGGCAGTAACCGCAGTAGATGCACTTGGTCATGTCGATATCGTAACGCGTCGTGCGACGGCTTCCATCCTCACGCTCCTCAGCCTCGATGGTGATAGCCTGAGCCGGGCAGATAGCCTCACAGAGCTTGCAGGCAATGCAACGCTCTTCACCGGTGGGGTAGCGACGCAGAGCGTGTTCACCACGGAAACGGGGGGAGATGGGTCCCTTCTCGAAGGGGTAGAAGATAGTGTAACTAGACGACCAGCTCATCAGCCGCAGATCCATTGAGACAGAACAATCCTCCATAGACTGATGAAAAGCGATAGACAGGCTCAGATGGCCCCCTTGAAATCCTGATGATGATATGCACCGAGGCAGACCTGACTCGAAGCTGGATGGGGCGACTTACGGAGGTCTGAAGAACTGCTCCAGCACGACGTACATGCCGCGCAACAACTCAGCCATAAGGAAGTACTTTCCGGCCTTGTCGAGAGAAGACTCAGCACCTTCGTCCCATTTCTTCGGAGGGGGCAGACGGAAGCCCGGTTGGGGGGGACCAGCTGGCGTAGCTGCCCGGTTCACCGAGGAAGAGAAGTTTGCGATGGATCCCAAGGGCGAAGAGCGGAGAGGGAAGGCTGTAGGACGAGAGTAGGCGACGAGCCTGGCGACGGACTTGGGGGCGGCCATCGCGGAAGTCGAGGAAGCGCGCGAAAGAGCGGGGATGACGAGGGGGGAGGTCAATTGGCAGAGGGGGGGAGCAGCAGCAATTCGAACCAGAAGCGGTTGGAGGTGGAAGTCGACGAAGTTCTGCTTGGGTCGCCGGCCTGCTTAGGTCATGGCTTTCTGCCGCCCCGTGATTGGCCCGCCGCCAGGATTTTGCTTCCTCCGAGCCGCAACAGAATCCAAACCCGTTCATCATCCATCGCTTCATTTCCCCCAATCTTTCCCCATTCCATCACTACCTTCTCCTCCTCCATTCTTCCCCCCCACTCCACCTCTTTCCTCCTTATTCAGGCCTTTTCTTAGCCTCTCTTTTCAGCTTCACCTCCCTGCCATCATGTTCCGCTCCGCCGTCGTCCGCTCCCTCAGGGCCTCTGTCCCTCGTGCCGTCAAGACTCCGGCTCCCTTCCAGATCCGTAGCTCTCCTGTCGCTCGCCCGGCTCAATTCGCCCCTCGCTTTGCCTACCAGGGTGTCAGACTCTACTCCGCTCCCGCCGGTCTCAACAAGGACGAGGTTGAGGGTCGGATAGTCAACCTTCTGAAGAACTTTGACAAGGTGCGTTCGCAATCGCGCGTTTCCAACTCGTCGCTCAAGGCGAGGAATTGCAAGCCATCAAGAAATAAAAAAGCACAGTAACTGACAGGCTGGGATTATTACAGGTCTCCGATGCTAGCAAGGTTAGTTTGGATACCCGATGACGCCCGAAGTCATTGGCCGGAATTTCCCGCGGGTAAAGAATCATAGCTTAACGGTTGCCATTCCACAGATCAACGGTGCCTCTCACTTCGCAAATGACCTCGGCCTGGACAGCTTGGATACCGTTGAGGTCGTCATGGCCATCGAGGAGGTATGGATATTGAATATACCCAGATTTATACATAACGTTGTATACTGATAGGGATGTCTATAGGAGTTCAGCATTGAGATCCCCGACAAGGAGGCCGACTCCATCCACAGCGGTAAGTACAGCTTTGGGATACGATGCCCTTGTAGGGTATTGCGACGCCGGAGGACATTTACTGACTATCCCTTCTGCTATAGTTGACAAGGCTGTTGAGTACATCCTTGGCCAGCCCGATGGTAAGCTTAACACCCTTGCTTGTGCAATTGAATCCATCCTGCGGGAATTCAGTACTGACTACTCTGCTAGCTCACTAAATATGAACGTAATGCGAGGACTCGGAGTGGATTGGGGGACTTAGAATAGAAAGGAAAGGGAATGCTGGCGTGCATCTACATGGGACTTGCCACCGTGGAGGTACCAGGAGTCGGTCACGCTACTCTGTATGCTGATACATGCCTGTGCTCTTTTCACTCTATTATATCGTGTATATCATCTTCAATGCAGTTTTGACTGATTTTGGCTGGTCTTGTCGTATACTCCTTCCTCCCCATTCATATCGTGTGAGATGAGCATTGTTGAAGAAGTAACTTCATAGCTGAGATTATTCATGCTCAGGGAACTGGTAGTGTTGAATTAAGCTTGGAATTGCACGCGATGTTCAGGTCGGAACGAATCTGATATGCGGTTCCGTGGGATGACGTGGAGGCTACCCATTCGGGAACAATCAACGAGAAATGAGTGCATGGCCCCAGCCATTGTATTCGTGCCTGTGAGAGTGAGAAGGGCTGGGATTTCCTACTGCAGTTTTGAAACCAATGTTGATGCAACTGAAGTAGAAGAAGAAAATAGAAGTAAAACCAGCAGGGGCCTGGAACCGAGTGGGCTGGGAGTAGATAGTAGATGGTAGTGGTCATAAAGAATGGGGTCCGTCACCGGAGAAGCAACAACTGGAGACGCCCAGCCAAAGGAAGACCAAGCGCCAGATAGCCTTAGCGACCGCATCGACCGCATCAATCTTATATCTCCTCCATCCACTTTCTTCCCCCGGGTTATCTCCCACCACCACCGGTTTTTGTCTTGGATTCTCACCGGGTTGAATTGGGGTTTCTTGTCGCTGCTCGGCTCAGTTACCCACTCTCTGGCCGCCCGTCTCCTTCTTCCCCCATTGATTGTCGGCCTGCCTTTCCTCTTCGTCGTCCTCCACCACCATTCTTCCTCCACCCCCCCTGATAATTTCCCGTCCAGCAAACTTTCGGCGTCACTCTTCCATTCCAGCAACTCCAACCTCCGATCTTCCTACCCCAAAGAAAATCACCCAGGCACCGGCCCAATAAGCAAACATCAGTCCATGTCGCAGACGATAACGGCATAGACTCCATCACTTGCGTGCTTATCGACACCATCCTTGTTCCCTTTATCCCTCCCTCCCCCCACTCCCGTCTCCCAGCCGCATTCAGATCCTCATGGCCTCAGCCGGGGGCTTGACTCGCCGAAGAGGTGGCGGTCGAGTCGCTGGCGCCGAAGACAACGACGACAGCAGAGTCTCTTCGCCCGTGTCGAGAAATGGTTCGTCGTTGGATAACCGCGTCCCCGAGACCTCGTTCACCAGCTCCGAAAACGGTCACAAAATCGCCTTCGACCCCAGGGACATCAGTGAGACGGAGGAACGCAGCAAGCAGCCCAAGTTGACGCTGATGGAAGAGGTGCTTCTGCTGGGGCTGAAGGATAAGCAGGTGAGCCCCTAGCCTTGCTACTGCGCATTTACAAGCCGGTGTTCAATCGCTGACAGGCGCGTCCGGGATGTGTTGGTGTCGCTGTAGGGTTATCTGTCTTTCTGGAACGAAAACATCTCATACGCCCTCCGAGGATGCATCGTGATCGAGTTAGCGCTCCGTGGTCGGATCAGCATGCAGAAGGACTCCTCTCGGCGACGTTTCCCTCTGGCCGATCGGGTGATTGAGGTCGTCGACGATACGCTAACTGGGGAGGTCTTGCTGGACGAGGCGCTGAAGATAATGAAGTCAAGTGAGAAGATGAGCGTGAACTCCTGGATAGATTTGTTGAGCGGTATGTTACGAAGGGGCATCTGCTGAGGATATTTCTTATTGATTTCCCCGCGATTGCTATTGACACATTCGCTGACTCGACGTGTCTTCCGGGCAGGTGAAACTTGGAATTTGATGAAGATTGGCTACCAACTCAAGCAAGTGCGCGAACGCCTCGCCAAAGGCTTGGTAGATAAGGGTATCCTCCGCACCGAAAAGCGGAACTTCCTTCTCTTCGACATGGCTACGCATCCCGTCGCCGATGGAGGCGCCAAGGATGATCTCCACCGCCGCGTCCGCAACGTCTGCAGCAGTCGTACAGTGATCCTCCCGGCAAATGCATGGCTCCCTGAAGATGTCGAGTTCCGTTACCTGCGAACCATCACCATGGTATGCGCGGCCTATGCCGCCAACGTGCTGGAGAATGCCCTTGTCACAATGAGTCACGAGGCCCGGGAAAGGGCATTTGCGCAGGTGGATGAGTTGCTTGCTGAATACTCTCAGTGGCCATTTGCCCGGAGACCAGGAGGCTCGCAGGCCATTGGAGCCAACCTGGCACAGGCTATCAACGACGAGGTGAACAAATCTAAGGACCGAGAGCTTCAGATGGAGGTACGTTTCTCATCATCCATGGACTACTTCTGCGCTCAATGCTAATTCTCTTGCAGATTGTGGCAGCATGTTTGAGCGTTTTCACTAGACTCGACTCCCTACTGTAAGGGTATCATCATTCTTCGTCTTCTGCTATAGTCCCCAACCTAGTTTGTCCTTTTACTTTCCCATTATTTCCCCCTTATGCTATTGGTTTCTGAATCAACAAAACAACTACCCCGGGGGAGCTCTACTTGGCTTCGTCTTGAAGTAGTCACCGGTATACCGGTTGGAACTGGCAGAGTGGCGTTTATATGAGATCCGTCTTGCATTGTTTTGCACGGGATGTTCGATTCGATCTCCATTGATCTGTGTTTTCATTGTCTGCTTTGCTTTCCACATCTTTCTTCCCTGTCTATTGACTCGCCCGTTCCCTCCCTCTTATCTATAAGGGGGCAAAGCGCGGCCATGCCATATGTATTACTCAAAACACACCCCCCCAACTCCCACAGGTACTGTACGCATCCCCTCTTGGAAGTTTAAACCCGTTCAGATGCATCCAGCCAGGACAGACAACCAACACCAGGGCGCCATCCAGAACATTGAACCCGGTATGCCACGACAAGGACGCAACTGGTTTGTGGCCTTGTCGTCAGACAGCCAAAAATTTTCGAAAAGATAAAAAAAAAAGAATAAAGAGAGAATGAGAACGAGTGCTACACATGGAGAAAGAGAACCCATTCAGGCCTTACACGGGCCTCTGCTTTTATTATATCTACTATTCTATTTATGATTCTTTTATTTCCCTTATAAAATTTATTTTCTTCTACTTTCTTCTCTCCTTCCTTTTCTTCCCTCCTACCTAAACCATTCCTCCAAATGTTTCCTTCCTCTAATCATCCCCGTCACTTCCCCTTCATTATCTTTTCTTTCTACATGTGTAGCAGAGTGACCCTTTCCAGTCCAATTCCTCTTTCTCCTCTTTCATGAATGTATCTACCATGTACACCGGGTGGTTTGCGCTGTCGAACTCGTCATCCTTCCAATCAATTTACCTTTCTGTGTTTCGATCATCTCGTTACACCATACTTTCACGGCGAGTGGGTGTTCTTTTTTATCTTATGCTGCACCTGACTCGGATGGATCCTTTCTATGTGTTTCTAACAACAACCACCCCTCCTTCCCCTCTTCATTTCTGTTCACTGATTGAGCTTCTAGCGCTTTACTCTTCCACCATGTCGTTAGTTATTTGCAGGGGTGTGCTTCGTCCACCTATAAGAATCAATAACAAGAAAAGAATTTTGGTATTAGTCCGTCCCATGCGTCCGCGCTAACGAGGTGAATTGCCTTGGTATGCCCTTGTCTGAGGTTGGTCTATAGATCTACCAGTCTGAACATTGATGAGCTAATCGCTAATGTCGCTGCCAAGTATGGTACATTCAAGGAGCTGTCATGCTGCTCTAAATTATGATATCACAAAGATGATAAAAATCGAATACCTGATGCTAGTTAACCCGGATCACCATCATTCCTCCCCTTCGTCCTCCGCCCGCTCCCGCCGCCCCCGATGATAACACGTCCGTACCGTCAACCAAGTCCTTGATGCTCTCAACTCGCCCTCGGACCTCGTCAGCCTCAACTAGCTCGGAAATCTGGCTCAGGGCTTCACCGTTGGGGCTGACGAGGATGAAGCGACTAAGCACACCATCCTTGCGTGGCTCATCATCCTCGAGAGGATTCCTGGCTTCTGCCGGCGTTGAGTCTACCGCGGTCAAGACAGCGCCGTGTTCCTTAATGACCTTTGGAGAGTGTGCTTGCTCGAACATCTGCTGGCCAGCGCAGTCCAGGACGACATCCACCGGGTCCCAGCGGTTCTTGCGGAAGATAGACCCGAGATCATAGTCATGTGGTAGGGGAAGTGGCGCAAAGATCGTCGCATCCACGTTGTATTCTTTTCGCAGGCAGTCCTCCTGGTCTTCAGCGTCACAGGTTGCGCAAATCCAGGGCCGAGAGTGCGGAAAGAGCTTATGCGATCGGAGCAATTGTAGTGCCTGAAGGCCAACCTCATTGTTGCGTGCGTTGGTGATGAGAACCCGTAGCTGCTGGCGATCGAGTTTAATGTCGGTGGTGTCAAGCCCAGCGTACTTAAATATCGCCTCCCAAGCCGTCAAGGCGGGCATAGGGATGGTAGCTGCTTCAGCAGCGCTGACGTTCTTGGGCTTGTATGCCAGCTCATCTTCCGATACGATGACGTAGTCGGCTGCTGCACCGTCGCGCGTGTGCTTGATCAGCCCAAAAACGGCGTCATCAACCTTGAATTTAGGCCCGTCTGGGTTCCAGTGGTCTTTTTCAGGTGTACTAATGACCGTACCGCAAAAGCTGTGCAAAGGGATCTGCGGTATGGACTTGGATGGATTCAAAATATTAGACAGTCGGAGCTCATCATGGGAGAAGGCTGCTGCCTTCACCTTGACGAGATAGTCGTTCCCTGAGGGGATGGGAGTTTGAAAGTCCGTGTCGAACTTCACGTGGGAATCCATCCTAGGCTCATTCATAGATGAGTGGTCTGTGACAGCTGTTGATGCCGGACTGAAGTAAAGCGCTCTCATGGTTGGTGGCACGAACGTCTGTTCGTCCATCGTGGTTGACTGAGGCTTTGCGGGCTTCATGAGGATTCACTCAGCTTCGCCAATAAGTGATAGTATCGCAGTATCCGACCGTATTCAATCGAGGAAGTGTTCGAACTCAGTTGATTTGAATCGCTGCGATAATACAATTGCCGCGAACCTTCGTTATGCTTGGTGCCAATTGGGATAGATGCTTTCAGTGGATGAGCCTTGATTTTGGTATATTCTGAGCTTCTTCCAAAAATTCGGGAGAAATAAGATGGTCTGCAACCTTTTGAGTGTACGGGTAGCTTAGTATAAATTCTGGCGTGGGCTGCAGCCACCGTGGTTGCGGGTGAACATACTCTCATGTTGACGTAACCCAAGGAAGAACGGCTTATCTCAGCACCGTCAATAGATCGACTGATCAGGCGATATTGAGCTCATCACGAACTCTTTTGGTGGTGGCGGAAGATTCTTTGGGTTGACCAGGCCTTGTTTTGGGGATTGTGCCTGTCGACTGCTTGACTTGAGTTCAGCCACCAGATGATGCACTTCCGCTGGTTGTTCGAACACCCTCCACACATGCTCTGGAATACCCGCAAACGCAGTTTTGAATCTCTCTGGGGAGTTCTGTTCGTCCAAGTGAGGCACGTCGGTGACCTTTCTGATCCAAATCGCTTGAATCCAATGCGGATGCCTCTTATAAAGTTCTGCGTAGGCTTCGGGATCTTGTTGGGTGGAGTCTCCGATACAGAGCACTTGGCGCTTGGGAAACCAACCATAGATTTTCTCCCCGCGGTCCACCTTGTACTCCCGTGTGTTAACGGTGAAGGACTTCACTAGCTCGCTGATATCCAGCCAGGATGAGTCTCGAAGGATCATCGTGCCAGGACTGAAGTATGCACCAAGGAACCCGTGTAAAAATGGGTATAAATTATATGGGGAAGCTGAGACATAGAACCATACCGGTACAAGCTGGTTCTGGATATGGGCGTAGAGCTGAGGCATTCCGGCAATGGGTTTAGGGTCTTCGACGAACGTGGTGCGAAGGATGCCAGTGGACTCCGAAGTTTTGGTGTACTTGATTGTATCGTCGATGTCGGAGACCACAAGCCAACCTTCTGGGCCAGCAAAGATGGTGTCCATAAAAACTTGGTTTCCCCAACCTCGAAGATATGATCTGATCTTGGTGCCATCCTTGATGTGCTTGCTGTTTGCGCTGATTGTCTGACTACTAATGCCATTGTCATCTGTGGGCCCGATCTTCTGCATCTGGATGGTGCTGTTCGGCAAAGGGGTTTCTAGCGTCATTAGGTGTGCAGAGGCAGTATGAAACAGGAATGGCTGTAGCCGTTCTGTTATCCGATGGCGTGTCTCCTTGTCCGTTCCCATTTCTCCGTCCAGTCCAATGAGATCTGCAATCATGGCGACGAGCTTGGTGATATCCCTTCGGCTATTCTTGCGGAAAGCGCAGGCCACGACTTCTGCGCGCCATGATACCTGTTTTGATGTTGTGGCCGCCGGTAGTTGATAGGCAGTGTTATCGAACAACCATACGGTATGCTGACGCGCGTCTGCCGCTTGAATCGATTGGGGCTTTGAGATGAATGATGTGACCATTTGGAGCATGCTTGACTCTCGCTTCCACGCATGGACTACCCGCGCGACCTTATGGAGGACGGTAGGATCTTTGAGGTTTGTATCAGAAGACATTGTTAGTGCGTATATGCTCGTGTGAGTGCAAATCACTGATGACTGCGATGTGATAAGTCAAGTTGAATTGCTAGAAATATGAAAAGATACGATAGCGTTCTGCAGAAGAGTGAAGATTTGAAGCCAGTTTATAGCCTCCTAAAATGTACAGTATCGGGCGCCACGAGGCAGGCAGCCTCCTGATCCTGCAGGACTGCATCATGTTGATCCCAAGCCGCAGGGCAGTGGCATCTATACGAGCTCAGGCAGCCAAGCCTGAGTCATTTCCTATTTTGAGGAGTCAGGGGAACAAGGCCATAAGGCTGTGTCCCTGCGGGGTATAGGATCGACGGAGATATGCAGACGGAGAAATACATGCATGAGATGGATCGCTGCTTGGCGCCCGCGTCAGCCTTGACTGACTTGTGACCTATGGGATAACAAGGCGCAGCGGCTGACCAGCCCTCCCGGGCGTGGATATGGGACAGTCATCTGCAAGTAACGCAGGAACAGGGCGGGCAGATCCCTGTATGTTACGAATTTGGACCGTTGCTGCGTGCGTAACTTGCTGCAGTGAGACTGCCGAGAGGTGCTGGGCTCGGTTTCGTAATGATATTGTTGCGATGACTTATTTGAGCGAAATGGATGTTTGTTAGTATGGGGGTTGTGTTAGTTGCGTGGTAGTTGGCCATCGGAAAACCAGTCACGCGGCATTTTGAGTCGGTCATGGCATAACTGTAATGGCAGCCTTTTAGTTTTCTGTGACTGGAGCTTCTGACAGACGAGATGATAGAGAAGTCGAAGAGGGCGCGAAAGTGAAAAGAACCAAAGACGAGAAGTAGATCAAAGACAAAGAAGGAAAGAACGAACCACTCGATCAGTGGGGCTTCCATATTAGGAAACTGGGTCCTTTTTTACTTATCTACTGGCCCGTCACATGACAGGCCATCACAAACAGAGAATTGCGAGCACACTTCGGATGGCTGAAAATACGGTCCGTGTCAACCTGCTTGATCTCACATTCCAACAAAATCCTCCGGACATCATATCCGGCCGTTGTATTTATACTTGTCTCAGATCACGTGGCTGTGCCACTGGGATTGCGTTTGCGGTGAAAACAACTACTCCTAGTTCCATCGCCTCTATATTACCCGCCTTTCAACAATAGTGTAAACAAACGGTTTTGCTACCCTGCAACACAGTTTACATGACTAATGAAAGAAAGACTCATGTGCTGCAGCTGAATAACGCATTGCTAGCTCAAATCCCAAGCCCGGGCGAGCTATGTCAAAGATGACCGGCGTCACCATTGACCGGCGAACTGGCCAGGCCTACAGAGAGATGGCCTTTCATCCTTCCAAGTACCCAAATGGGTCCTTTTGGGTTCATGAGTCTCCATTATTGCCAAAAAGATGGGAGGAGAACAGCCAACATGGGGCCCCCTCATTGCAGCACTCGGCCATGAAATGCCTGTTGTCTGATCAGAGGAGACTGCGGCCTGAAATGTTTGCATACGTACCCTGGCATATTGCTAGCTACCTCTGGGATTGTCTTGGCAAGAGGTAGGACGAATCAGATTATTAAAACGGATCTGGCCTAACTTTTGTCGTAGCAATAGAAGAACTCTACACAGCTGGAAGCTCTTTGCTACAGCCTACCCCGAGCAATTCCGAGAAGTCAGCCCTTACCGCTCCTATAGTACCAAAAGCGTGAAGATGAGCATGCCAGAATACTGGAAAGTGGTGAACAGCGATGCCTTGAATTGGCGGGCCGTGTTAAGTTTGGACCCATCAATTGCCAGGGTTCCTGACCTCGTGGAAATAACTAGTATCCGGAACCTGGTAGCTTTGGAAATATCATCGCCACCACAGACCTTGCATAACGGCGAGTCGTCCGGGGTCATGCTCAGCCATCGTGTCATCCGGTCGTGGAACGAGTTGCAGCAGAGTTCTGGGGCATTTGCACATCTCCGACTTTTGGTCTTGTCTCATCAACGCGATCTCTCAGTACAGATCCTCCAGTACCTGCGAGACTTTCCATCATTGGAAATTGTTCTTGCGCTGGACTGCGGAGATCTCACAAGGATGTCTAGGGATGAATTCCAAGTTGACGGATGGCTAGTAGATCCCGAATCAAAGCGGGGCGGAACTCTCTACGAGCAGTACCTATCAATCACCAACGCTGAGGCAAGAAAGTCGACCGGCCTAGACGCTGCCCCCGTTTTGAATTTCGAAATCAACCCTAGCCAAACCGAACGCCGCACGTCAATGAGAAAAGAGAAGCGATTCTGCTTCTACCGCGACGGCAGCAAGACTTACAAGCAGGAGCGAGAGTCAGGCCAAAAAAGGCCACGAGGCTATCCTCAGATGAAGATTAACAGACCAGACAAATACCGCAAGATAGGCTGGGAAGGACTGCTGGGAGACTTGACATGATTGTCAAAAGTGTCAGACCATCAAAGTGGGGACTGTATCCATAGTTAGTGAATGCTGACTGGATGATGTCACTCCGGCCAGTCTCAGGGACGGCCGGCCGTATCTCGGCCGCCGGGACCACCACAGGTGTGGGTGTTGCAGAGGGGTACCTGCATAGCTGTAGACCGGTGAGAAGCAGATGATCTTGGTCGATTCGATAGCGTAAGGAGTGTATAGAACGATTGAGTGGATGTTGAACGAGACTAGGAGATTTCTAGTCTGGAGCTGGATGACGCCGGGATGACAAGCGGGGACTTGTGATTGGACGATTAAAGGGAGCCGCCGCATCCCCGCCTTTTTGGGGGGCTTCGAATGAGTGACTCTCCTTTGACCTTCGCCCCTACCATTTGGACTCGCTTCTCCTTTCTTTGCAGCCCGCACTGCCACTTTTGATGCTGTTGTTTGTCTCAAATCGGGAGCATCACCTCCCCAAATCTGGTCTCACGTACTTTTGTACAGCTACTCCTATCCGGAGCTCTCCTTGCACGCTAACTACACCCCTCCTCCCTCCTTACCTAAGCTCTTCCCCGACCTCCCATTTCCGTCCACCATGACGGACCGCCCGATGGAAACGGTTGCAGATAGCAATTCCAGTGGTTCAAATCTCGCATCTCCCCGTTCTAGCACGGATTCCCGCACTCCATCCGCTAGCGTTCGGTCACTCCGCCTCTCCTCGCACGCTCCGAACCATCAGCACCGTCAGAGCATCAGCGATACTCTCCGTGCGACACCGGGGTCGCCGCGGGCACGCCGACAGCCCTCCCTGACACAGGCCGCCATCCAGAGTCTCATCGACAACCCTCCTGCCCCGAACAATGCCAACCCCGCGTTTGTCGGCCGAGACTGGCGGGAGATCTCCATCGGGGAGCTGGTCAGTCCAGACGACCTGAAGTTCGTCGAAATAAACACAGGAATTGAAGAAGCGACGAATGTGGGCGCTGCTGCTAGATCCTGAAAGAATATCCGAGTCGTGGGCTGACTCTGCTAGATCTTGATCGACACCGGGGCTCCGGTGCTGCTGATCCGGGAATCACCCCAGCACAAGTCGGCCGTGGGCACCTTCGACTACGCCGATCTGAATGCATATCTCCTGCTGGCGGCGGGATTAACACAGCCGAATGAGGAGCTCCTTGCGTCGTACGAAGAACTCGCCCGCAAAGCGAAAGAAGGCATTCCGATTCCGCTGCGAGATGTCAAGGATCTCGGTCGCAAAGAACCGCTGACGACGCTGCCGGCATCGGCCAGTGTCATGACCGCTGTACAGACGTTCGGCGGCGGAGTGCATCGCGTGGTAGTGGTCAGCGAGCGGGATGACAATGAGGTACTGGGCATTTTCAGTCAATTCCGGCTGGTCAAGTTCCTGTGGGAGAACGGCCGCAGCTTTCCTGTGATCGACCAGCTGTATCCGCAGTCGCTGCATGATTTGCGGATCGGGTCACGAGATGTGATTTCGATCAAGTGCGTCCCTTGGACTATGATTTGAAAGATTAAGCTAATGCTGTATAGTGGCGATCGGCCGCTCGTTGATGCGCTGCAGATCATGAATGAAGAGGGTATCTCGTCTATCGCAGTGGTGGACAGCCACTTTAATGTTGTCGGCAACATTTCCACGACGGACGTCAAGGTACGCAGCACCATGTGGTCGAATGAGCACCGCTGACCAGACAGCTTCTCACGCGCTCATCATCGCTCCCGCTACTGCGCAACACATGCACGCATTTCATCTCCGTGATTCTGTCGAACCGCGGCCTGGAAGAGGGCAAAGACTCTTTCCCGGTCTTTCACGTGAATCCAGGGTCGACACTAGCGCACACCGTCGCCAAGGTGGTCGCCACCCGGTCCCATCGGTAAGTCTAGATCCAGCACATACAAAAGCGCAGCTACTAACAAACCACCAGCCTCTGGGTCACCGATCCGCTATCACCATCGTCATCAGGACCTCCTACGCCATCGCACTCATCCGTGCATATCCCACTGGTAACCAATTCGAGTCCGCCCCCGTCACCAGCCGTGAACAACGGCACCGCAGCACCCGCAGCATACCTCAGCGCACCGTCGATCCCGGCCTCGGCGCTACCCGGGGCACGGCTCTCGGGGCGGCTAGTCGGGGTAGTCAGTCTAACCGATATCCTGAACCTGCACGCGCGGGCCAGCGGACTCAGTCCGGCAGATCCAGCGGAGAGCCGTAGCCGACGACGACGCAGCAGCAGTTCGAGCGTGGGGGTGCGCCGTAGCGGCGAGATAGGTCGGGAGTTGTTTAGCGGGCGAATTGTCTGAGCCGATTCCTTATCTCTCTTCTATTTTTTTTTTTTTTCTCTTTTTTTCCTTTCTTAGTATCTACTATGTCCAATTCTGTACCTAGATCGACCCCAAAGTACATATCAATCCAATCCGAACCCGTAGGATCCAAAAATCCAAGGAATACCTGATTCAAGTCCATCGGAGATCCCCCCAAATATGGAGTAAACCTGACATGGATGGGGATCTCGACCTTATCCTTACACAATACAATCTATTACATACAAGCATGTAAGATACCTCGTATCCTAAATACAAAAGCCCACCCCACAACCCGCCCCACCAGCAGCAAATGCCCATTGACCAGTGACACAGTGACAGTATACTAAATACAGCGACTGAGCAGACAGTAAGTTGTGGATACATCCATACCTTGAATCAGCTGTACTACAGTTTGAGAAAAGGAAAAAGAGAAAAGCGGGCCCCGGCCATCCCCGAGACCCCACTTCTCCCCTACGTACTAAGTACTTGGGGGATATTCTGGCTCTACGGGGTCCCAAGGTATTGGGAATGCGGACGGAGGCGATCCGTTAGGGGAGGATAGTCCAATGGGAGGGTGTTATACCTGGATGGGAAAGATTGGTTTGGTCTAGATTGGGGCTTAGGGTGGGTTAGATTTGGGGTTATGGGGGACTTGGACTTCTATTGGGGGATAGATACGAGTAGGTAGGAGAAGGGATGTGAGTATTTCCGGAGTGTGTGTGAAGTGGTTACTACTAGGGAGGGTTAGGGTAGACGAGATTGGGAAGGGGAGTGGGTGAGTGGCGGTGCTTAGTGGTAGTAGTAGTAGTACTTCTTCTTGACCTTTTACTATGAGTATTGTGTTGGTGTGGCATTTAGTATTATCTACCATGTGTATATGTGTACTTGGCAGGGACAGTAATCCTGGTATAGTCGGTACTTTCATTTCTTCTCTTCTGTCTATCTATCTAGCTAGTAGCTAGCTATTCAGTAAGCAGACTAACAAACACAACCCTGATGTAAGCAATCAAGCTACCTAGAACACGTTACACAAATCCATTCCCTCTTGATCTCTGGAGCAGCCATGATCATCCACCCCAACTCCACACCAGCTCCAGCTCCAGCCCCCTCCAACTGCCTGCCCATCGGGCTATCACCCCCCGAAGCTCCGAAGCTCCCAAGTTCTAGACTTTCAGTGTGAACTCCACTGCTAAATGGTAGATCGGCCGGACATGTAGCCAGCCCACATTTACAACGACAGTAGCACACAACATAACTCAGTTACTGTGTTTGGTTAGTGAGTGAACTGCCTAGTTCTCAATAGACCCATTCCGATCCCTATTCCCAGTAAATCGGGTAGCTGGGTTTCTCTTTTTCTCCTACAGTGGGAATGGGCAGCGGGTGGTGTTAGCCGAGACGGAAAATACTTCCATACTGGGTGTGGGTTTGTGGGTGGGAGTGTATTTACGAGGGACTTCTATTCTGGTAGTAGTACTTGGAGGTTCTAGATGGGAGGATAGGGTGTCTTTCTGTGTGGGTTTGATGGTAGTATGTAGTAGTAGAGTAGGTTAAGTGGATTCTAGTCTGAGTTCTAAAGACGCTGTGGATTGATTGGTGAGTGTTGAAAGTAAAGGCAGGAAGGAAGTATAGAGCATAACTAACGAGACAATGAGAAGAAGAAGTACTTACTCTACCGAAAGAATCTACTCCTTGAAATTCAAACACAAAAGCTCAAACCTACAATCAAACTCTTCAACATCCTCACATAAGAGACAGCAGACACAACGCACACACAAGAAGGGACACACTGAACTTACCCAGTACCTTCACCCACAAGAAGAGAGAAACAAGATCCAAGGAACCCAACCACCCGAACCTGAACCTACCCAGCTCCTTCATTCTCAAATCTTCCCACCGAGTAAAGTAAGTTAAGTTACACCCGCCCTAACCCGATTCCTTCACAGTCAAAAAGTAAAAGTTTACTGAAAAGTTCATTGCCTCCCGGCTTTCCCTAAACCAGGACTAGTGGATTTGGAACCCACACTAGCCCCATCCCAGTCTAGCACAGACCAGCCAAATCCACACTAAGCCCACAAACCCACAAATCAGTATTCTCCATTTTCTCATACTTAAACTGCAATGTGCGAATGACCTGCATTTCTGCAAAACTAATGCAGATCACCTTCCCGTTTCCCACTTGCTGTCCCGCATTAATCAACGTTAAAGTAACTTAATCATTTTCCATTGAGGAGGTGCTTTGGTTGATTGGCTGGTGAAGGGTGAATTGAGTGGGTATTCAGTCGTACTGTTTCTCGTGATCGAGGCTGGTCTCTTTGGTTGCTTCGGTCGATCAACGCTATATTTGACTACGTGCCTCTGGTATAACTCAGTATAGGTTGGTGTTTAAGAGGGAGGGTAAGTAGAGAAGAGGGTAAGGCATTGGGGGACCCACACAAGCTCTCTCTTCCTTTTCCTCTTCCTCTCTGCTTAGCAGGCAGGCATTGGTAGCGGAGGCGGATTTCTAAACAGCTTCTTGCGCAGAGGAAGTATCTAGGGTATAGAAGGGAACTCTATCGAAATGTATTCTTATGAAATGGTAAAGTAGATAGTGAGGGAAATATTTCCACCTCTTCTTCCTCTGCTGTATGTAGTATCTGCAACTATCCGATACACCAACGAAGAGAGTCAATCTTGCAGCTCTAATGTAGATCCCCCAGAAGCAGAGCAGCCAAGTAACTGTCTCAAATCACAATCACAATTAAATAAACTCAACACTAAAGCGTACATCTCCCTCCTCCTTACCAAATCCCTCAGCTATCCCCTCCCTCTCCCCAAGATGTCAACATGTCGACACCCACCCTGACGAAAAAGAAACAAAACAAAATAATAACTACAATAATAAACAACAGACGGGAAGCCCGGCTGTTTAAGGAGCCATGAGTGGATGGCTAGTATCGGCTAAAACGGTGTGCCTACCTACCTATTACCTACCAAGTGGCCCTGTAAATCCCCTCCAATCCATCCTTATT